CTCTAGATTCAGAAATCATACAAATTTCCTAAAGAACGTCCACAACTTTAACAAAATGTAAACCAATCCATTGGTTAAGATAAAAAGAAATTACATATACAGGGTAAGCTCGGAAATAATGTTTCAGAATAAATATCACAAAAACGTATATCGTAGAAAAATAAGCAGAACTATATTTTTGAACTCATTTTTTAGTCTTGTTAGGTAAATTTCATTTGTAATTAAGCCACCACGTTAATACACCTCTGTTGAAAATGCAGAGCTATTCACTATAGCTGGTTTGCATTTAGAATTATTTCACTTTTACTTCACGTTCTTTTGAATTTCGTCTATTTACTGTTACATAAGCACACAAGAGAGATAAATCCAGTGAGCTTCTTTTCAACTAAGAGAGTATTCAAAAAAAAATTCTACGAGCATTAAAGCATCCTTTAAAAATATATCTTCTTTTAGTTTACTTAATCTTTATTGTGCTTGGACGTTTATTTAAAATTTTTATCAAAAATTTATAGGTGATTTAACTAACACATTAATTTCATTATCCGGACTGATTTTAACAGCTAATACCTTCGTTTCACGGCAAGCGCAACGCCACCGCTTCGGAACTCTTTAAAATTCAAATCGTTAGGAGCTCGAAGGGAGGAATTAAAACGGAATAGAAGAAAAAGCTATCGTAAAGTTTTCATTATCGCAATCTCCTCCGGCCATGTTTCATAAAGTAGTTTTTCATCCGAGGAATCTCGACATTGGGAGCTAGATTTCGATATTCGCATAATTATTTAACGTCGAAGAAAATACATGTGCTTTCCGAACTTAAATTAAATCGACGACGGGTAAATTCGGCATTTTCCCGCGATTACCGATTTTTCCGTCTTTTTATCGGGTTGATTCAATCAAATTTGCTCCTTGTTAAATTTAACTTTGCTTTTAACAGCTGCGCCACTCTATCCGTCATGTGTATTCGTATTTGTACTATTTTTAGGTTGCCCCGTCAAACATTTACTGTTTGTGCAGTGAAATCTCCGAAGCGAGCTAGATCAATAATTTATTTGACATTGGGCAAAGTAAATTTTTTATTAGACTTAATTGCTAAATGTTTTATAATTTGTCAAATTATTCAGGTTCGAATCTACCAAGAAGCTGTAAATTTTTACCCTTAGAATACAACAGATTTTAATTAGCAGTGATTTGGAATTTGGCACAAAACCCAATAACAAAGATAAATATTTCCTATACAATTTTGTTCCTTCATATAACACTTAGGTATCTTTTGTCATAATCAGTTATAAATTTCAAATCTTACATGTATGAATATCATGTTTATTTTTATCAAATTGTTGCTATTTTTCAAAATTATAGCCTATAAAGGAAATTTATTATGTATGGCGCTTGTAGAATAAATATCTGTGGATAATTTACATTGGGCATGCAATCTATGTAAAAGCCATAATGTATCTTGCTCGATATTTCGACTAGAAGAAAGCATGGCACACACAGTTGCTTTCAATATCAATATTTTAAAAGAATATTTTCAATGAACATTGAATGTTGATTTGTGCGTCTTTGTTTCATGGCTAACCGCCAAATTCATAACAGCAATTCACTTTCGTATTTTCTAGTGACAGTCCACTATTAATCACTGCTCTTTCAGTCCCTTCTTGTAACGAAATAATTGATTTATTTTAGAATATCTATCCATTCGTAAATAGTCTACAATTTTTTTCTTGTTAAACCAAGACTATTTTCAGATTGGGTTTACCGAAAATAATCTTCAAGGAGGAAATAGAACTCAACTAGAACGAAATCGCATTCAATGAAAACATCAAAATAAAAAACAAACATCAGAGGTTCCAAATAAAATATAGGTATAGACACGAACAGCTCCATTTGAAATAAGTGGCGACCTAATTGTAAAAATATAATACTACTTATACGCTTTCATCAAACACTGTTCCATCAGGGTCCATTAATAAATTTCCTTTGCGTTTTACCGTACGTTTTACATTCATTACAAAAATGATTTTCTTCGTTATACACCTATTCATTAAATTTATCCCAGAGATCTTGTATGCTTCCCCGGCAGTTGAATGAAATTCGCTGGCAGCCGTAGATAGTAACGCTTGAAAAACGGGGAAGAACTTCTGTATATATTACATAAATAGTTACGTACGGCTCGAATCTTTCCACTATAACGCAACGTGGAAACCACTGTAGAACGAGCAACATCGTGACAGGATAGTTTATCTGCAGTTGTTGCAGCGTTTCTTGTTTTTGTTTTCGTTGTTAGAGGTGCACAAACCCATAATGTTTGCGATCCCTCGTCAATTAAGGATGATTATTAAAACTAGCGTTGAAATTCGCTTGATTAAATGTTTTAAAACAGTGTGCAAGTTTTTAACGATACTCTGATCGGATTATCTTGTGAATCTTTATTGTATTAAGATTAATGTCTTATTAATTTGGATGATGGTAAAACAAATAAACTGTACATAGCAATTATCTTTTATAAATCATACTATAATTTAAATTGAAAGTACAGGCTTGGAAAAAAATACTATTAGAATAGAATAGAGTAGATTTTTTTTAATTTGTTACGAACGTAATATCTTTAATATTTAAATGTTAGATAATTGCGTTAATAATTATGTTGATGAAAAGTGTTATTTTTGTATTTAAAGTTCATACTTAAATGTTATTAATACTTATCATATAATTAATAATTCGTAATAATTAGGATTGGTAATAATTCGTCTATTAATTGCGCTAACAAAACACTTCATAGAGATAAATGCAAAATTGTTTGCAATATAGTCAATTCTTTAAGTTGAACAAAGAAAGATTAACATAACAGAGGTTATAGTGAGAAAGTTGCAATCCAACTCCCATAATATCACTCTTTCTTTTTCCTCAATATGAGACTCATTGTTGTACAAATTAACACTTAACTGTATGTACATACCTATATTTCCCATTTCTATAATTTCTCCAAACGTGGCGTTTCATTAAAAAAGAATGACGAGAAAATCATAAACTCCTCTATTCAATATTAACTGTTAATAATAACATTGCTAAACTCGAATGAGCAGTTTTAAACGATTTTCAACAAAGAAAACTACAGAGCTGTGAAAAAGTCACGAATGATGAAACTCTAGTATAAAATGAGCAAAAAATATTTTATAGTGTACAGCATGATTACCACGCCCATTTCCGACGTTTTTATCACAACAACTCGACGAAATGCAGGCATTGCAGTTAGTCAAGAACATTCGCAAATAAAAGCAACTAATTGGAAAGTATCGTAGGTCAGTTTCCACACCACATAATCAATTTGTTTTCTAATGGAATTCGGCTACTAAATAAATGTAATTACTCAACACAGTACAAGAAGAAGCTAAAATTGCACATTTTAATTTTTCTAATAATCGATATCAATTTCCGTTAAATAATAAATTAAATACGAGTATACCAAACCCACTAATATTCCAATAATTCCTGCGGATTGTCCACTTCAGCATCGTCTTACAGCATCAGGTCTTAAAACACAATCAATAATTCAAAGGAATATATTTTAGCGCCGATATTTATTTTTTTTAACTACTTCAATCAATGCAAATATTATCATGCATATTCTGGAATATTACATGCTAATAGTGTTATTGCTTATCAGCAAGAACATTATCATAATGTTTGAACGTATTATACGGCTTTTAGGCGATGATTTCATATGGAACAAACTCTGTAAATATTTGGCTGCAATAGATATTTGTTTAAAGAGATTTTTTCTTAGAATTTAGAGCACGATGCTGCTCATTTCCATGCCGGTGGAGATATCCAAGCACTTCATAAAATGAAATTTTTCCCACATAAAACTTTGAGACTTCCATAGTGAAAATTACCGCAAAATTACAAGCTGAAAAATTAATTGGTTACTTAAAGATGCACGCTTGATTTTTTCCACTGCAATTACCTTTCAAAGGTGCAATTTCATCCCAAGTGCAGTATGTATTAAAATTGAATAGATGCGGTTTATTTATTTCTATCTGCCTTTAATATAATAGTTCTGGATAGTTCACAATGTACCCTTACAGCAGCTCGAATGATTATGATGGAGGAATTGATATAAAACTAAAAAAGAAAAGGTTGATAATGTATAAACACGTGTCTCTTTTAATTTGAAAACAACTTTATTAACTGCAGTAAAGGTGTGTGTAGTTTTGTTGTGCAAATATTTTATATCAGTACGCATTCATCTTTGATTCAATAGTATTGTTAATGCACCATGCATATACATGCAATTGTATGGATACACGTTACCAAAAAAATATAAAGTGCTGACATGAAATAAAATCGATTGATATGAAATATCGATTACCTAAACGGATATTAAGATACTTGGAACACTAAAAATAGATAACGAATGTCAAGAAATTTTTCTACATAAAACACAAACCTTCGTTAGTTAATCTTTTAATTAGATTGTTTATGTCTAAATATTCTAAAAATGTTATTAAAAATGTAATTCATAACAAAACGAAAAATAATTAAATTTTCCATTATTGCAATTTCCTGGGTATGCTCAATACATAAAAAAAAAACTTTAGGTGGGAAATATTTTGGAAGCATCATTAGCACCATCTAGAAGCGTGTTAGGTAAACAACCTACCCTAACTCTGCGCATCATGTGCGCATGCTCTAATAAACAAAAATTGGCGAGATTTTCAAATGTGAATACAAAGTTTTCGCTAATTAGACGGTTTGCTTGCAAAAAAACCCGGAGTAAATATTGACACGATAAACAATAACATTGCGTAGAACGGAGCCTACTGTTTGCTCGAATTACTTACGTTAAAAAAATAAGTAGGTAATGTTTAATTTAGATATTAGTACGTTGAAAGCGTATAACGCGAATGATATATTCTAATAGTTGTCATATATAAACAGTCGACGAATAATATGTCGCAATATTTAATAATAATTCCAGAATAAGTAAGAAAACTTACCTGGACTAGTCTGCCAACTTAAACCTCCAATAAACATTTTCCTGCAACACAAAAAAATTCATTATAATTAAGGGGGTGTTAGGGCACATGCCATGTGGTTAAACATGTGCGTTAACCGAATTTAAACCAATTATTTCGCTAAAAAAACCCACCCTGGATCGTTGGGGACCTCAGCAGGACTACCAGCAGCCACAATATCTTGATTTTGGGGATCCATAGCACTGTTTCGGTATAACTTTTGCTGAACTACGACTACACTAAAGGTAAATAGAAACCGGGTACTGTTGCGGAACACCCGGCTCCGCGTGCTGCTCGTCACTATCAACACGATACTGGTGATTTTAAAGGGAAAAATCGAGATCGTGCGCGATCGTTGGCGCACGCGCACCGCCCGCCCGGCAGGAACAGACAAACAATCACTGCCATTGGATCCAATCCGTGCAGTGCGACGGTGACGTAATCGTCTTACTGCTGCGCCTTGCACATTAGCGCGCCGCGCTCCGGCGGCCGGCTTCGCGGAAAACAACGCGGAAATATCATCGCGCTCTGTATGCACCGGATATGGGGCACTGTGTCGAAGTTTAATTCCTGCGAGCTGCGATACTGCGAACGTGCACTGCAAGGTAGAGTTGAACGGAGATGGTTCAGAGTTTAGATCTAGATGCCTATGTCACCAAGTCAAGGTGATCTAGATCATGCTTTTCTCTACCGGTCTCCGAACAATGTTAATTGCTCGGCTTATTTTTTATTTTGTACACTGTTTTCCAAAAAAAATAATCAATGATTTAAGGCTAACCAATCCTTTAAGTGCCTCTAACTTGACAATTGTACATTGTTGTCAAAGAGTATTTAACTTGACAGTTTTACATTGTTGTTATGGAGTAACTATGGAAATTGTTTACGTTAAAGAGAGGAGGGTACTATTTATTTTATTATTATTATGAAAATTTTATTAAAAAAAGCTTGAAATATGTCAATTGCACGACACGAATTGACATCCTGCAACGAAAGATTATCTTTTCTAATACTACCAACTTGAGAAATTAAATCATAAACAGTACGTTCATTGTAAAAGTAAACAAATTTATTGTATATTGTCGGAAAAATTAAAAATAGTAATATTAAATGTGGCTGGGACACACTGTGTTGTTTATTCATGCATACGTTTACTACGTATGTATGTGTATAATAGTGATAAACACTTTTTTATTGATGCGTGAAGTGGGATTTTTCGGTCGGACAAAAGGCTTTTATAACAGCAATAAAAATAATACCTATTAGTTGCACAGTTCCACATTTTACCTACAATTAACAATATTGGGAAAATTCAACTGATGGTTTCAAAATATCTAAAAATTATGATACCAACTCCTGATGACTTATTTTGGAAGCTTTAGAAAATTTTGGAAGCTTTTGCTTAAAAAGTGATCATCCATTCAGAATAAAAGTTACATTTATTTTAAAATGGGCGCACCCGAATTGCGAACTATGGCCAATCTCTATTCGGAATAGCGAATTTAAACCCTTGCAGTAAGTTAATCCCCTTACTGAATTGCGAACTACACTACAATTACAAAAATTAGCTTAATTTAATCCATCTTTAGTATTATACAAAAAATACAAAATTTACACAATTGAGCTATCACACGACCAATATTCTTGTTTTAAAAAATCCGAACACCTCCTACTGCTACTCCCCTCGCGATTGGCTAGCTATCGAGAGTGAATTCGGTTTCGAATGCAACTTTTTGTTTACCGATTAATTTTTATAACCAATTGCGGCTGGCGGCTCCTAGCCGGTTTAAAATTTTTTGTTTTCTGACTAATTTTTATCGCCAATTGCCTCTGGCGGCTCCTCGTCCAATGATTGCCGTGAATAAACACAAGCGAAGGTGAAAGTGGGATGATACTTAATGTATTTTTTCACTATCCATAGTTCACAATTCGGATGGAAACTACGTCTTGTTTGGGTCAATAAAACAACACCCGGCATCGAGGTAGCGTTCCCGCCCGATTTATCACATTTAACGATAAGGCGTTTTAACAAGCTACGTGATATACAGTATGTACGAACTGATCCGCTGCAAGCATATAATGAGAATAATGAGATAGCTAATTTAACTTTTGCTATGTAAGGAATAAAGAGAACATACGAAATAGTCACGCCCGCTATCCCCGCTATTCGCTAGTGAACGAAGCGAAGCGAATTGACGAATTCTAATATCGGCCGGCAACCGATAAACAAGTTTCTGTTCTTTACTATCTTATAGTATTGATTGAGATTCTAATTCTAACGCTTGCAGCGGAAGAATTCGTACACTCTGTATTATCAGCAATCAAACTCTTCTGCCTTTAGCTAAATTATCGAGTACAATGCGGATTGTGGTCGAACTGAAATCGCCGATATAAAAAGGCACTCCCCAAGGGGAAACCATAAAATTGCTTGACCGGACCCGGAGAATCGCTTTTAAGATCTAATCGTCCGAGCGACGCTGGCGCTGTTTAATTTTCCATCCAAAAAATTTCTGTTTTACTGTAGGAACGCCGAGCGCTGATAAGGAAGAGCCCCGATGGTGATAGTTTAATTGGTACTTATACTAAGTCATTGGCAATACTCGGATGATATTGCTTACACTAACGAACGAATATTTTTATTGAATGTGAAGCACGATATCATAGGAAAATGATTTTTAAAATGAATGTTTTCAGCAAGAATAAGAAAGTATTTTTCATCGTAGTTTTCTTACATTATACTACAGAGCAGGAAATTCTTATTTTGAATAATAACAAATAAAATTAGTAAACTTGATTTTTACAATTTATTGTGATTATCGTAATAACTATATTACATTCGCGGGCACAGGGTATATCCAATTCCGTCCGGTATTATTAACACTACTGGTCATTAACTGTACTTGAAGCAGAATAAGAAAATAATTATAGTTTTTGTTACTTGGCATATATCTTAAAAATATCTTAATTTAATATTTTTCCTGCGAAATTACAGTCGGTTTATAGAACTACTTCTATTTACATATCTACCAAATTTTCAATAATACAAGAAACATAAGCTCCCAAAATAACTCTAAAAAAAATAAATAAATAAATAAATAAATAAAATTGAGCTTCAAAATGACAAAAAATAAATAAATTAGGTACTGATTTGTACAAAGTAAGCACTTGAAATCTACAAATTATCCCGTTTCTAATAAAACAGAGGCAATATGACATACTAATTTGTAAAAAAACAATTAATAATTCTCTACTTAGAGTATCATTAAATACTAGAAATCCTGAGAATTGTCATTGCTATGCAATGTAGCAATATTGCTGGAAAGAATACTAGAAATCACAGAACTTGTTAGAGTGCTGCTCATGTCTGAAGTCATGTTTAAAAAGTCAGTTTTGAAAGCTATCTCGGAATGTTCGACACCTATGATGGTATCAGAAGAAGCTTGCAAGTGTTGGTTTGATTCTAATGATACTATCGTATTCATTGGAGTTGAACTAATAGACTGTTCGGTACGAACTTCATATGAACCATCAATGTTCGCTAAAAGTTTCCTTTCGTTCCGAACGTACTCTATGAAATTTTTAATTTTTATGAGCAAAAACAGTGGCACTTCGAAACCTTTGAGCTCGTGAAGCTGCAAATTTGGGCTATTCCTGTACTCGTCACTTTCAGTCAATTCTTTGATATCTTCTAGCAGCATTAAATACGCTTTGCCGCCACTAGGGGGCATCAAATTCTTAGATGCCAGCCATTCTTTATCTTCTTGATCACCTGAATACCTGGATAAAATTTAATTCATTTTATATAATTCATATACAATAACAAGAAACTTGTCTTTTACCTTACAAGATTTGGGTGTCTCACATAGAGCCTGCCCCTAGTTTGGCCGTATCCTAAAACTTTATTAGCTCTGGCGCCCATTATGAACAGAGAATTGGCACGGATTCTATCCGGATTCCACTTCGGACCGTCCCTTTTCAACGATAATTTACAACTACTGTAGTCTGTGTGATGGGACTTGCTCCTAGGCTTCTTAATGGGAAGCATATGGGGATAAGCCGAGCCCATATCGTGATCAGGATCGCAATCTTTTCTCTTGCAAGTGATAATTGGACTCTACAAAAATTAATTTGTATTCAGGTACTCGTAGAATAGCTTATGTTGATTGACTTACCATTCTCCCGTATTTTGAATCTAAGAAACTGGTTTCGGAATCTGCTTCAATGTGGCTGTATTCGTACGGGGAGCTATCACGAGAACTAGGGGTTACTTTGTACATAAGTTTGGCCTCTTCCAGCATCTGTTTACACACCTCTTTTATGTGGTCGTCACCTACGGTGCCTTTTCCCAAATTATTCTTTATGTTTATCATAGCTGGTTGAAAAAATTTCTAAAACAAAGCGATTTAGAAATGCGCTATCAATTGCAGTTGAATGAATTTGAACCTCTATGTATTTTTTTAGTACGTTATCTATGTCTTTGTTAATGGCGCTTTGTAAGTTTTTTCTTAAAATATCTAATGACTTTGTGGGGCTGGTAATACTGTAAGCTCTTCTTAGCGATGGAATGGTAGTTTTGGCTCCGTTTCTTTGGGCTATGGAACTAGCCGCAAGATTCATTAGATTCACTTGTCTCATGTTGAAAGTATTTTTCTAAAAAAATATCGTAGAGAAGGTACATTTATTTATTGTATGATTTATTTACCCATCCAACCATATTTAGATTTTCCTCTGTTTGCCCAGGAGCAAGAGGCGGTATCATTTTTGATTGTTCCAATATTTTTGCTAATAGTTTTTGCCAGTGCTACTGGCATATAAAAATTTATTGGATACGTTATATCCGACTGCAAGTTATCAATTTTAAACAAACTGGTTTTTAAAACAATTACAAACAGCAATCAATAACTCGAACACATTAGTAACGTCACTGTCACTGAATGACACATGTCACATCCATAGCAGTAGTACCAACTTGATTTTGTATTATTGAAATTAATTAATTAATCTATCGAATTCTAATCTTATATTTACTATATATTATTGTTTATTCTTAACTAGTCTCCTCTATTCGATCCTTGGTAAAATAAGTAATAGAAATTCAATAAAATAGGGAAGAAACAAAGTAATTAACTGTTGGCAACAGTGAGTTTTGACGTGCGATATTCGAAAAGTAAACAAACAAAATCAGTAAACGTCAAAGAATAAATCAAAATCAAATTTTTCAATTAAAAAGTTATGCAATTGAAGATTCAATTTGTTGTAGCTACATTAGTGTTATTAATTAAGTTTTCTGATGCCTCATCTGGCGACCATTCCCCGTTTTACCAAAAATGCGTCGCAAAGTGTGAAATTGGAAACTGTACTGAAGGTTAGTTTCGACAATTTGTTTCTCAAAACAAGTTTGATTGGCATTATTTTTATTATTTAGATGGCAAAGAGTTCAAAGAAGATACTCAGGCCTACATAAACAGAATAACTTTGTGGAACTGCAAACAAGAGTGCCAATATGACTGCATGTGGCAAACTGTAGAGGCATTCCATGAGAGGAACTGGAGAACTCCTCAATTTCATGGAAAAGTAACTTAGTAAAAATTGATTGTATTAACTGTAATAACCATTCACCTATTTTAGTGGCCTTTTATAAGGGTGTTGGGCATGCAAGAGCCTGCTTCGGTCATTTTCTCCCTACTAAATGCTTTTATACATTTCAAAATGATAAAAAAATTTAGAGAAAAAGTGAGACCTACTTGCCCGTTGGTTTGGCTATGGCATGTTTACTTTATAGTGAGTATTATTAAACAAGATTTTTTAATATCTAATGAATATCTATTAAAATTTTAGGTGTGTGTTCATGCTTGGTTTTGGTCAGCAATTTTTCATTACAGGGATTTTCTGATTACTGAAATTTTAGATTATGCATGCGCATTTTCAATTATATTAATGAATTGCTATTTAATGAGTATAAGGTATGCATTAAATTGCTCCAAATTAAAACAGATATATTTATATATTTTTTTAGATTGTTGCATGATAAAGTTCCAAAAATTGTGCTGAGTCTAGTGACTGTATTTTTCGTATTCTTTTTCATGAGTCACGCTGCTTATTTAAGCGCTGGTAAAATTGATTATGGCTATAACATGGAATTGAACATAACTGTCGGTAAATAGTATTTTTGTACATTTATTACTAATATTGGTAATTACATACATGAAATTTCAGCAACATTTAGCGCATTGTGTTGGTTTTCTTGGTGTTATTACAACAGAAAACGTCAAAAGTACGTATGGAAATGCGCAATCTATGTGGCTTTATCCGGGATAGTACTCTTGTTAGAATTAGTGGACAGTCCCCCATATTTCTTTCTGATCGATCATCATTCTTTATGGCACTTGTGTACAGCCCCTCTTGTCATATTTATGTACAGGTTGGCTAATAAATCTATTTATTTTACACATTTACTTACTAATTTGAAAAATTATTTTTTAGTTTTGGTATGGACGATTGCAAGTACCTTCGACAGAGGAAGAACGATCCCGAGTATAAAAAGGGTCCCTGAGACAGAGATAATATTAAAGTCAAAAAAGTTCGACTTCGCAAAGGTCTCAATACAATTAGACTTAACAGGGGGTTTTCGCTATATCGATAAAATATATTGGATATATTTATTCTAGTCGTTCGTTGTATGTGTAACAGTGTTAAAGGGTTTAGTAACAGAGTGTTGCTTAGGGACACATCGAAATCTATTTGTACATTTGTAACATAGTATTAATTTTTGTGAGAAAAACACTTTCTAAATTAATATTATTTCGTTTATTTTTGCGTTTGAATCGAATCGATTTTGATTAGATTGCATTAAAGTTCATTGTGCATTTTTCTGATTTTTATTGACTTTAAATTTTTTATCGTTATGAACGTTTTATACATTATTTAAGACTGATTAGAGAAGCAATTTTGTTGGTTAAATGTTTTGTTCTATTTATGAACAAACTGAAAATGTTTTATTAAACCATAAACGTAAAAAAATGTTTTTTATTCAAACAACAGAACCTAAACGAAGCGTAAAAAATAATTCTATATTTTGTGTTATGGAAAGGATATGAATAAACCATAAAACAAATTGCAGGTAGAATGCTTTTTAATATTTCTCTAATATTATTGTCACAGTCACTTTTCCTTCTATTCGAAACATAATCGCGGATTTTAATTGATAAAAACTTATATTATAAAACCTAAAAGATAGAATAGATCACATTAAAATTTTCTACCTAAGTACGCTTTTAGTACTTAATTCAAAATAGAGATTTATGATTAAATTATCACAAATAAGCATTAAATGCAAATAATCTACCAAAACATTGCACTGACCGCAGTCAACTGACCGGGTAAGATAAACCCTTAGCAAATGGAAAAAAATGTTAAGTTCTCAAACAGTACAATAAAATATGAACTCTATTCAGCAGCGAGCAATTCACATTTTATTATATTTCTGTGGAAAACTAAAACGTTTGATAAGTTGTTTATCTTACCTTTCAAATTGATACATTGGGACGGGATACATTGTAGTGCTAAAATGCATAATATACTCAGATAAATTATTTTTTAAATAGTATGCACAACATAAATACAGTACTTTCGTAATAGTACGTACTTATTAAAATCAGTGACTTTGCTTAAATTACAAGTGAATTTCAATTTTTTTTAACAATTGTCATTTTTCAATTTGACATAGATTAGAATTTAATATCCAAAATTAGGTCTGAGATCAGACGTAAAGATGATAATTTTCTTTTAAATTTTATGCTAAAAGAATGATATTTACTTTTGGCAAGTAATGGTGGATCAATTTCAAAATAATTGTTAAAACATAAAGAAACATTCAATAGTCAAACAAAAAGTAAATATGGATTAGTAACAATCAGCAAAGTTTTAATCTAATAAGCTCTTAAGATGGATAGATTGCTTTTTGCCTAGTGATTACATTATTTGAAACGAAAAACCAATCTGAAATGTTATTCGCATGAGATATGTTCAATATTGCTATGGATCATTTAACATTCATAGTTTTGTGATTAAAAATTTATTTTTACTACGAAATGTAAAATGATCAAAACGATAACTTGATATAGAAGAATATTGTGGACATTTCAGGTTACTTTTTCTCTTAGGATTAGGTAAAAGTATAAAAATTACTACCACAAACATCTTTAGCTACGCTATGATTGTTAACATTGTAATTCTAAATACTTATTTTGTACATACATGCCTGTAATTTACACATGAACAAAAAAAATAGGAAACTGGTTTATAGATTATTGCACAAACAATCCGAATTGCATCATTCAGTTAAATCAGCAATTTTAATGACTTATAATTTAAATACATTTTTAGTATTTCCGATTTGAATAAATAGAGGTTTTAAATGTATTTGCTATTTTATGTCTAATTTATTAAATGAACAACCGAGTTCATTTTTATACAAAAAATATAAGTAAAAATTTGTAAGTTAGCTTTGAGGTTCACATATTTTTATGAAATAAACTTTTATTCCCCTAATTAAATAAATAGAATATCAGTCTTTTAAATTAAAAAAAATCATAAATTTGTCATAATGTGTGTTTACAATAAACAAATTAAACACTAAGAGCGTTTTCACAGGGTGCAATATTTGTTGCAATAAATTGCTGCAGTATGTTGCAGTTTTTATACAAGCGTTAATAAAAATTATCGTATGCACCTGTGGAAACAACGCATTTTAATGCTTGTATTTTAACTGCAATGCAATATTGCAGCATTTCATTATTGTAATATATTGAACCGTGTGAAAACGCTCTTAACCTGATATTCTCACGATTTAATTACTCAATATTTGGAAAAATCGTTGGGACAAATACGTCGATTTATCCTTATTGACTACCGAGATTATTGTAAATCTACTAAATATTTATTGATATTGGTCCATCTATATTAAAAACAACTAAACAACATCTAATCGAAAATGAACCTTCTTAAAAAATAGTAAAATCGGTAAGCTTGATTCACAATACACAACAGTCTACATCATTAAGTACTTAATTGACTCTGTTCTATATTGAATGTGCTTACATTGCAATCTTTTTACAGTAACAATAAAATTGATTCAGTTATTCAGCTCAATACAACACAGTATTGTATTTTACAATTGATAAAACGTAAAAATAATTGTACAACTTCTAATGGAAGGTTTGTTTAATTTTTTTAAAGTAATATTACACCGAGTTTTATCTGTTCTCTTAAACCTAGTTCAATAAATAAGTAACAAAAACAATATAAAAAATTTAAAAATTCAACTGCATGGCACATTATTAACATCCAAAAAAAAACCTAATTTAATTGTGATCAGCTCGTTTACCATTCATGTAACCAATCCACCTTTCAGCCGTGATTTTATACAAAGGTTCATTTTCAATGGTACTTAATAACAACAACTGATTAATATGGGTAGCGTGATAGTCCCACCTCGCTAAATTCGGCTCAATGCCGATAGTAAAGTGCCTAAGATCATACGAAGTGACACTGCCCATATCAAATAGTGTCAACATATTTTTCAACGATATCATACCTTCATTGTACAAGAACTCTGCTTCCTGAGCTTGACCCGGAGGGGCGATTGTTATTAAATCGTACAGACCCAATAATGAGTAAATAAAACCGTTTAGTACGAACGAGGCTGGCCTCGTGGGGTACTCCTCGTACCAAAAATATTTGTTTAAAAAGGTAGCCCTTACGCCACCCTTCGAACTGGAAACCCTAAATGGCTTGAGCCCTCTTAAAGCTGCCGTTAGATAACGAATGTCTCCACCCGAATGATAATAAGCCCTAGAGAGGACAGAGAGCGCGTGACCCTGACTCATTGCTGAATACCAACCTAGAAAAATAAGTTTGAATTGATATGCTAAGGTTATAGTAAATTAAAGTATTACCTGGCTCTAAATCACGAAATCCACTAGCTAATTTACGTTTAACATTGATCGCCCATCCACCTGTTTCTACGTTTTGGTGTCTAACGAACCATTCGGCGGCATCGTAGAATTGCTGAATGTGCTCGGAGGAGCTTAGAGTGAAGTTATCCAAGCGTCCGGATCCTCGCAGAGTTACTTCGACTATTTTAATTTTCGATCTCGATATCTTCAGCTTGGATTTATCCTTTTCCGAGTAAACTAAACCTTTGTGGAGATCGACGATTAAGTCTCTGGTTATTTTATTCCATTCTTTGACAGTTCCTATTCCGTGGTAAATATTATTGTCCTGAAACGAACGGTTTCAAACATTGCTATCGGTTAAAATAAGATTTCTTTACCTGTGCTGTAATCCAAATATCGGAAGTTATGTAATGTAAGTAGTGGATTTCTTTGCTTTCTCGGTTCTGTAAGGTAATGCAGAGACTGCTGTTGTTAGTTAAGAGAATGTCGAGGCTCATAACGAAGTACAAAACGTGATCCATCTTTAATTTAATACCGTCCATATAATTGTCGCTTGTGGAAAAAGTTAGAGTTCTAGTGTTTAACGATTTGTCAAAGACTCTTTCTAATTGGGCCGTCGTTGGAACAATCCATTTTGCTAAATCTTTTTCGCAATCTTCAACGGTTTTTCTCCTTGGTTCGGGTTCAGTGAGGTTTTTACTAAAGTGAGATAGTCCAAATTGGGCTGTAAAATAGTATTCAAAAATTAACGAGTTACGAATGAAAATTTAAGAAACTCTTACCTATTTGAGTGGGGTAGTAGTAGCCTTGACTTTCCCATTGAATAGATACCGGTACACCTTCCGAAGCGCTGACGCACTTAACCCTCTCTCGTACCTCAACATTGTAATTATCGAAGTACATGAATACTCCTCTAGGGTCGTACTTCCCTTTGGGGTGATAGACTTTGCCGTAGCTGTGTGTCCACTCGAACCTTTCAATTCCATCATAAGTAGCCAATTTTCCGTAAACTTCAAAGTATCTGTGCAAAAATGAGAAAGGGACGTAGACATCATCGCCTTCCTTGCGACAACCTATAATGTATTCTCCGTTTATATCACAGTCTATTTCTTCTGATACCGGAATATCAATTGATTTGGAATTAGCAATGTAAAATTTGTTCCATTCTTTCTCCGTGCTTCCGCAAAAGGAATACAGCGTTAGAATGGTGAAAATTCCGATACATAGCATAAAAATTAAGGCTACTTTTACATTAAATTTCATCATAACAAAAAAGATAGGAAGTTCCTGAAAAAATGTAATGTTTTAATTTCCTGAAGTAAATATTTATAAAATTGCAATACCTTTGACACAATAAAACCACTCCTGGAAGAGCCAGGTTGTTTATCGACAAGAACCATTTAGTCTTTTACATTATTTTATGAATAACCGATTCAAAAATGTAATTTCTAAGCATTCTATAAAGAGAAATTCATGCAATTCATACACATATTTTTAAAAATACGATAAGAATGTACCAAAGTGACATTTGTAGGTCACACTTACGTCACATGTCACTAAAGTCGATCTCTACAATCTTCTTACTCTTTGATAATATCAAGTTCCACTATTATGTGGGTATACAGTTACCCCTTTTGGAGATTATATGAAATCTTATTTCTCAATTTGTACGACTCACTGAAACTGAAGCAAAATAAATCAAATTTGTTCGGAGATAATTTCATTTTATTGTCTGGTTTGTCTTGATTGTTCCAAAAAACAATGTCACTTTGACAAGTAAATGACAAGTATTCGATATCAAAAAAACAGATTTATTTCAATTTTATAATCGCTTTATTGGACTTTGACTATTCAATTCTTTAGTATTTAATTAATTCATATTTAATATGATAAATAGAAAAGAATTATTTACTCGTTTTTCAATCGCTACAATACTAAAATAATTTAAACATACAAAACTGGGCGGCTACATTGAAAAATACAAATAATACGCGCTATATAAAACAGTAAAAAATAATTGGTATATGTACATACTAATAATTACTACTAAAATACTGGTTGAGAATTTTTTTAATATAGGTACAAAGTTTTGGAGTTTAATGAGTAAATTAAGCACTTAGAATTTCACGTTCTTTCTTCACGTAGGATCGTTCTTTCAACAGTTGATCAATATGATCTTCGTTATAGAATACGAAAAAATCTTTGGGGCTGAGCCCCTCGAAGACCGAGCAAACCGACGGCTTCAAATTGTAGAAGAACAGCGGTTGATCTCTGGCAGCAAAATCTTGCGTTAGGATTTCTATGACAGTCGCAGCTGTGTAGTCAGCGCCATAGATGTGTGAGCAATCGATTACCACAGGAATTCCTTGACGCAGGCTGTGTTTGGTAACGAGGTTCCTGACGTAGTCCACTGATGGGAATATTAAACATCTATCTGGCGTTAACATGAGGTATTCGTTATTTTCCTTGGACTAAAAACAAATCACGTGAAATTTTTGGCAATTGGAGACATGTAATTTCATGAATAATTGACGATGGTCCAAAAATAGACACTTACAACTAATTTTTCGACGGTAATTTTTGGTCTAGCCGCGTGATAAAGGATAAAGAGCATATTTATTCCAATTCCTACCAATATGCCGATTTCCAGGGCAAGGACCAAGCACGCGATGAAAGTCGCAAAGCCAAGTACCAGATCGCTTTCTAAAAAATTAATAAAATATTTTATATAAATGATATCTACAAAGTATTATTTATTAATAACGTGACAATTTGTTATAAATTAGCTACTATAAATCAAAACGCACAAGTCGCTTGTTAATGGTGAAACGACTTCAAGTTCATTATCAATCTGATATAACAGCCAGGTTATTAACCCGCGCTACCTATTTTAATTTAGCATGACTGCAAGTAAAAAAAATATAAATTAATATTCGTCGAAGTTTCGAAGTGCTGTTATATTGAGTATTCGCCCATGATGGCCACATTCAAGGCTGTGAGAAGCAAAACGAAAGTGGTTGTAATACGATTTTTTCGTAATATGTATCTCTATTGACTATAAAAAATTACCTTGTTATGTAACTTTCAAAATAAAGTACGTATTTAACCAAAGCAAGTCAAGCAGAAACGTATCGTTTGTTTTGATCGGTAAAAAAGGAATTTTAATAGGTGACTCATCGTGCTTACTTTTCGATCTCCACATGGGCTTCACAACTTTGACTTCCACCATGAATATTACAGCTGCAATGATAATGCCGGCAAGCGTAGCTTTAGGAATGTAGTAGAAATAGGGCGTGAAGAACAACAAAGCCAAAATGACCAACACGCACGTGTAGAGACCTCCCAAAGGAGTCCTTACCCCGCTGGAATTATTCACTGCACTCCTGGAAAGCGATCCTGTAGATGGGAAACCTTGCACGAAGGAATTGGCAATGTTGGAAACACCGATAGCAATGAATTCTTGAGTAGAGTCCACCATTTTTCCGTTAGCTATACGATGTACGAATTAATAATATTCTTTAATGTACAATTGTGTAAGAACCTACCGAATGCTTTGCACACGGCAATGTTTTCCAAAATTCCTATCAAAGGCACTACGATAATGCCGCTGCCTAGGTTCGAGACCATCTGCCCGAACGAGTAGCTGATTGTTGTTCCATTCACAGTTTTTTCGAATCCGAAAGGAGGAACTTTAACGCTCGGCAAACCTTGAGGAACGTGGCCGATGAGTTTAAACGGCGGCTCCCCGTTCAAACAGAAAGAATACCCGATAAAGCCGCAAATGATGACTAGAATAGCATTTCGGGCGGTGCCGATCAACCAAGCGAATTTGTTAACCAGCTTTTTAAAACTGGTAATCTCTTCCCCTTGCTTCGGTTTGAATTTCAGCGTGCCGACGATCTACGAAACGTCGAGTAGATTATTTGAAATTATCACAATTGAGCTTACCCTCGACTTACCCTTAATATAAGGAGAACCGCTATGCAGACGATTCCAAGCGCCGCGTCCCACACTCGAGTATTATGGATGTCGCTGAACAAGCTTTTCCACGTTTCTATGAATGTATTTCCACTTGCTCGTATGCCGAGTACGTCTTTTACTTGCGAGGTAACGATAATCAGCGCTACGGCCGATGTGAATCCAGAAGAAACCGGTCCAGAAACAAAGTCAATTAAGAAACCTGCGATGAAACTTGTTACATTCGATTCCTGGTATAGTATAATAATGTTTTACCTAAACCAAATAGTCCCATTAGAAGCATGACGACGCCTGTAAGGAAACTGAGCAGTATAGCGTGTTCTGGTCCATATCCTGCGGTCGCCTGGAAAGTCATTAATGCTGAAATAGCCGAAGGACCTACAGGCACGTCTTTGCAACTACCCAGGAAGATGTACACAAACGGGCCCAGGAATGAGCTGTACAGGCCGTACACAGTCGATAAACCTTTAAAACAAGGCTCGTAAGTACCTCATATTGGCCAGTGATTATTTCCAGTGCTTTACCTGCAATGTTGGAATACGCTAAGGCTTGAGGTATCACAGTTAGGCCGACCGTAATGCCAGCTACGATGTCGCCCACCGCGCATTCTGAGTTGTACCTTGGAAGCCAACTGAGTATAGGTAGCCTTCTGAAGAGCTTTTTTCTCGTGCAGGAATTCCTCAATTTCTTCTGTGTCCATGGTAGAGCCGATTTGATTGTTTCTGCGAAGGTGTTGCGTTTTTTGGTGTTGTCTATCACTAAAAAATTATGTAAAATGAGAAGCTAGATAATAATTTCTCCTCAGGAAGATGATTATTTCACGAGTATTTCAACTCACCAATAAAGTCATTACTTCCTAAATAAGATGAATCGTTTCTACTTCTAAAATTATGTATGGTATCGGATGATGCTGTGAGGGCTGGATTGTCGTAGGATAAGTAAGTGCCGTTTGTACCACCGCCTCCTGCTCCTTGGATGTCTCTATCGGCTTTCTGATGTTCGCTCCTGGAGCAAAAAAATTGGAGGTAAATTTTGCATTTTCATTACGTCTACCAATATATTTCCTAATTGTTATAATTAATTGGGAACTCGTTAAAAAACCTTTAATTGGGTACAAACAGTTTTTAATAAAATAATTGCTTCATTTTTTTAATTAGTGGAAAACATTCCTTTGGACAATAATTAAGTCTGTCTTATTGTTTTTATCTGATAAACGAATGCGTAAAAAATTATTTACTTTTTGCTAAATATGACCTTTAAAATAAATTTTCCGCTCATTGACCTTATATAACGTACGTTTATTTGTGTTTATAAGGTATGTTGTTATAAAAGGTATCTAAGAAAATAAAACACACAGTTACTACATTAATTCATTTTTCATCTATTTACTGAAAACTTTTATTCGAGTTCATTTTAAGTAATGTTATAGCTTCAAAAGAAAATTGCTTGATGGCATTCAACTAGCCGGAAAGTATCAAATTATACCCAATTTTCAAAAATCAATATAATTTGTGCGTGTCAAAGAAAATACGGCTATAAAAAATAAAGTCGTTGTCAACAAAATAATTTCACAATTATCAACTATTTGTTATTAAAATGTTATAACCATTTCTTTGTCAGATACTTACAGCACGTTCCATAAAGCAATGCTTCAATTATTGCGGGTTACATTAATTTGTGTTCATAAACATTCCAATTTTATTTCATGTCTAATACTTAATTACGATGCAAATTAATATGTAAAAATTTAAGTAATTACAGGGAGTTCATTAAAATTCAGGTTTATAACAAAAGGTGATCTTTTATTGTAAAATCGTGATAAAAGTTGCCAAATAATAAATTGAGTGTTCTACACAATACCTACATACTTGCATTACTGAGGTATTTTAACTGATAATTTATTCCACAACAATAAAAATAATCGTTACGTTTTTCATTTTAGGTTTAATTTAATTTACAATATTGTATTTGACTAAGTAAACAATAGGCTTTCAAAATTTATAAGTTGCCATGCAATTTATATTCCTACAACTTTAACATAATCACTAAATTAATAGTCCAAATCCAAGTCCAAAAAACTTATATTAATCGAACTCACGATTGCTCTATCCCTAGTATTATTAAAGAAATGAATTGTATTGATAAAGTCCTCTATAAGTATAAGAGAGGGTCTGTGAGAGGCTCAAAGAAAGCAATTTATTTCACTAAAATTTGTTGAATACCTTGACCTAGTGAACAAATATTTCTTTTGGTGCACCAGAATTTGGTATTCAAGTTCATTTAAATGCTAAAAGTAATCGTGATACAAAACAAGAAAAATTAATCAAACAATAAAGTAATTCGTATTCCACACATTTTGGTGACTGTGTAACAGTTGCGGTTACATTTTCAAGAACACTACAAATATTTGTTAATCATACCTAGAGTGACGATATGCTCGATATATTTGGATGTTAGTACAGCGCAATTTCATAACAACAGTTATATTTTGATTGTAGGGGAATTTAAAAATCAAAATTTATTTGTACCTATTTCAATTTTGCGTTATTGTTATGTAGAAAAATTAAAATTTACGACAATTACATGAAGTAGATATACGTACCTACCTTTTGTTCATATCATAAAGAAGACAATTTATTAGGGTAATTTACAGCCATAAAAATTTTACATATACGAAATTTTAGTTCATGTATCAGTTCATGTATTATTAAGACCGAAAATTAATATCTGCATATAAATAATATTCACGTATGTTTAATTACCCTAAATTTTGAATGTCTAATATATTACTTGCGGATTCATAAATTTTTTGCTAAATTAATTTTGACATCAAAGGAAGCTATTACCTACCTATTGTAAAGATGTTTCCCATTTAAACTATGTAATGAATTATATGCATACTAATAGACGTAAACAGACAACCTTCAAAATTGTTGTCTGTTTTTTTTAATTATTTTACCTCAACAAATTCAACAATCAGTTCGACTATTGAACCAGAAAACGATTAAATACCACTTTCTACACAGATTCTTCACAAAGGTTTTTAATTGTTGTATTGTAAAAAATATTGTTTCCTTTATCCAATGTCTTTTCCTTGTAAAAGCCGTTCGAGTTACTTAACACATTTGATAAATTCAACCGCTTGCTGCGGTGAATGTTAATTACAATGGGTATTTAATCGTAATTGCAGCATAAATTCCGTTATCAAATCTCTTCATTTGAATTGACTATCTAGTTGCTACCAATTTATGGGCAGTTCACCTAAGACATTCCACAGGAACGTGAATAATCGATCAGAATTATAAGACTTGCGTAGCAAAGAGCACCTATCTAAAATAGGGAAGAAGTTCAGCATTCAAGGACTGCGTTTTTTATGCGGTACGCTACTGTTTCAACATCTCTGATTTATTAACTATTCACTATTTTTTCTCTTTAGCCTCAGCACAAGGTTGAAATGGCTTCGTAAAAGTAAAAAGTCATTAATTGTATCAAGTACGACATAAGGTGATTGGTGATGCGAAAAATTTTTCGAGAGTTTAGCTGCTAATCATACAATGCAAAATGCGCTTCACTTGCATTTTAACACGTTCTAACAGAAATAAAAATAACTGTAGTAGCGTATTTTTTAAAAATTCCATTAGCTATAACGCTAGAAATATACGGATACTCTATTGTTTATAATTATATCCTTTATAATTTATTTAATGTCCATTATGAACTTGAAGGAAAATCCTAATTATATTCATTTCAATCAATTTACTGTAGGTGTACATACCAGCTTAATTCAATTGTTTGCACTACATTAGCAACAATAATAATTTCATTACTGTTATCACTATTTATTTGTTTCATAAATAATATGTACATACTGAATGATTTTAGCTTGCGTTGCTTATATGTATAATTTTAGTAATTTTCAATTAATTAAATGACTTTTTATTGTTGTTTATCTGCTCTTATCAAACTGCCAACATATACATTAAGCCACGAAATTGACTCCTAATGACTCACGTGCAAATCAGCACGATGATAATCTAGTGACACAAAATATTTCATTTTTTAATGTACAGATCGACAAAAATAGCTTAAACCGCGAAGGTCGAATGGTCTGTGATAAAAGTAATTGGAGCTTAGAGGTAGCTTAAAATATATACATAAATTATGTTACAATTTCACAAAGAAGTTATTAGGTGGCTTCTTCAGTATTTGTATAACAAGATCTGTCATCTCGTTTCTCTTGAAAACTATATAACAAGGTGTTTCTTCTTTTGCAAATGATTTAAAAGTAAAAGTAAAAGTTACATGATTTCAAATTTCGAACTAAACTTCCTTGCATGCGTAGTTGGCACGTATTTTATTTTTTATAAAATAAATGCTCGTCGGCTTCCACCTGTTCATCAATAATCTTAATTACGAGTCAAAAACTAATTTAAAACGTTTTAAATAATCATCAGCATTACCTAATGAACCGGAGATTTGCCAAAGTGGAACAAAAAAATCTTGAATTACTTCAACCGGCTGGACGAATTTGTTATTTACATGTAATTGTAAGAAAACTGACAGTTTATGGGTGGTTACAACAAGGTCATTAACAAAAGCGAAATTAATATTTTAACGGCCGTTGTTGTAAATGTAGATAACATATAATAATGACGATAATAAGATTTATTTTATCAAATGTTAACATTTTTCTTGGAAATAATAATTTAAACCGAAAACCTCAAGGTGGTCAAGATCAATAGCCAAATATGTATACAAATTTTAATTTAACTCCACCGACAATTTTTCGAGAGCCATCAAATGTTATTTTATTTTATTCACACAAATACTCAAAAACTTATTAATTTATTCCATTATAGGCCTTTAAAATTATTAGTATATGGTAAAACGAAGTTTGCGGATCACCTTGTACATCCCTAACTATCTAAATTATGATCAGAAAAGTTACGTGTAGTTCTTGATTTTTATCGATGTCGCGCGTTTAAGGTGCAATTATGCATTTCATCGCGAACGTAACGTGAACAATTTCGTTCGATATCTCAGGCAGATATCGGACAAGGAAAAGCTGAAGCGGAAATTGTTTCTATAAACGGAATAAAGCAACGGAATTTTTATTTTTGATAGGATTCGAGAAGAAATCGTAGAAGGATTTTTGGAGCAAAAATTTGCCCTATTTGCAAATTTTAAATTGCGGTGAAATTAATAGATAAAATTGAACGTAATCAGAAATTATTAAAAACAAAAATTCTATTTTTTTATTGCACAATTGTTTATGTAGGTGTACAAAAAATATTCCGAATTTCATTTAGTCGAGGTTCATATAACTACGAAAGATACGAATGCATTGATAAAATATTTTTATTTCTTTTATGCATCATAGCAAAATGTTGAATAACAGTCAATTAAACAGGCTATACTTTATAATCAAAATTAGTTAATCAAAATTGATTGCTATTAAAATTAAAGACGATTAGATCGGTTTTTGGTTAAATTTTGTTCTCGTTTAACTTTTTTTAATTCTAACGGTAATTGGTTAAAATAGATAATAATTCTGTACGTGTAACAGATTCTTTTGAATTTTTTACACTCACTTCATTAATTCAGTAGACAAAAAATAAAACTGATGCAACAAATATAGCTTATTTCATTTTATTTTAATTTATTTTTGTGCGCAATAATACTTGCAGGTAATATAATAATATTCGATTAACGGGAAATATTAAACCATCGTGAGTTAGGTTAGGATTCTAGAACCTTCAGCAATACTTTTTAAATATTTTATATACTGAACATTAAACCTTCGCGACTTAGCTATTTCTGTCGATCTGTAGTTGAAACACGATGAAACAGCACATTTTCTATTTCCTTTAAAGGCATTTTTGGAGTTCCAGTCTGCATGTTTTAATTTATAAAACAGAATTTCAAATGTGGCTTAAATTTAAATTTATTTAAAATGTTCATAAAATTATCATAAATACATAAGCATAGTATACACAATTATCCAATGCAAAAATTCGACTGTTTTAAAAGCACGTGTGTATGCATATACCTATTTTTTAAATACTTTATTGATAAGAGAAGGCTAAAATTAACATTAATAACGAACCTAGCAATTTTGTAGTAATTTTGAAATTTTTTTGTAATGTTTTGCTGAAGTTGTTTAAATTGGTATTTGATAAAATTTAATTACGTGATCCTTGATAATTTTAGAAATAATACAACTTGTATATTTTTTATTTGACCTATTGATTATTTTATCAATTTAAGTTACTGATTTTCTTGAATGGCGATTTTTTAATACGTGAATTATAAATTAGGAAAAACCGTTGAATTGTTAATAGAATATAAAGTGTTCTTTTAAATTTATATTAGGTACCTACTATATTATTAAGAGTTTACATAATAATAAAATTGTTAAGATGTATTGTGGTTGTTGTAGCCAAACAAAGAAGTCCTGAAACTATTTCATCAATATAGAAAAAAACCCATTCGGTTAATTTTTAGTGAGCTTATTGCCAATGGTTTTACCCATCAGAAAATGGGTTAGGCCTAAGTAATTTTTAGCAAGAAATTCGTTATTGCTAACATTTTTAGTAGAATTTCTATGTTGGGCAATAAAGTTATCCTTTCTCTTCAAGAAGCACGACGTGGAATTTTTGTATAACTAAAAAACGAGGTTGATCTTCTATTTGAAAATGCTATCAATCGAGTCCATTGAGAAAAGGAATGACCTAGCAAATTCCGAAAAATTTTACTATCAACAAATTAAATAATGTAACGCATGCAAAAATGCATTGGAGAAGGGCGGTTGAAAGTTAAGGGGAAAATAAAGGATATTTTGGTAAAAAATTAATTATCTAATTATTAAATAAATACCACAATAAGTAGGTTGAGTAAATTCGTATCCATGAATAATAGAAAAATTTAGTTATGCTTGCTAATATTCATTTTAATTACAATAATAATAAACATTTTTGACAAAGGCATTATAAGGAAATTCGTGATTTTCAGTTTACAATAAAATTAGTTTTTTCCATTATTTATTTCGACGCAAAACATCAATTTTAGTTTTTATAAATAATAAAAATTGTAGGAATAACTAATTAAAACAATTTTACTTGCATAGTTGCACGAAAATATTCGAAAAATTATTGACCTGAATAAAATTGCTATCGAAAAAAAATTAAATAAAACTTGAATTTGCTCAAACGAATTCATTCGAAGTGTTAATAAAAATTTATCACATAGAAACTATGATTTTATTAATAATGAAAATTATATTAAATAAGTGCACGATTAAGATTACTGGAAAATAATATGTTGAAACCCAATTATTCAACAGGAAAACCTAATTTACACTGCAATTGTTATTTTTTAATTATTATATAAAGCAAAAAAATGAAATCACGTCATGGTTGTAAGGAATTTCCTAAAATATAGTTAATAATGAATAATTTTGTTATAAAGAAACACAAATTAATTCTAATTGATACAAATTAAATTATTTTAATAAAAAAATTAACGGATGTAACAGGTCTTGAGTACCCACCTTCAAAATTCGAAGAATTAAAAAAAAAAGCTCGAAGGGACAAAAATATAAAAATTATGAGTATTAGCTGAATATTAGCAGGTATATTATTAAAATTAAGCCAAAACATGACTTAAAAAACGCGAATTTTAGTAACCTAACCACTATCTATGAATATTTTGATCATTTATATGTAAAATTAAGTAGGTATATCCTAAAAATTAAAAAAATCAAAAAAACTTACATCGAAATCCTTAACTCGTTCTTGTTGACAGGCATGTTAAATTGTTGGTCGTTTTTCCTTGGAGCTTGGAAAAACTAAATTATTGTTCGATTAACGAAATGTTGAGAAATTACTGAATAACAGCGGCTAATTGATACGTTTAAAACATGAAGAAAGCGCTTCGAGAGCCAATGAGTATGTCGCACTACCGCACCGGTAAATATTTGAAACTGAAGTTGACGCGAATCTTGACCGGTGTTTTGTAGTTACGGGCATGTGACATCACAGTTACAGACTATCGCTCTGCGGATTCCTGCAAATACCTAACAAAACACAGATAAAGCCTCAAAAAGGACTATTTGATAACACCAGTTAATCTCTCTGCTTGTGATGGCAATTGCGATTTAAGTTCTGCATTAAATTAGTGAAATTTTATGATTTGAATATTTTACGACCAGTCAAAATTTGATCACCTTTGAAAATATTTATTCCTCCGTTATACACTTACAATTCGACTGTTTTTTTAGTCATAACAATTTATTATAATTAAAATCATTTTAATATTATTTAAAGAAACATATAAAAAAAGCTGGACCAAATCCAAACAATTCGATCACTAACAATTTTTAGAAACAAGTGAATTATACTTGCAGTAAAAATTTAGAAGATTTAGAATAGTTGGTCTGCGTCTGATTTTTGATGATTTGGATTCATCATAAAAGTTCAACCACCCACGCGATATTTTTCTTTTCAACTTAAATAATTAAGTACCTACCTACAATCTACCTATAGAGTGTTTTTTTAAAACCTGTTGCGAATTTTAAGAACACGTAAAAAACAGAAAATTAATTGAGGTATTACCTCAGTCATAATTAATTAGGTTATTATTCTTAAATTTTCACTTCTCGATTTATTTAATTTACGGGAATTATTTTTTACGGGTACTTAAACCAAAAAAAATCTTTATTTACAGTAAGTTCACAATAATACCTACCATTACACCTTTATTGTAGTATTATGAACCTGATATATTTATAAGAAGACAATACATGTGACATTTTAATACATTATAAAGTTGTACTTACTCGGATGGCACACTAATATATTAAAATTATATCTCGTTACAAGGTTACAATGATGGTAAATAAATAATTGAACGATATCAAAGTGATGATTGTTTTGAATTTAAATTTTAATTACCTACATATTAGATAAATAACAAATAATATTAATAATTTGATTACCCTTTGCGAATTCAAGCCAATTCGTTTTGTTTATATGTACTTTATACTGAAAATGCATCAGTACAATCCTTAAAAAATATAATAATGTTGGAATAATTAAAAAAAAATATTGTGTTAATTGCCAATTGAATTGTGTTATTTTTTTATTACGTCAACCTTGACAATACTTTCATACTTCCATTTTACAACCAAAATATGAAAATACCTACCTATATCTACTAAGATTAAAAAATTAAGTACCAAAAATTAAGGAATAAACAAGAAAAAAAAATGGTTAAAATATCTGCTTGCAATGAATGGAAACTATATTACGGGAGGTTTCCAATGTGGTAAAACCATTAGATTTATGAAATGCGTGTTTTGAAATAGGTAAAATACAGTGAAACTTATTTACATGTAAAAATCCCTTGTGGTTATCGCACGACATTTCAAAACAAATATAGAAAAATAGAGGAAATAATTAATTTTTATACATAATTCTTACTTTTCCATAAAGTTGCTGAGGTCACTCGTAGATACTTACTCATTCTCGCCTTTTCTTTGAAAAATCTTCTAGAAATGACATGTATCTCAAATTAATATTTTTTTACAAATAACTAGGTAACTAATTTATTCATGCAACATTATTTTCTAATTTTTTTAGTTAATATATTCCCAATAAATAAGCCAGCCAATTAATTTTACTACAATCGCCAACTGGTTGTTGCTAAGCGGACCGTCCTATAATCAGCCAGCGTGTACACGCTGATTCTAAAATCGTCGATAGCCGAGAAAGAAGCCTGTTAAAAACATACATGGAGCGTGTACACGCTCAGCTTTCAATACTCACAAAAAAACCAATGAATTTATGACTGGTTTTTAATTGGGCATGACGTAAACAATTTTTATTGGCTTTAATTGTAATGTTTTGAACGTTGGCGTGTACACGTCGCCATTTCATTATTAATGCAAAAAGTCCTACTAATAAGAATATAGCCGTATACTATCAAATAGGCATATATTAAAATATCATTATTTTTATTTGAAAATAAATTTCTTAAGAAAGGGAAGGTAGGTAGTTTTATTTTTAAAGTTGTTTATTTAGTTATTTGCATACTAGATAACAAAAAATACCGCTAAGTTTTCGTATTATCTAATATTGGAAAATAATAAAGAGGTACTTTTTAACTGTGAAACAGTACAAAAATTTTTGGGTGACGATTTAGAATAGATTTCTGGATAAACTTTAAGCAGTATTTTCATTTGATTTACCATTTCGTTGGTTGAATCAGAAAATTTTATCTACAAAAAAACATAAGAAAACATTATGAAATAAAAATTAATTCCATAAAGAATGAAAGTATATTTAGGCTTAGTGGGTAAGTGTGTTTTATAAAAAATGACGTTATTTGTTTCCACGTTTTTAAATCAAATAAAGTTTTACGTCTTATTAAGTTATCACAGGCGCCCGAAAAAAGGATTTATCTGTATACACACATGCGATTTAATTCATTCGAAAAAAATGGCCTTGGGATATATGTATGTATGTTAAATAATTGCAGTTTGCGCATAATGCAAGCTTTTTTACGGCGCTTTGAAAATTTACTTTAAAATTTTCCCAAAATTTCGACGTGTCTAAATATAATTATTATAGAATGTATTTTAAACACCGTTTTTCTCTTAAAGAAACAACAAATCTGTCAAATTTTATTTGATGGGCCAATAATAAACACAATCATGAAGACTGATTTATAGCATGCAAAGTTACAAAATTAACTGAATTTATTAACTCATTAGATATATTTATTATTGATTTTTAAAGATTAATAGCTCAGTCATTGAACAATAAAATGAGTTCATACTCTTTTTCGAATTTCGTACGAATATTTTTTATGAAAATTCTCTGTTAAATATTGACTTTGTTACAATTTGCACACGTATATAGGTAAGTACTTACCCAATAAAGAACTTAGAGGAATATAATCTAATCCTACGTCAATTTTATTGCCTTACTAAAAAACTTAAAACGCAAAATAATAAAATAAAAAATATTTCATCTTGATTGTGTGTTTGATTTGATTTTATAAACTTCAATTATTTACTCAGATAAATCATTATGCTTTGTTGCAAGCACGTGATCGCAAGTTTCAAAGGAATTAAGATTACATTTAGAAGAAACGTTTCCCTCATAATAAACGCTTAATATTTGTAAAAACGTATATAAATGGACAATAAAATTTCTCAAACATTCAATTCCACCAACTTTTTCAGTATTTCGCTAGCATAAATAAATAAATTCGTATTTTTCGCAATAAAATGAAACGGAATTGTCCATTGTCCAGGCCTCATTGAAAAAATAATAAGATGAAAAACAATAATAATTGAAGAACACGGATTTTATTGAAACAACAGGCCATAATAATTTAGCTTAATTGATTTTAACCAGTGGCACAAGCAGTGGCACACAAACAAGCGATCCGTTTAATTTTCGATACGAGACATTTGGCCTCTGCTCATTCGAATCGCGTCATTTTCGAGTCACGAGGTACTTTTGGAATGCGGAGTGATTTAACCGGTTTCGCTGGATTTCCCCCTCGTGCTCCCCTTTTTTTTCGTACTGATTTTATTTTATTTAAACGCATGTATCCTACAAACCTCAACTCTAGCAGCCAGCAACCTTATAATTATTTATTTGAATCCAAAAGAGCAATTTCATGAACTAATCATTGCAATTTGGCTTTTTTTTGAATTATTGAAAGGTTATAAAAGTTGGGAATTCCTAAAAGTTGAAACACAAGCTTTATTTTATGTACAAAAGTTTCGTTAGCTTTAATTACTAGATTGTGGAATTTTATACAGAGAGACCACACAATGCAATAATAAAAAATAAGTGCATATCGCATTGCGTTTAAAATAATTACCGTCGTAAAATTATCATGGAGTGTAAATTGTGTAAATCTAAATATTAGCTAAAAACACTTTTAGTAATAAAACCACCCAATTAGACATTGATCATAATTGTGAAATGTCGTTTCATTTCTTTTCCAAACCATCTGGTATATAAGTAATTTATTAATCTATTAATCACTGAAAACATTGATTGGTTAAATATCTAAACAACAAATTAATTGTCAAATTTACGTCTCCTAAGACTCAAACAGACGCCATCTTTACTAGAGAGCATAATTTTCTTTGCTAATCTTAAGGGTATCCTGGTTCTTTCGTTAGGTAAAATATCGAACTTCGACAATAGCGAGACTATCACACTCTTACATTCGAGCAGAGCAAATCTAGAACCTAAAACAGAAACAAATTATTCAACTCACTATAATACCAATATCAGTATCCATTAAATTAATCAACAGTCCAAATCACAGGAAGATGAGAGAGTCATACATGACTCATCATATATGGGTTTTATTGAACGAAATCTAATTAGAAAATTAACCTATGCAATTCCTGGGTCCACTTCCAAATGGCATGAAGCTTCCCGGGACGATGTGAGCTCTGTTTTCTTCATTGAACCGCTCAGGATCAAACTTTTCTGGATTCGGAAAGAAAATCGGATCCATATGGATTCCGATAATCGGTAAACTAACTATAGTTCCTTTTTTCAGTACGAATGTTTTTTCAGACCTTTTAGCAGCTTCGATTTTATAATCTTTAACGCAAACTCTAGTTAACGTATAACCCGGAGGATACCTGAAACGTTAAATAATGTAATATACCGGTACTAATAAATTTATTTACCCAACCTCCTTAATATTTCCGATATTACTTGATCCAAGTATTTCATTTTTAGTAAATCTTCATAGCTAACAGATTCTTGGCTTTTTATAACATCGTCTATTTCGGTCTGCAGTTTCTTTTGAACATCCTGGTCGATAGCCAGTTGATGTGCTAGGAAGGAGAGCACTGTAGAGCTGGTATCGAATCCAGCTATGAAAAATACTAATGCTTGAGCCGTCATTAGCTCATCAGTGAGCTCTATTTGTCTGAGAGATTTCCCTACAGAGGATTCTTCAACAGTAGCGAAGCCTGTATCTTGATCTGTATTCTCATCGCTGTGCTTCAAACGACCTCTTTTGGCTTCCATAAGCAGTTGAATCATATCCGGACGAATCACGTTGTTCTTCTCCCTGTATTCAATGTTTGTTTTCACCAAATTTTGGAAGAAGTTTGTTATATTTAGTGGAAATAACGACATATTAAATACCTAAAAAAGGGCTCACATTAGTAACAAATTAATGATTACATCTTCTGGGAAATAATTACTTCATAAAATCTAGGAAACATTAATTTTAAAAGTAGCTTAAGTCTAGTTCCACTGGCAGGATTGGCTATTTGAGAACCCAATGCAAAAAAGTCGTTGCTCTCGTTTTTCAGTGTGTCGCATTCTATTCCAAAAGCGCATGTTGCTATAATGTCATTGGTGAATTTCGAGAAAGCTGTTTTCATGTCCATTTCAATAATATCCTCGGGAAGTTGATAGAAATGATCTGTGAATTTCCTGGCAGTTTCTGCAAAAGTTTTAAATATTACTGCTTGTTTCAAAAACTTCAACGTTCTTCAATTAATTCCAATTTTAAAATTTCATTAGTTAATTATAAAAAAAACTATACAGATTGCTTCAATTCAGACCGCAACATGGTCGTTTCTATGAGTTGAATAAAGAAAGATTGATAAAATAACAGTTGTCAGAGTGAAAAGTTGCAATGACACAAATGTGACTCTTTCTTTTTTCTTTATAAGTGTCTAATGGAAGTTGTCTTTATCGCACCTATAGCCTATATAACCTATGTTGCGTGTATACCTTGTATGAATGGATACATCCCCTTCATTTTTGAGCTGGTAAAAGCTGGAGAAAGAGTCGATCTCATATCCTTCCATCTTTCGCCTTTCAATTCGAACAAATTCTGCCCTAAGATAGGATCAGTTTTTTGGTCAAAGAACGTAAAGTGATCAGTAAAGTGGTCGAAATCCTTGACGGTTATTTGCTTGATGAGATCGAGATCGGTGACAACCAAACACGGTTTGAATATTTGGTAGCTGCCGTAAAATCTGCGGAAAGAAGTATTTTTTATGATATAAACAGGTTTTTATTAGGTTTTAGTTGAAAAACCAAATACTTACATTAGATATTTTAAGTATGATTTTTTTTATATTTTAACGCGCTATTAGGTGTAGTAATTAACTTTAATTAAATGGAGGAATCCTTGCAAATATCGATAAATGTTTAAATTAACTAATTTAGCATATATTATGATGTCATTATCGGTTCAAAGTTTCTAAACAAAAAAATATATTTTTTATTTTAAATATTTATCTACCCTAAATATTAATTGTTTGCTTAGCATAGTCGTTTTAACAGCAAATTAATTCAGCTAACAAAACAATGGTCAATGTCACAATTGTTATTAAACTAAAAAATTACCTTCTACTCGGAAAATTCCTGTAAGCGTCCAGGGAAAGCTCGAATATCGATTTCCTGCTGAAAAATTCTTTCAAAAATTTCCTTCCAGGAGTAACATGAAATACCCTCCTCTCGTTCCAGTAAGCAGCAGGTTTAACAAAATTCAAATATATCCATACCATCAGCAATAGAATCACAATTAACACGAGCGTCATTTTTCGCAGCAAATTTACAAATCGAGTTAGTTTGAAAACATAACGATCCTAACTTATAATATTCACCAGAGATAATTCCTTGCTGACCATGACACAACCATGAATCTAGCGGTGAACAGAGGTGAATTTAAAAAAATATCGGAGAGTACTATCGCTCGTGCTAGGCCATTAACTATTCGCATAACGGTATTTGCAGGTTTGCGCATTGTAAAATAGAATCTAAAGATTATGCAACCCAGATTGCTGCATTATGTATTCGATTTTCCACTTTTATGAACTTCAATTATTAGGTAAACAGTAAAAATCATTGATATTTTTTTAAAAACGAAAATCTAAGTTTAGTATTGTTCAAGAGTTGAAGTCATAAAATTGTATCAGATTAAGTCATTACTAATTGTTTTGTGGTGTTTACGGCTCAAGGCGTATTCACCTCAAGCAAAAATCTCAATACAGTGATAAATTTATTCGACAAAAATGTAGAACAAATCTATTCATTTAAATAATTAAGTAAACCGGCGTGTTCGACCATCTTGTAGAAACGTCCACTCTTGTTGTCCAGCAGCACTTTAGGATCGTTGAATTCTTTGATTTCTCCTCGATCCATCACCATTACTTTGTCGCATTCTAAAATCGTGTGTAATCTGTGCGCTATGGTGAGCACGGTGGCGCCGCTGAAATTCTCTTTGATCAGTTTGTTCAAAAGAACATCCGTTTCGTGGTCCATGTTGGCCGTTGCTTCGTCCATTACGATGATTTTTTGCTTGTGAAGAATCGCCCTCGCTAGGCATATTAGTTGCTTTTGTCCCGAGCTGTATTCTAAGTCGGTGCTGTTAACGATTCGATCCAAACTTCTGACGTGCTTCTTAATACCCACTTTTTCCAGCGCGGTCCACAGTTCCTCGTCGGTGTACTCTTTAAGGGGATCGAGATTAGTGCGCATGGTGCCGGAGAATACGATGGGATCCTGGGGGATGATGGCTATGCATTTCCTCAAAAAGTCCAAGGAGAGCGTTTTTATGTCCACGCCGTCTATTAGGATTCTCCCCCGCACTTCGTATAATCGGAATATCGTCGATATTATTGAAGATTTACCAGCGCCAGTTCTTCCTACTATGCCTACACTCTCGCCCGGACGAATTTCGAAGTTTAGGTCTTTCAGAACCGGCTCGTCGGTTTCGTTGTAGGATAGGGAGACCTTTTCGTACGTTATGGCCCCTTTGCTTGGCCAATTATTGTCCAGTTTCCTGCCGTCTTTTTTCTCCTCTTGAATGTCGGCGTATTCCAGGAGCCTCTCGGCAGAGGTCATCAAGTTTTCCAATTCCGCCCACTGTCTGACGCCCCATTGCACCTCACTGCACACGGAAAATACTTGAGTCAATGCAAGGGTCACGTCGCCAGCTGTTACAACTGAAATTTAAAGCGATGTTTTTAAATGAAAGAATCCTCAATAGAGGCTATCAATTTCTTATCAATTAAGACAAGATACTTACCTGAGTCAAAGAATAAAAATTTAACAATAACTACTATAACGAAGGTGGTAGAAAGCGAATTCATGTAAAACCCGATGGCTCTCATCGCTGTTAATGATGACAAGTATGCTGATGTATGTAAATCTTGATATTTATCATACTCTTCAATCAAAAGCTCCTCTACTTTGCAAGACCTAATGGTGGTTATGCCCTCAAGGGTAGCATTCAGATGACCTATCATTGGACTCCTTGCTGAAATAACATGCAGATTTGTACCTACTGTTTTAATGCTATAATCACTAGACTTACTAGCAGCCTCGAGACGTTTTAAACTCCGACCTGATGGTAAATAGAACCTTCGCAATAACAACAACCCAATGCATATAACTACCACGTAAATACTGAAAGTTAACTTTATAGAAAATATTAACAGTAGTCCACCAGCAACACTGAATATGATCTGCAAAACAGATTTATAATTTATAGCTAATTGTTATTACAAATTCCTTACAGAAAAACAATCATCTAAAACGTATGGTAAAACTTCATCGATGTTAACCATGTCCTGGGCGAATCGGTTTAATACATTTCCAATTAAATGAGAATCGAAGAACGCCATCACAGCGTTCATTATTCTCTTGATTATAGTTTTATGTATGTTTACGGAAGCCCTTCTGCAGAAATCAAGCAATAGATAATGTCTGATCAAGTCCAAGCCCACTGAACCCAAAACAAATATGGAATATCTTCTAAATATAGAATGTTCTTCTGTGACGGCCGATGTCAAATTCAAACTGGTGGTATAGTTGGATGTTATATTCGCTTGAACGCTTAAAACAACTTGTTTCGCATCGATCCTATAAAGTAGCGGAATAATTTAGGTCTTGTGTAAATTTATTGGTATGTATGGCTTACCAATTCGTTAACAGTTTATCGGAGTAGCTAGTTGCAAATTGAGTAGAACCGCCCATGAATATGTTTACTAATAACAGCATAAATCCTCCTCCGTACATAAAATATTTCTTGTACACGTCAAAGTCGATGGCCCCTTCCTTTTTAACTTCCCGGTATATTTTCTTTTTGGCCGTGAATTGCTCGGTTTCGATCAATCCGGTTTTCTCGTCGACTTCCTTCTCTTCTCCATCTTCGATCACTTCTTTCTCCAAGTCATCGTCGTCTACTGCGAATTCTTTGGCCTCCTGGCAAATCCTCTCGTCGGGGCTGCCGATGTCCTTGATCCGTCCTTTGTGAAGGATTATGACGGTATCGGCCTCCGAGAGGTGGCTGGCCGTTTGGCTTATCAGCACGCACAGTTTGCCTTTCAAAAAGCCTTTGATGCATTCCTCGAAGATGTACTCTTGAACAGCCGCGTCCAGGGCAGTCAGGCAGTCGTCTAGTAAGTAGATCTCGCTGTCCCTGTAAATAGCTCTGGCCAGATTTATCCGGGCTTGCTGGCCTTTGCTCAGGTTCAGCCCTCTGTCTGTCACTATAGTCTGGTCGCCGTGATCCAGTTGCTTGAAATCGAATAGTAAGGCGCATACTCTTACCACTTCGTTGTACCTGAAATTATGTTAGTTGTAAAATTGAAATCTTGTATATTGTTATTACCTTTTTTCGTCATATGTTTCTCCAAATAAGATGTTTTGTTTGATAGAAGAAGGGAACAACCAAGGATCCTGCGAAGCATACGAAATTCTCCCTTCGGTTTTCAGGTTGCCTTGGCTTAGAGGAAAGTCCTGCAAAATCGCTTTGAATACGGAAGTTTTTCCCGAACCTACAGTTCCAGTGATTAGCGTCAGGCCAGAGGTGAGTTTGAAAGTTATGTCGCTCAGGATGGTGTGATTTTTTACGCTAACGCAGGCGTTGTTCAATTCCACCACGGGTTTGTCCGTAGGCTCGTTGTTTTGCGGAGTGGTTTCCAGTTCCTCCGCTTCGAGAGCGTTTACAACTCTTTTGTAAGCCGAATAGAATTCCCCGAGTTGGCCCATTGTGTAAGGGATGGATTCGCCGAGCCACCGTTTCAGATCCTTAAACGAGGCCAGGGCATAGACAATTATAGATGCGTCGGTGGAACGTCCCGTCCATACGCAGGCTAAAATTAGTACGTAGAATCCCACTTTCGAGAACAGAATGCCGACGAGGACGAGTACGATTTTCAGATAAAATCCCAGTATCAATTTAACAATCTCTTTTCTGAAAATAAGATATTAAATTTAGTGTTAGTAGAGAAATCAATTGGATGGACCAGATACCTTCTGGCCATGTTAATTTTGTTGGTGAAGAATTCTTCCCAAGTGTATATCTTTATGATTCTTATAGTCGATAGAATCTCTTGGGTTAATTGCAATCTTTCATCGGTTTTCTTGCTCGTCTGCAGTCTTAATGTAGTTACCCACTTGCCGATGTATACTAAAAATAAATCTCCATAATGAAAACTTCATTCGCCTCATGAAACCTTCATATACCTTGTAGAGGCATTGCAGCAACCATGATTCCGATTCCGGCAAAAGACGCCACTCCGATTCTCCAGTACAATATGGAACAGATAATGAGCACTTGCAACATGGAAATCCAGCAATCATTGAACAACCAAATCGACAACCTTATCGTTTGAATATCCTTGGTAATCAACGTTACGATATTGCCCAAGGACACCGAAGAGCCGGGGCCTAGTCTGAGGGCCTTTCTGTAGAGCATCGACGAGAAGGCCGCTTTGATTTCGGTTCCGAACGTTTGGCCCCAAATAATGTAATTGTGTATAAAAACGATGTAGGTAAATTCAAGTAAAATCAGGACGAAACCGTAAACGTACGCTTCGTTTTTGGTTACCACTGAACCGGGCACGAAGTATCCTATTAGATTGCTCAGTACATATGGTCTAATTACACTGAAATGATTATAATTTTTAGTACTTCTCTTACATAAAATTGGACTCTTATTTGCAATTTATTAGAATTTGGGTATATTAGTAGTACCTTTTTACTACCTCTTTAGTAAAGGGAAAATTTCTACTCTAATTGTGTAAGTAGTACACGTAATAAAGTTTGACTTTAGTTACACAATATGAGCTCAATATTGCAAAATTTTTAGAGCTTTTACAAACTTTTTGAATTATTAATGGTAATCAGCGGGGACAAGGCAGTGACAAAAGCTTTTACAAACATTAGTACACAGATATAAAATCAACATAAAATTAGTGCTAGGCAAATAACTTTGAAAATTTATAGTCAATTTTTTACCAAAAATACATATTAGGAAAATGATTATAAAAATAACTTACTTATTGGTTGTATGCCATGTAAAGTCCACTATACCGAATAAAATGTATCTTTTACCCCATCTCCTCCAAAGTATAGCGTTTACTGACAACGGCTTTCCATTCTTTTCCTTCTTTTCTTTTTCAAAATTCCAATATTTGCTCAACTTGTTTCCACATCGAGTGGAACTGCAGCTTTTTTCAACTTCATAAAGATCGTCATCGTTTAGGTCCCTTTTGAATCCTCTTTTTAACAACCCCACTACATACCTATAACATATGTTATTATCCAATTGCTTTAGTTTATTAAATATTTATCCAGATTTTTATTTAAAAAGGATTCTAAGGTACCTAATAGTAAATATACTTACGAAAACGTTATTAACGAAAATATATTAGCGGTTTCTCTCGGATTTTGTCTGCGCTTTTCCTTTTCACAATGGTCCATTTTGGGAATTTTGAACTACATTCATGCACGTCTTCAAGAAAAAGTGTATTTATACATTTGGAAAATAATAGATATCTTATCACTTCTATAGTGTTTCAAACACAGTATAATCGCTGCAGTCAATATTTGTCTTTATTTATATTATTTATATAAAAAAGAAGCATTATATTATAAAACAAGCTACGTATTTGGGTAGCACCGAATTGTTGGTTTAGCAAATCTTTTGTGTTACAGTTAATTTCTAAACCTCGAGAATGTATCTATATTTGTATCAAAGTAGTTAAAAATAAGCAGGTAGATTTCTAATTAGATGAAAAATTTATCACAATAAATGATGTAACTAAAAAGATTATGAATTAAATGCTTTACATACATTTCTTTACATCAATGCAATGGAAATTGCAAGTTCATTGGGGGTTTTAAGTCTTGATGTAATTGAATGATAAATTTGCATTCATCATCATCATCATCAACACCTGTTTACTGCTTAATTAAGATAGAATAATCTTATTTGAAAAGGTGATCGGCACTTTTACAAACTTACTATTTTTAAAACAAACCTAATGAAGGGTAATGTATGATTATTCAACTAAAATGTTCAGGGTAATAATTACAAATTGTTCTTACTAAATTAGGTTTCCCCGTTCGACGATTGAAATTAGAAACTTTTATGTTCAATCACATTAATTTTTTTCTTAATACATTTACCAACATCTACACCGTATCTGTAAACATTGAGGAAATTGTGTATATATTTATCCTATATATATATTAAGAGATTCCATTTAACAGCCGTTATGATTGCAGACGTTCGTTAACATGGGTAATACAATAATATTTGTCTTCGATTAAAACAATATGTTCGAAACATTGGAAAAGATAACAATATTTATTTATTAATTCTTAATGCAATGTTTTAAGTAAAAATGCTCATTTGAATATTCTCATTTTAAAATAATTGTATTTAATATACCAATAACATAAAGTAGAAGTTGAAAGACCGCAGGAAAAGTTTTATTGGCATTTATTTGATATTGTCATCATGATCAGGATGTAGATATTGAATTAGGTAAGAATATTAGACTTATTTTTTACCATTATCAATAATAACTTATTGCATAATATGTTAATTCGTTAAATAGTGTAATAATGTTGGACTTTATGGTGGAGGGCCAAGATACAAAAGTTCAAACTTATGACCCCTTTATAAAGAGCATTAATCTGGAATGTAGGAATAAAATGGAATCATTAGTGTAGTAATTTTCAGAGTCGAGAAGAGGAAATTTTAGACTATCTAGATCGAAGATTAGAACAGCTGGTTAGTGTTTGAAGTTAATTATAAACATTTCTTATAGATAGTTTTAAATATTGATTTTTCTTGTTTTAAAGGATATAAAAATGTAACCGTAGAGCAAAAATATGTTATTAGTTTGAGCGGTTTAATTTAATTTATTAGGTATAACCTGTGAATATTTGTCCAACAAATTCTTACGAAACAGGATCATTAAAAATGATTTATTTCTATACAAAAACTCAATATGCTTCATTTGAACTATTTCAACTGTAAAAATAAAAAAAATAACTGTTCACACGTATTTTTATTATTTCTCACAAAATAATAACACTTTAGGTATAATTATAGAAACGACGGATATAAATCTGGTGATATTGGACTGCAACATAGCAAAACACATATAGGTACATATTTACTTACCTATTAAGAAAAACTAATGTAATAATGTAATTAACTGGTCAATAAATTTTCAAGTTTAATTTTAAAATTCTTCCTGGTGTGTTATATAGAGCGAACCAAAGGAAATAAATATTCAACTAAAGAGTGAAAATATATTTTGCAATAAATAATTAATAATAAAAGTATCTCCTAACGTAAAATTTCGTGTCAATTGTGTTGTGTTGTCTTCCTTCTAACATATTTATTGTACAGACAGCACTCATCGTGACAATTTAAGGCAGCACTGGATCTAAGATGGTTATAACATCCTCAAAAATTTTTTGTTGCAGTCGCTCTGCGTTAACCTGCAATGAAAAATACATCAATACAATACAATACAATACAATACAATGCGATTACATAACGCTTAAACAATTAATCAAAACAAAGCGTAGATACAAAGAATGAAAAGGTTTAATGGTATTGGAAGGTTATGTTAATAATGTTCAGGACATTACTGATAAAAGTAACATGATATTTGTTCCAACAAATCGTTTACCTTCTGAATTTTCTCAGCAAAGTGCTGCAAAATGGCATCGTTATTAGCCTTGAACGTCGCTAATCTCTGTTTGATTGTTTTAATATTATCGTCCGCTCTTCCAGACGTCTGTCCTCTCTCCAGCAATCTCTCGATCAGCACTTGATCGGAGGCCTCGAAGTAAATGGCTATCGTCATCGGGCCGATGCTCTGCTCGAAATCTATGCCCTGCTGTTTCTCTCTCGGGTAGCCGTCGATTAGGAATCCTTTAGCGTCAGGCAGCGCCTTTATCATCGCATCTCTAAGCAGATTGAGCACCGTCTCGTTCGGAACCAGCTCACCTTTGGTCATGATGTCTTGGAGCTCCCTGCCCCTGTCGGAGCCGCTCTCTACCTGTAAGAAAATTCGTTAAAGGTGCTGTAAATAGAGCGGAAAAATATCTGAAGACATTAGAATGCTCACTTCAGCTCGAAGTAAATCACCGGTAGATAAGTGGGTGAGGTCATATCGTTCCACAATTTTTTCGCATTGGGTACCTTTTCCAGAACCTGGACCTCCCAACACCCAAACGATTGGCACGTTCAAATCAGGGATGGGTGCCTATACATAACAATAAACAGCAATATAAAAAGTGAAACAAGTTGTGGTGTAAACGCTAAAGTTACATTTATAATCCAATCAATAATTTTTAATAATTTATAAGGCGTTTAGTTAGATGCCTATTGGTTCGGAACAGCTCGTGAAAATCATTAATTTGAATGTAAAAATAATCAAATATATCTTTCAATGCCAGATATTTTGACTGGCATGAATTTTTTTTTCGGATGATATTCAAATATTTTTCTATCTTTACGAAGTTATGGGCCCATTTCTAACTGGTGCAACAACAACAGGTGAAGTCCATCAATTCTCTCATTAGCTCGGTCAGAAATGATTGATATAGGTACTTAGTCGATAAAAATATAAAATTCTGAAAATAGTTCGGTAATATCTTAATTCCAAAGCAACGAGATCCAATTTCACGCGTACGCTCATTGGCGTCAAAAATTATTTGTGATTCATTGGAATATATTTTATTAAAGTATTTTAAAAAAATTGTTATGATAGATGTTAAAATAGGTTCGAATAAATTGGAATTATCACAGCCTACGGGTTTATTTTTGTGTCAATAATAAAAACTTTTGTAACGAACCTTGGATTCATTTTAATTTCATTGTAGCCTATATAAGTTTTACGAAACTTCCCAGCAGCTTAATGAATAAATAAATGAATAAGAAAATTTGAAGATAGTAACGGTATTTACCGGTGTATGTGTTTATGTTTTCGATTTGTTGGACGAATGCCAGGAAAATATTTTTCTTATAGTATTTTCTGTATCCGGAATTTTGTTTCTTTTACAAAATTATTTAATCTTCACTTTGATTCATAAAAATTCATACAATAAGGAGTATAGTATATTAAATATTTTATGTTTGTGACTTCAATTTAATGCAAAACGTTAGGATAGTAAAATATTAATATTAACGCACATAAAAATTTGTCTGCGTTGAAATAAATCATGTATTATCAGGTACTTCTGTATACATACATAAAAATGAGCTAATTAAGCCAAAGTGCGTAAAACTTGGCAGACAAAAAACACAAACATTAAACCAGACAAGACATTATTTTTGGAGAAATTGACCTGAAATTCACTGCATTTTTGAATAAATAAAAATACGCATATCTTCCTCATGCCAAAATTCGAATTACGAATACGTATTACTAATTGCATGCTAGTACCCTATTTTTAATTGCGACAGCATGCTAATTAATTTCGAAATTTGAAATATACAATTCTATTTTTAGATTGAATTAAAGGATGAGATTAACGCGAAACGATTAGATTCTCGATAGCCTCAGTTGTTTATAATTAAGTCGATTATTTAAAAAAAAGTTTTCTATAAAAAGCGCAGAAACACGATCAATAATATTTACCTAATTGATCTGTATTAAAATAAATTAATTTGAACAAAAATTGTACTTCACAGATTTCTAATAATTTGTAGAATGGTGGAGGAACATTGCTGCATCCACCATTTTTATATTGTTTTGTATAAAGGTACTCTATTAATTAATTATGTATCTATAATTAAATTCACTCTGTATTAATTTTTACTTTAAAATAAATTGATATTCCTTGTTAAAAAAGACATTACTAGAAAGTTCATAGATATAACTTTTCCATGCATTTAAAACAATCATTTTGATTCTTATGATCGATTTACTAGTGACTTTTGGGAATGTATTGTATGATACATATTATAATTCTGTAAAATTATGTTTACATTAAAATCTGTGCAAAATTATTTACATTTTACCTATTTTAAAAACAAAATTAGAAAACAAAGTGAAACAATTGGAATTTCGCAGTTGTACAAATATTTTTAGCGGATTTACCAAACAAATAGTAACATAACACGCCAATGTAATCAACATTATGTAATAAAATTAATTAAATAAAATAAACAGGCAATCATTTTCAAGTACGAATAAATTAAGCAGGAATTTCAGAGACTTTAGGGTACATTCAAATTCAAAGTAAGTATCACTCACTCACCATTGATAAAAATTTCGAATTCGTAAATTACGAAATAAATCGTTATCAAAGTACAAGCACACTAGTTCCTCGATTCGCGAGGTTCGAATGCGGTCTCGAATGGAACCTACGACAAGACTGTTTGATTGAGGATGATTTTATTAAAGCGCGTCGGTCGCTGGCATCGCGACGTCCGGGGCGCCGCATTGCCAAAGTAAATTTTATTTAATTTATATAAACTTTGGCGTTTCGATATTAAATGGTTAACGGGGCGGTAAACTGCGATCTTCGTTCCGAAATAAACTGACTATTACGTTACGTTGTATGTGATTAATGTTCGCAAGTAAATCTATAAATATATTGACCGGTAATTTATCAATATGCAATACTTAGTTGCGAAAATACACGGATGTAATTACCTGCACTCGATGGGGAAGCGCTATAAATTCGTTGGACATTTTTATAATAGAAATTGGAAATGAAATGAAATTAATAAATTAAGAGGCTCGGTTATTACAAAAATACCTATGAAAAATTATTTAGGAAGTGGTACAAATTTTACGCATTGATACTTTATCTATTAAAATACCTATTTGATGAATTAAATTTTAGTCCTGTGCGAAGGACGATCTGAGCCGCGGTGATTCGTTTATTTTTAATTAAAAGTCGCTTTTCCCCAATTTATATTTGGTAGCGTAAAAATTTAAGTCGTTCTGTATAAAAATAAATAAAAATTGTTTTGGCACATTCGTATCCTGTGCTAAAAACCTACACGCCACTTGTAGCGGAATGCAATAAAAATTTGATTCTTTGGCGTCGCGCGCGACTTGAAATTTATACCGATAAAAATTATTAGAAACGCGGGGATAAGGGATTGAAATGAGGGGTAGCATTAGATGTATCATCCCTAAACTAGATTTTTTTGCTGTATTAAAAGCAAGGTAAATACAAAAAGTGTATAATATAATTAATTGAATATATTTTTAGATGCGAAATGTAGTTAAAAGAGAAACTATTGTTGAAATTGTAATTGAAGTGGAGGATAAAATAACTTTCCCCGCACAAACGGTGTCAGTTTATTTTCGAATCAGTCCAACTATTTCGCAAGCATTCATTTTGTATCCGGTGTATTAAAAAGACCGTAACCGTGCGTTTCTGCTAGCCAATTTCGAAGACAAAAATATTCAGATTTATTTGTTTTTTCAAATATTTTGTAACTAATGTCGACCGAAAGCCATTAAAACAAATCTAATTTTTCACCTGACTAAATACTGTATGGCACAGTCGAACCGTAACGTGTAACGTCCATAGAAATTGCCCGCACACCGATCCAAATCAACATTTTAAACTAATGTTCGCGACGGATTTCAATTTTATTGCATTTTAATTCGAATCGAGCTCTAAAGTGCTACGCTGAAGCTAAATGGTATTTGTTGGCGTTATCATTAATTGAATCAATGTTACGTTCCTCTATGTCTCACTAAACCTGGTAATATAACCTGCATAATATAAAAAACATACTATTAAAAACCCAAAAATATTCTTTGTAGATGCGAAAGTAATAAAATTTTCATTCCCGCTTTTGGACTTGATCCATTTTACATGTGGACGCATCATACACAAATCTATCAAAACTAGGGACATCGGTACATAAAAACATTAATAAGTTTGAAAATTAAAGACACCTGTTATTATAAATTACACGTGCAATTGAAAATATTATTAATTCATAATAACGCTAACACGGAGGCCTTTTTTGACGTATAAAAAAATAACATACTAAAAAATTTTCTGTGAATTGGTTGAAGGGATGCGAGGATTCATAAAAATAGGGTGCAACACTTACGGAACCGTAGAAAATAATGCGGTAATAAATGTGACTCGTTGTTAAAATAGCATTTTCACGTTATAAATTGCTGTTTTTTGAATACTAACCAATTTAGAAACCCTTCTTCTACATTGGCATGTCATTTTATTTGAATTTTGACTATTTTATAACCCAATTCAACTCATCTGACATTGCGAAAATATTAATTAATGGCCCGTTTGCCTAAACTTCCTTCAAAACCAATTTTCTATTTTTCTAATTTCGAAATAAAGTAGGAATGAATGATTTTAAGGCGTTTTTGACCGTTTTGCATAAACTTCTTTCAAAACCAATTTTCTCTTTTTCTAATTTCGAAAAAAATAGGATTGAATGATTTTAAGGCGTTTTTTATTTTTCTTTGTTTACTTGTATATTTCGGCAGAGGTTTTCTAAAAATATTAATACTGTTTTCGTATCTAAATTTAACCCAGCGTATGTGCAATACGTTTTCCTACGAAATGCATTCGAAAAAATAATAAACAACATTTTTTTCGAGTTTCAACTGGGTAAATTGAAGTCAGCACGTCGTTGATGTTAAATCGTCCAATCTAGTCCAAAATATAACTGACAACGTTCGATTTACTGCTCAAAAACTTCTCAAAAGCGTAAACTCATTATAATATTTTAAATTAAGTTATTCAGTGATAAAAAATAGCCCCTTTTATTGCCGACCTTACCTCGAAAAGAACCAGAGAAACACAAATAAAACAGTAAATAAAGCTGAAGTAAGCGGGATAGTCCTTCACAGAAAACATCAACATTTAAATTCGCGTTAGAATTGAATGATAACTAAAAATACAAAGCTAAAACAATTTGCCAAAATTCGTAGGAGTTCCATTGGAAATTAAAAATGCTTGTATTAACACATGGAAATAAAATATACATAGATACATTTATTATTCAGAATTAAGACTTTTTATTTCGAATAAAGTGCACTCTCCGGCTCCTGCAAGATCAAGAAGATACTTTTTACGGACCAACTATTTCAGTAGATACTTTTCCCAATACAAATAATAAACTTGACATCTTTATGTAGGTCGTTCAAAACTTGACCTGAAAACCATGTGAGCTTTCTAACCTATTATTTAACTAGGTCAAATTCGTTTCCACTGTTTTTATTTAGAAAACTTCTATTTAAGAAAAAATGCTCTAGTATTAATTGATAATGAATTGTGCTTACTTGAGTTTCTTCCGAGCCCATGCTGTATTTTAATTCACTAACCTTCAGGACGCCGAAATTCTGCTACACCACGCTTTTTGGAAGGACCGATCAATATAGCAGCGAGAGGCTTTCCATTGATTTTCATTGCGCAACGAAGTAAAAACAAGTAAAAAATAATATTTTTATTTACAAACATCACTTACGTAACCCATAAGAACAATTTATGGTCAACTTGTTAATAATTTCATTTCCTACAAGTCGGTAAATTGACCTCGAAAAAAACGTTCAATTCTATTAAACTAGCGAACACAATAAATATTAAATAAACAATTAACGTGTACAGACCCACCCATTTATTTAATTTAAATTTATTTACCCAAATGGCTAGATAAAAAGCTACTAATGTAACTAATAGTGAAAAGGCGCTATATTGAAGACCAGAAGAGTTGATGTTTACCTAAAAATATAATAATAATAATTATACCCTTTATGAAAATTTTAGAACTTACCCATTTGTTGTCAGATGCGAGTGATGATTTTAACAACCAAGGCAAACCCAAGCACAATAATATATCCAAAGTGTTTGAACCTAACGAATTACTGATACCCATTGCCCCATTTCCTAAAATAATAAAACGATATTAGGTATACCTAATAATTTTTACTATTCAATTTTCTACCATGTTTTACGACTGCAATGGAAGATGCTGCCTCTGGAACACCAGCTCCTATTGCCAAAAACGTGATGCCCATAACTGAGTCGGGTATTCGCAAAGTATCGCCTAAAAATCGATTTTTTTATAGAAAGTACGAGGATATAAAATGGTTTTCTTACCTATGATAGTTATCATCCAGGAGAGGACGTACGATAAAATTCCTATCCAGATAATACACATGAGAAACGCTAATGATATCCATACTTTAGATTTCAATTTTTCGCCGCTCGGGATAGTTACGAAAAACGCGAAATTAATTGGCCAATTTATAACCCAAGCACCCTTAAATTGTTAAATTAGTAAGGGTTGATGTTGGTTGAATAGAACTTACTTGGGAAAAGCAATTACTTTTGCTTGGAAATTTCCAAACAGAAGTAGTTTCGTTGTCATTACTTTCTTCATCACCATCTTCCACTTTAGGAGCATCCTCTTGTTTTCCACTTTCTTCAGATGGATGTTTTCCTGCAAATCATGAGTTTAAATTGGTATATTATTATACCGTTGGTTGGTGGAAAGTTTCTACTCACTTTTGACTAACGTTTGTATTTTTTTGTCAAAAACTAAAAATACAATATAAGCGATATACAGCAACACTAATATCATCGCTTCAAACCATTCTATTTTTTCATTATTCAAAAATACTATCAGGAGACAAGCTGATACACCATACACCAAAGAATCCCTTGTTATTGACCATCTCTCCAATTGTATTTCTGCACCAATCTGAAATAACACAACTATTTTAAAGAAAGATACATCATGAATAGAAATACCTACAATTGCTAATGTAAGTCCACAACAAGCAGTTACTGCTAAATTATTAAACACAGCCGACCCAACTATAGTACCCAGCCCGATATCGCCCTTTGTCACAAAAGTACCAACGATATTGATGAACAGTTCCGGCGCTGCTGTGGCAATTGCCATGAATGTTGCTCCGCCTATGTCGGACGGTACGTTTAAATCTGAAATCATCGATTGTTGTGAATGAAATTCTCAATGGTGCTCAATGGGACCTTACCTGTGCATATTTTCTCCACTACCGGAACGAAGTACTCGTCGCAGACAATTGCTATGGCGATGAAGGAATACACTGTAAGCAAAACAGGAACTACTATGGCTCCGTTGACCAATTGCTGCGTCGAGAACAGTTCTACAGGAAATTCGTCAACTGCGGGTGGTGTACAATTTATTTCTAGAACAGATTGCATCATGTGTAATTTTACACTTATAGGTGCATGCTACACTTATTGTTCTCTTTGTTGCAATTCAAACAATTTTTTATTACGATTATTAACTAGTTAGAAACGACTAAAATATTCAAAACTCACCCATTTTTAAATACACGTATTTTTTTAATCATATCTATATTTACTACACCTTCAAAATCCTCTATTTATAGGTGCACATGCTCGGAGTCTCTACCGTTTTTTTTTGCTGAAAAATCCTTAAATGCGAATTTTTTATGTTTAAACAACGATAATATCTCTTAATCCGATTGCCCATTATTATTCATGTTTATTAACTATTTAATTTATTTAAAAGTTTTGTAACGTTTACGAATTCATTTATCAGTCGTACGTGGAAGATAGCAGAGAATTTGCTCAAGGCAGTTTAGAGCAAACAAGAACGCTTATTAAAACGGAGTGTGTCAAAACATTTTATGTAAAGGGTGAGTCCTTGGCTCATTCAGAACACACACGGGTTCCGAGGAACAATGCTGAAGGTTACATTGAAGTACGACGAGGGTATGAATAAGAATTAGCTTCTTAAAAAAGTTTTTATTTATAGTATTTAATTCGGGTTAATTAAAAAATAAAAGAACAATACAGGTGTTTTAATAATGTATTCGGTAATCACATGTTTTAAATTTATATTCGCTATAAATTTTAAATTTATAGGTGTATTTTTAAATGTGCGAGAGACACTTTAAGAATCCAGCGATATACTCTCCTCGTCTTCAACCGATTGATCCGCGCCGTTGGGCTTCAAGATTTCCACGCTTTTCTTCTTACCCTTTTTCTCGTCCTCTTCGTCTTTGCTTTTGTCGGCCGTTTTGGTATCTTTCTTCTCGAGTTTGCTCAGAGACGGTTTCGTTAGTTCTCCCAACTGACCAGCTGAAAGAATTCTTATTAAGTATGTGGGTATTTCGCGAATGAAGATCAAAACGAATCAATCGTTTACCCGGTTTCGTTTCCTTCTTAAGACTAAGCTTGCTCTCCTCCGGTTTGGTTTCTTCTGGTTTCAATGGAGTGACTATCAAACTTTTGTCTTTGTTGCCGCATTCGTCCATGTAGTTGAGGGGCGGCGGCGGCGGCGGCACGTGCTTGATTTTGCTGTTCTGCGGTTGCACGTAATCCGTCTCGGTTTTGATGGGCGTCGCATTAATGCGCCTTATCAGCGCGTTTTCCACTTTTACAAAGGTCTCTTCGGGCGAACTACTTGTGTTTATCTGTGCAATAATGATTTTATGAAAGTGGAGGAGCTCGAAATTGCATACTTACACTCTCAATTTTTAGCGTAAACCTCGATAGGCATATTTTCAAATCTCTAGTGGCGACAGCAATGTCCCTTCGAAGCGTTTCAGGGTCTAGCGTTACTCCCGATTTTTCCTGGGCTCTTTCTATCAGCATGGGCAGTTCGGAGTAAAAGTAGAAGATAAAATTAACGTTGGCAATTTCTCTGATGAACCGTTCGGCTTGCTTCTGAGTTTTGGGGAAATTCGTGATAACGAATCCTTTGTCGTTCGTAGAATTCAGAAGAGATTCTTTCAGAAGATCGATTACGATAGGCTGAAAACGTGTTCGATAGCGTATTATATCGAGTAGATAAAAAATCAGTCCGGCTTACGTCGGTGACTTTCTTTTTCCCCTTGAAAGCTTCGTTAATAACATGAGCTTTTTTCGTGTTCTTGTTGGCCTCGTCTCTCAGCAGTTCCGTTATGTTAATGTACTCGAATTCGTATCTGTCTTTAATGAGTCGACCCAGCGTTTTTTTACCTGTATTCGGTTGTCCGGCGATCCAGATGATGGGTAAGTTCTTGTTCCTCACCGGCGTCATGTCGTACACGGCCTGACTGGGACGCTACATTGGGGAAAAATCATACAACTGCTAATTCGGAATTCACGGGGATTCACTTACGGTGGAAACGCATGACATTGAACTGCCCATTTTACTGTTTGAATGAAGATTTTATATGAGAAAACATCCACGTGAAGTACGTTTGTATGATATTGATGATGAATGACAAATTTTTTTTAAATGTCAGTATTCGAAAAAAATTAGTGGCCTTTCGCGCCGGTTAAGCTATCACTTAAGGGCGATAATGCAGCGAAAATTTATTTCGAGAGTGTTACTCGGCAACGCTACGTCCTGGATTTTCTTGAAAATTTTGAGGAATTGATGGATCTATTGTTGGAACATACAGTGTGTCCCTGGATGGAGTTGACGAGAGGAAAAATATGATTATTTTTAATTTGATGAAGATAAGTGATTCTTTATTAAAAAGTTCTGATTTGTCGAACAAATAAGTTTGTTGTATACCTATACATACATAGTATTAAAATCCGGAATCTGATTTACTGGGTGTTATAAAATTAGGAAAACGAGAAATTGCCCATCTGACACCATAATTTCATAATAATTAACTTGAATAAAACAAAAATAATAATAGGTATAAATAAAATCAGTGACGTTAACTAAATTGGCTATTTTGTTTTTTGTTTTGTTAGAGATGAATAATTTATAAAAGTTAGAATTTTGTTTTTAACTATTAACCATTTTGCAAACAAATTTGCTTATTTATCTGTATACCTTAGCATTCTGCAACAATTATTTTTATTTTTCAGACAATTTCCTTGTCACCTATACATAACTAAATGGGCTATCATGTTTTTTTGTAATTAAATTTAGCTTTTATAAGGTAGACTGGGGCAAAGCGGTTGTAAAATTTGAATAGTTGAAATTAAATCCTAAAATGTGGCTTTATTTTTTCTCTTATTAGAAATTCTGATACCACATTAAATTCACAACTTCCTAAACTAAAGAATCGAGGTATTAAAAAGTTTTTATATAATTAAAGATAATTAAATAAAACAATCGTGAACAGTAATATTTTCTATTTTTTATTCAGAAAATTACAGTAGGTAATTTCCAAAATTTCCAACATTTTCTTGTCAACATTCTTATTTGGAAATAACCCTCGACTTTCTCTTCGAATGCATAATCCAACATCTTCGTCGATAACAATACCAACCATAATTTTAACCACGGCCCAAATTGTATAAATATTTATGAGAATGAAGATCAACTAGCAGGAACCACATCCGTACGTTTACTTAGGCTTCCTCATGACCCTAATCGAACAAAAAAGCGAATTAAAAAACACCTCACAAACTCGAAATTTAAATTACCTTCTAAAAGTATTCAAAAACCCCTTCCTGATCTTCTTCAGGCTGATAAGTCCTCCGATAATGCTCGAATACTGTTCGTTCGTTTCCGCGAAACTCGTCGTCAACGGAGACACGTATATCGGATAACCGATCGGCTGATCGCAGGACGAATTTATGATGTTCCTGAGAGCCTGCTTGGCGTTCTGTATGCTCCCCCTCTCCGGATTCCTGTTCCTGAAATACACCAATTCCTGCTGCTGGCCGGCCCACAATCCCCTCACGCACTCTTTGTTCAATTTGATCACCCGGAAGCTCAAGTACCGCTTGTTCAGCATTATGATTTTGTACTCGTCGCTGCCTTCGTCCAGAACGTGCCTGCAAAATTTTAATCAAACTCCGCTGGATTTGATTCGTCGTTATTAAACTCACCGTAAGGTCAACAAGCTGGGCGCCCCGCTCAGAACGCCCTGCCTCCACACGGGATCGCCCTCGTGCGATATCACCAGCTCCTCCTGGTGCTTGCATATGGCCTCGTACAGCGCCGCGTGCTCTTTGTATTCTTCGGGCGACATGAAGTGGTCTTGGTGCAGCTTCAGCGACATTTTAATGCCGGGAGCGACGACGGATTTCAACAGATCCACGTCGGTGAAGATCCACTCGTCCCTGGCGCACGATATGCGAAAATCTCCTTTGAAGAGAGCGTGCAGGCCGTTGAGAAAAAACTCCACGCCCGACGCCGTGTTGTGGGAAGCGGTACCTAGAGTTCTTCGGCCTGGAATACGAGGTGAAGTAGCATAAAATAGGATAAAAAAATTCTAAAAACTTGTAGAAACTAGGAAAAACCACAAATTGCGAGGTAGAATCGTTAAAACTCATATACAGTGTGTCCCAAAAAGTTGTATACAAATGGGGAAAAAGTTTATCTTACATTTCACAATAAAATTATTCTTGATCAAATTCTCTGCATAACTTGTAGATCCATAACCAGGTACAAAATGTTTAAAAAATTGCATTCAGGAATACAAGAACGAAAAATTATGATTTGGACCGAGAGATAAATACGCACAAACTGTTCATTATGCATAAATTATGTATAATTTTTTACTACTTAATCACAATTTCAATGAACATTTTGCTCTCCACTACAGTTTGGGCATATTTTTTCCTCAGTCCAAATCATTCTTTTTTGTTTTCCCTGTATTGGTGTATCCCTATATCCCTCAAATTACGTGATAGAATCGATAAAAACTAATAAATATCGCTGAAAGCTCAAAAAAACTAGGAAAACCTCAAAACCTCAGAATCGTAAGAAACTCATCGTATAAACTCACCTAATAAGCTAAGCGCGAAACATAGTAGAGTCAGCGAACCGTTCAAGTGGGCCTCGATGCACTGCTCGTGCCTCTCGACGCAGTATTTTATCCAATCGCCGTGAGTGTTCAGGAAACTGTGCAGCGTAATGCCGCAATTGGACATGTCGAAGTCCTCGTCGATGTTATAATTGAAAATCGGATCCAAATCGACGAAATTCGCCAGTTCCATCGGAGATAGAGCCTTCGAGATGGTCGGATTCGTCAGCCACTCGGACAGTTTCGGCGAACGGATCAAATAAAATATTATGCTCTAGAAATGTACGCGATTACTAACAGCATTTCGGGCGATGCAATGGATTTACCTTAACGTAATAGGAAACGAGGGCTTTGCGAAATTCGAAAACTTGCAATATAGAGGAAGCGCTGTTGTCCGAGATGCTGTAACCCTCCAAAACGTACTTCGACGCGAGCACTTCCCACGCCAACCATCTTTGGTTAAAAGCTGCGTTTATACTCAATATATTCGGCAAATGTCCGGTATCGCAACAACAACAGCCTAACATACAACAAGAAAACAAACTAGTTACAAACGTACCAAACGCATCGGAAAACCTTTAAAGATAAATTCAGCTTAGTTGAATACACCACATATTTTTTCGCGCACAACATCATAAAAGAGGCTTTGCTCAGCTGACGTTTTCGATGCAAATAACAAATAATGAATTCTATCTCTCTATGAACGCCTATCTCTATAGTCTCGTCTGTGCACATTTTTACAGCTATATTCAACCCTGCTGAATTTGTCTTTACCATCGTTCTCCTCCACCCCTTCGGTGATCGCCTCGACCTCCCTCTGCTGGCAGTAGGTCCCCCGGAACTCGAGCCCCCGCATCTGGAACGTCATCACGTCGTTGCCCATCTCGATGATGTGCACGAGACAGTTCAAATAATCCGAAGCCAAGACGAAGCAATCGCCCTGGTTCACCTCGCCCCATCGGCCCATCTTCAGATCGCCGCAGAGCGAGTGCTGCAACGATCTGGTGAGGTGCTCGTAGAACAGCGAGTTGAGGTTGTTGTCGTCGGCGCCGAGGTTGCGGTCGAGGTGCGACGACAGCGGCGTGTTCGAGTGGTCGACGCGCCGCGTGTTGTAGTCCCTCTCCCAGAACTTCACCGGCCTGGCGTACGACATGATGAAGATGACGCTGCCGAGGAACGGGTTGAGCGGCATCGAAAGGCAGGCGGCCACCATCACTTGCAGGAAGAGCACGGCCGAATGGGGCACGGACAGCGGTTGGGCGAAGGCGTGGAACGCCGAGCCCCAGGTGATCTGCCACGGTGCTATGTAGGTGACGACGAAGTGAATCTAGAAGATAAGAATTGTTGTTGTAGGATGCTAGATTATGTGGATAAGTGCAGATATGTTTGCAATGCAAGTTGAACAAAGAGAGATTGTTAAATTGACAGTGGTTAGAGTGAGATAGTTGCTGTTCCATAATATTATTCTTTCTTTGTCCTTTATGTGAGGCTAATAAAAGTTGTCTTTGTTGCACCCATATTGCAAACAAATTTGCATTTATCCCTATAATGTATGGATTTGTCCCACAGTAGAACATCCCATATGCATCGAAGATATACAGTATGTCCCTGGATGAAGACGAGAGGAAAAAATGGTTATTTTTAATTTACGAAGAATAGTCATGCTTGTCGAAAAAATAAGTTTGTCGTCTTAAAATCTAGAGTCTGACGATTTGTCCTCTCTTCAGCTCCTTCTAGGGACACACTGTATAAATAAACATTATGGCCCGTATTCATCGCTCCTTTTTAACGCTAATCAATCGTTCAAATTGCCTCTGTAACATAAACAATGTCCATAGTTACTCCATAACAACAATGTAAAACTGTCAAATGAAAGAATGTCCCTAGTTACTCCATAACAACAATGTAAAACTGTCAATTGAAAGAATCTCCTTAGTTACTCCATAACAATGTAAAACTGTCAATTGAAAGAATCTTCTTAGTTACTCCATAACAACAATGTAAAACTGTCAAATGAAAGAATGTCCCTAGTTACTCTACGGGCCAATGTTTGCTCTAGAGATGCATATAGGATTCACCATCGTGAATAGTTTAATTAATATACCTTTAACAACAATTCGTGCATCTTACTGAAAATGGTAATGACGAAAAACTGTATAACCAAAAAGGACTCGTCGAACTCCCTAAGATCGAATTTGTAACATAACGCCGTAAAAACGAGAATTAAATATTGCGAACTTTGGTTTGAGTAACTGCTTCTTAGGCACTTTATTCCGCATATCACAATGACGAAGGAGCCTTTTAAAGTTCCGTATTTAGTAACGATGCGGGGAGCATCTTCAGTCAATACGGAAAGAAACAAAAGCGGATAAAATATGTTTCTTTCCAAAAAGGAAAAGTAAATGTATACCTGCGAACAAAACGGTTAATTTTACCTACCATTTAACGTACTGATATTAATTCAAACTTACTTTTTCAAACCACATAATCTTAGAAGGGCCTTTTACTTGATATTGTTCGTATTCCAAAGACCTTAGAATAGGCCGGGCTATGCACAGCCAAGGCAAATGCTTCCTTAACTGAGGAATAATGTAGTGCAGTAGAAATCCTAATGTAGCACTTACTGACCACAAGACTGGACTTAATTCCGGTTGCAGTACCGTGAACACGGTACTCGTGTGAATCGAAAAAACAAACACCCCAATTAAACTGCACACGATAATATCGTGCTTGAGTCGAGCATTATTAAGTTTTTGAAGTTTCGCTGGCAAATAATCGAAAGTATCGTTTTCTACATCACTATACGCAGTTTTATCAGTCTTAATTTTGCATTCTTTAGTTTTGCCGCTCTCCTGTCTCGATTTCACCTACAATCAACGTTAGTCAACACAAACATTTCAACTATTAACATATTATTTACCTCAACATCGCCACGTTCTTCGCGCTCTTTGTTCAACGGGCTGCTTTGAATCTTATCCAACTCTTCCCGGTAATCGTCCGACGGCCAAAAGTACCCCTTGAACATCTTCCATATGTGCGCGGGATCGCTCGAACTGCGACTGAGGTGGTACGAGATGGATATCAGAAACGCGCAGAACGCGGAAAACAGCACGTGCTGCGCCCCTTTGCTCTCGTTCAAACCGAAATAGGCCAATCCGCCGAGCACTAGCGTAGCCAAACACGATCGAATGAAGCAGTACAAAGCGGCCGATAAACTCGACACGGCGTTACCGCCGAACACGTGCATGTCTATCTGCTCGAGGAGGTACATCAGAAACGTGTTGATTTGCGGAAAGAGCCCCAGCGAAAATAGCAGCGGGAATATCAAAATGAAATTGATTAAAAGTTCATTGAACAACAGTAGAAGGCGTTGACCGATCAGCGCGACGCCGGTATTTCGAACTAGTCTCGTGTCTTGCAGTACGAGCGAATCTATAATTAAGGCTAAAATGGAAAAAAGACAAAAGTACAAAGGTCTGGAGTACGTAATAATCCTGTTAAAACCGTGCGTCGGCGAAGCGGCGTCGGGCTGAACACTTTTAATCAACGAATATTGGCAACTGGCGATTACGAGGCAAAGTACGAAAGCCGACATATCTTTGTAGTATCCCCTAAACAACAGTATAGCGCCGAGTATCCCCACCGTACTTCCTATTATTATTGACAACAACGTCTCGATCAACGATAGATTCCTATCCAGCAAAGCCAACAGCTTCAACCTGTCCGTGCTGACTTTGATGTACGACCAAGGCCACATTCGAAAGACGTAGTAAGTTTTTGTTCGTTTGTAATTATTGTCAACGGGATCTGACGTAAGACACTTGAATTTAGATTCGTTATGCACGTCCACCAACAGTCTATCGATCTCCAACTCCTGCCTGATGACCTCCGAGCCACCGGCGGGTCGATTGGATTTCTGCAGCGACGCCGAACTGTTGCTGACCGATTCAGTACTGTTCCATATATCGATAGACCGTTGTTGACTTGGAAGACGAAGAGAAGACTGTCGAAGGAGATGAACGGGCTGATTTAAACAGCTGGTTCCACTTCCGTTGTTCTGCGAATTTTGACCTTAAATTGAATTATATATTATGTTATGTTTAAAAAAAATTATAAAGCTACTCACCACCACCTCCTGCTATAATATCGCTCGGTAATATGTAGAAACGATCGTGCTCATCGTAGCCTTTTAATTGGCAAAAGAGACAATTACTTTTCGTATTGTGTGAACCGCTCATAGGAAACATCGATTTGGATATATTTTCCTTGCTACCCTGCATTGATCTACAATTAAATGTTCTTATTTTTATTCAATAAAAGGACCATAGATATATGTATAACTAAAACAGTTTACAAAACGAAACTGTTTACAAAATTTTAGGGTACCAACAATAAATCACAGTCTAACAGAAAATAGCGCCTGATTGGATCCGCCATGTTACCTCTATTTTTCTATCTTACTTTTTCTGCCTCGTTTACTTAATAAGTGACAGATAATTTTCAATGTTGGCGTCAAAAATTTTTGAATTTATGAATGACTGGGGATGTGAAAAGGACATTATAGATAAGCGAACTTGCCTCCTTCTCTCTACGTTATTATTTATCCTCTTCCTTCTAATTTGACTAGAATTGCAACCGCAATAAATATTCTCCGATCTCGGTTGAAGGAATACAGACAACAATGGCACAGGAGGTAAGAGAGTACTTAATTCGTTATTGGATCCATTAGACGAACCGTCCTCGTTTTTCAATTGTACGTTCGATTTGCTGTAGTCACCTTTCGAAAAATGTTATTCTGTAAATACGATTCTAATCGAAACAGCACGTACTCACAATCGATTTTATCGTCCGAATGATAATGAGACACCGCTGTGTAGTCTGACACATCGATAGAAGCGTCGTTCGTGCAACGTTGCAATTGCGTTTGGGTGAGCTTGTTCTCCGTTAGGGGCGCGTTGGTTTTCTCGGTTCCCAGAATGGGATTCGGTTTGCAGCCGCACGTCCGGCATTTCTTCGACTCGCTTTTGGGGAACTTCCTCGGGGCGGACGTGGAGCGCTCCCTATTCTTCGACGGCATCCTTTTAGGTATGGCGCCCAGGCTGGAAGTGGAAGGCCCCGGATCTTCAACCTGATCCTCTATGTCGCGTTCCAATGGTACTGCTATGGTGCTGGACCATTCGGTGTCTCGTTTTAATGAATCTGCATACGAATTAGACATCACGAGTGGGTCTCGCAAGGTTTATAATTAAAATACCTTTGTTTTGAAGAGATTGGTTGTCTTCGAATAGCCAATCCAAATCTAATTCGAGCAAACTGGAAAATTTTTCTTGGCGTCGATTTTGCAGGTTGCTTTTCGGTTTCGTTCGATTCCTCCTGCTGTACGCGATTCGTTTCCTTCTATTGTGCTTTACGGTGTCTTTTTCTTTAACGTGGCCCCTTCGGGATCCAGACGGCTGTCTTCTCCGCAAAGAAGTTTCGACTTTTTCGTCGATTTCGATGCTGGAATTGCTGAAAGAAAGATTTTTGTCGCTCGTGTTGTTAGCCATCGCTGCTTCTTGTACATCGAACGTCGAACTGGAATTCGAATTGTCGATGTCGCCCAACAATTTCCCTTCGGAATTTGTACTATCTCTTAAACTATCTAGCTCCCTTATATTCGGGTGAAATTGACTAGACATATCTACTATTCTACTCGTGGAAGGTTTAGTTGTCTGGTGGTATTTTGATAAATTCAGTGAATAAGGCACACTCTTCATTTTGTTCGGTTTGGATTTAGCGTAGGTTAGGTGATTATGACTACCTGCAATCGAATAAAATTATTTTAATAAATCACAATACTCCGGATTAATTGCATTTCTTACCTGTCGGTTTAATATCAATATGTGCAGTCGTTGGTAAATAATTTAAATTAGTAAAATTCGAATGGCTCCATCCGCATTCATACAAGTGAACGATGTTGGAATCATTGTCGGATTCTATACTCTGGAAATTGTATTGGTAAATTTCTTTCGTAATTGCTCACGTTTCGGCTCACGAGTCTCGTTTTCACTTACCAATAAATTCGGAGTGGCGTCGCTTTCCGATGAATTCTTGCGGTGCACCTCAGCTGTAAAATCTAAAAAAATGTAGCAACCTATAAACCTATGAAGTATGGATACTTAAATGATATAAGTCAAATTAATCTAAAGCACTATATAATACAAGAACTGCGTGCTATATTAGATATTTAGAATAAATTTTTGATTTGAAATAAGTACTTGATAGATTCATGTTGAAATTGTGAAATGGTTAGAAAATGGTAAATAAAAATATTCTTACCGATGGTACTAGCGGGTCGTTCGTTTCCTTTGCCGTTGAGTTTTTGGGTTCGTTCCTCGTATATTTTTTGATGGCATATACATTCAATGCTTTCGTCGATGCTACGAAAATGTGGGAATTCGCTTTCATTATGATTTACAGACGTGGCTCCTTTATCTGTTAGTTTGCTAGATAAAATTTGTAATTCTATTCCTTCGTCCTCTCTAAACCGAAAATTATATTAAGTGGGTTTGTAACAGTTCGTTACATGAGCTTACTTTTTCAAGACTTGCACTTCTTCTTGTATACACTCTTTGGTATCATACATGCGATGAAGTCCGAAGTTAACCAGTTTCAAAACAGCAAGGACTATTGTTACAGATCCGCAATAAAAATACCAGAATATTAACGATGATGGAAAATACTGAAACAACGAAGCAATGTGTGGTAGCTATTGTTTGTTATTTTCATTACTTACCACATAAATACAGAAAGGAACGCTTAAAAGGTAGAGCCAAATGTATAAATGAAATGTATTACAAAAAACATCCTGACGTGGGTCATAAAACCAGCCGCCGGTAAAAGATGCCCATATTCCTTGCCGAATGATTTCCAGTATTTGAGAACCCATTTGGTTTTCTTCTATCATTCCATACTTAAAGTTATTGAAAGCCTAAAGTTCATTTTTATTAGGTACACTCTTATCTCGTATCCTACTTAGAAAATTCGCTCGACTACATCGGTGATAATAAGAGAATGACAATCGATCGCAACTTAACAGTTAAAATATATTACAATTTTTGGCATTCGATGATTTTTCATTTAAAAAAATTAAAAATTTTCTAAATAAAAACTAATTTTTACAGTTGTGTAGGATATTGACATTAAACGTCAAATGTCAAACTTCAGATGTCGACAAAACATGACATAACATGACAAATCAGTCTCATCAACGTTGTTATAAAAATCCCTATAAATTTTATTCATTCTTTATGGCCTAAGAAAACTAAGCTATACAATCACAATTGTAATATCTAAATAAATAATGACTTGTTGACTTGACTTTACCGTTTCTAATTATAATTCTAATAAATTAACTGTCTAATGATGAACAACATATCCCATAGATTTTGTTATAATTATTATAACATCAAAAGAGTAGACAAGACTAATAAAAAAATATGATAAACTCTCTTCAAATTATTGCTTTAATATTGCTACTTTATTACCTCACTTTATTTAGTAGTTATAATAAAAAAATATCAAAGTTTCTTAATTCTGAAATAATAATATTTATATACCTACTTCGATTTTCACCATACAGGTAGATGCAAAAATTTTTGCTGTATACATATGGCTATGGTGCAACAAAGACAACTTCCGCTAGTCTCATTAAAAGGTGATATTTATGTGATTGCATTTTTCTCACTCCAACCACTGTTATTTTAATAATCTTTCTTTATTCATAGGCTAATTATTCTTCATAGGCTGTGGGTGATGCAACAAAGAAAACTTCCGTTAGTCTCACATAAAGGAAAAAGAAAGAGTGATATTGTGGGATTGTTATTTTAAAACCTTTCTCTTAATTCTCTTAATTCTTAAGCCTCTTCATTCTCTATCCAAAAATGGTAGTTGTTATAATTTTTATTTGAATTTCGTTAATTGCGATTAAAAAAATGGTTAAATTGATAGAAATGCATAACAGTTTTGGTGAGGAGATTCACATTTTTACATTGTGAACAATTAGGTATTACCTACAAATGGAGTGTATTATATCGAATTTAGGCCATCAGATGATTTTATTTTTTATGTTATTTTTGAAATAAACTTGAAAACAATAACATTTTTGGATAGATAATAAAGAGACCTTTCAAACGATATATGACAAGCATATACTTCCCATTTAAAAAAATAGGGATTGTAATAGTCCTTTGAAGGGGGTTGAAGACACTGCTCACATTTTGACGTTAACGAATTTCAAATTATAATTAAAATTTGACGTGTTTCAGGATTTTCTTTAAATATGTACAGCAACCGATATAATGAATTTATTCCATTTGACGTTTCCACCCTGTATAATCTTCTGAATTACCCAACACTTTTTGAATATATACCTAAAAAGTGCTTTTAATCTTAAATGATAATACTTGAAATTACACGAATAATCGTAAAAAAAAACCATACATATTCCAGCCTCTTTTTATTACGATTATGTATCCTTAGGTTTAAGATGAATATCTAAGTTTGTAGTGAGTGTGGTTTTTTATAGGTCTTATTAATAACATCAAAGAATAAAATAACAATGCACTGATAGCGAGTTCTCTTAAATGTGATTAAAGGATTTATCAAAGCTAACAGGTGTTACATCACCCCTCATGAATATCTTATTCGCCATCCACGGTCAGAGGTATTCAATTTCCGATCGACGAGTCCCCCTTTTTTAAAGGGACTAGAACAGGGGAACACTTGAGGCCGACACTTTTGATGCACATATGGAGCAACCCGCCCTCTATCCGTAACCAGAGATGTTATCAAACGTTAATGACTCTCCCCGGGGCACGTATATCGTCGAGCAGCGGTGTCCAAAATGCGAATTGAAATTTTATTAGAAATGTTGAGCGACATGTGTGCTCGCGAGCATAACGGAATGCTTCTTTTATGCTACTCTCCTCATGGCTATGATTTGCTGAAAACTAAAAATTCATCAACTGCGTTTGCTGCTAACAAAGGAAAACCACTGAAATATCATTGATGTTCCAGAAATATGAACAAGAAATAATGAAGGTAACGCCAGTATAGGAAATAAAAAAAATATATTTGTCAGAGCTTGATGTATTTTCTCAAAAATGAAGATTTTTATTCAAATTTAAATTTGATCATTTCATTAAATCCCACCTGAATTAATGATAACTCCTAATCACTTAATGTACCTAAGGGTTGTAAAATTGATGAAAATAAAAAAGCTGCTTCTTATAGTCACTAAATGCTCAATTACATCAAGGAATAGATCTTGATAATGCAATAATTTCTTATCCTTGTTCAGTCATTTATGAATCAGGAAATTGCTTGTTGAATTGACTGTGTATAATTTCATTTATTTCTGTGTTTCCTTTTGATTTCCTTATCAATTTTACGTTTGTTTTAGTCCAGATTGATTTATTTATTTTTGACGCGATTTACCTAGTTTCATTAGGATTTCCAGTTCTAATTGATGGTGTTTGAAACAAATTTCAAAAAAAAACATAAATGTTTAAACGCAGAATGAATGTTTTATTTGGGAAAATAAAATCCAAATTGAAGTGCTAGGCTCGGGGTTTAGGCTTTTAGGAGTAAAAAGGATCATCATATATGCATGGCTTTTTAGAACAGTAATTGATCACCACCCCCTACAGCTTTTAACTTACGTAAAGCCGTAACTTGAATGTTTATATTAATAAAAAGCCTTGTAAAAGGTAGCGGCCCTTTTTTAAAAGTATGGCAGGGAAAACGGAATTTTTTAGCGAGCGCCGTTCCCGTTCCATTCGAAATTTTAATGCGGAGGTTTTTGCGTAAAATATTTTACACACAAAATATTACAATGGATTTTCGATTTTCCTGTTGATGGAAACAAGATTTATTTACTGTGATGAACATAAAATAATTGTAGTTAGGTTTCTCCATAAATAAACCATTATATTAGAGATGTCCATTGCATTATAATAGGATGTAGGACATGAACAAATAAATAGTTTAGATTTTAAAACATTTCCTTATTGTCTAATTTTATATTTACTTGTTTATAAGGGACACATTACTTGGGAAATTGTTGCGTATATGCAAGTATGAGCTTTAAAACATTAAAACGTTTTAAAAAATTGCACAAATTGCACGTCTATCTATTGCACAAATTACGAAATAAAATACTTACTTAGTTCTAAAAACTGAAAGAAATGATTATAAATAACAAATTGTAAGTACAATGTAATAGTCAAATTAAATATAGTCAATAACACAATCAAATAATACAAGAACAATAACACGTACTACAAAAAGCAAATTACTTTAGTACCTATTTTACAGAGAATTATTTTTAATATGGCTGTTTTGAGTATCGAATTTAGCTAGCTATCTTTGACAATAACCGAGGTGTTAATTTTATATACCTAATTATATAATTGCATAAATAAATACTTGAAGATGTTTAGTAGGTGTGTAGATGTTTGAAATTCAAGTTTACATTGTAGTGAATTCTTGAAAGAAACAAACAGCTCTATATCTATAATATAACGGATGGTGGTGATCAATACATCAGAACCCGGCGGCGATGTGCGGTTTCTATGGTTACGAAATTCTACCACAGTAACGATACCACACGCATTTTGCTGGGAAATGCCAGTGAGTTTTGGACAAAATTCGCAATGTTATTTTATAATTCGCCCTGTTCATTTAACACGAAATTCAATCATCAGCGACTGATATTACAACAACGTTATTAATATTAAATCATAAAGGAAACTTTTGAAGCTGTTATTAAATGTAATTCAATTATTTCACCTATTGTAATTAATTGGGCTTATTCAAATATTTATTCAAAATTAATTACACATGACCTTATAGTGTATTTTATACATTCGTACATCAATATTGAAATATAAAACATCGTTCTCATCAGGTTTAAAAATGAGACGATCGAAGTTCATATAAAACATTTAAAATTACGAGAATTGGAAGTTGTAGAATACGATTTTAAAGAAAATTTGTAAGTAGGCAACTTTCCATCAAATTTATTAATAGTACACTTTACAATCCAATTATATTTTCTTAAAAAAATAAAATATTTCTTCAAACAAAAACCTTATTTTGTTCTTTTCAGTTATGAAATGAATAAATGTAGGTATGTATGATAGGTATTTGTAACGAGTTCTTCGCATATTGCTATGCGAATTGAAATGGAAATCATATGGAAGTATTTTCTCCTCAGCTGAAATGAATACAAATAATAATAAAATAAAGTATACAACGCTGATGATTTTTGATTTACCATAATAAACCGTTTGGATCAAGCAAATGTGCAAATGTGATTTATTTTTATATCCTTTTAAATTATTTTTGTGCTACCAACATCATCAGTTATCGTGTATACCTTTATATTTACCTACTAGAGAGATATTTTCGTATAGAATATACTTTAACTGAAATTACGCTTGCTCTACCTAAACATTTTACAAATTGCACAAGCACGCTTAAAAGCCACCGCTGCTTTTAGCTTTTAATGCATATAACATAAATTGCGAATTTTTATCTAAATTTACGTTATTTTTATTTTCGTCAAACAGCTCTCAGACGAGGAGAACAGAACAGTTTCATGAAAAGTTTTATGTCAGAGTATAAAAATCGAAAAACCGGAGCCTCCGGCGAGTTGCCACCATTTTAGCAGCCCCTCGCGCTCATTGGTGTTGCTAGGGGTGACTGCCTCGCGTTTGGCCAATCCCGGTTTCCCAGCGAATGTTAGCGAATTCTTATTGGCACGCGGAATTTGTACAGAGATCTATTCACGTACAGCTCCATTAGATGTAAACTGTAAGCCTCTGCGATGGATTTATATGGGTTAGAGAAAGACAAAATACCTGGAATAGAATATCTCGGCAACAGAACAAGGCTATCACAATTTAATGTCGTTATAGTCACTTGGTGTTTGGCTTAGACATAAGCTAGTCATATTTAGATTCAAGTTAACTATACTCCAAAATTTAATTGAATCAGTCACAGATATTAACAATATCAGTGCAAGCCAATTGTCTCATATAGTTATAGACAGGTAGCTACAATGAACTATGGACGTGCTTAGTTTTGCAATAAACCCTACAATCGTGATCTAGTGTCAAAACAGAAGGTATGTACTATTTTATATTTATAAATTTCGTATGTTCTCAAAGTTTTCAAATATCTTTTACTCACATAGTTTAGTTAGAAATTATAGAAGGTTTAAATCGTATAAAGGCAAAAGATATATTTCGTTTGCTATATATCCATATTTCATATTTATTTTCCACAATATTAAGTAGTCTTTAGTTGCAAGTTATTTTCTTGTATTAAAAATTCAATTGAAAATGTTTTTTTAGAATATTTTGAAACTTTGATTTCAGATTTAAACTCTCTATAAATCAACTATTCCATACCTATTTAAGAGTCCAAAAGAATCTTTGAATTTGATTATTATGCATGATATCTATTATACTTTAATAAATTTATTATAATTTCAAATGTTTAACGACCCTGTACTCTTAAAAATTTCAAATATTCCTAGAAGTATATTGTGAAAAATAATTCCTTATATGAATAATAGTTACTTTTTGCACTTAATAAGTAGCTATATTAAAGCAGAAAAATAACTTTATACAATTAGACGATATGGAGTTAGATAATCTTTCTAAATATATTTAATTACCAGAAAAAATTACGTTTATTTATCGAATTGATATACTGAAAATGACTATATTATACATAAATTTGTATTTAAAGTAGCTTCATTTTTTTATTTCTTTCTTCTTTTATTGATATAATGTATTTTTCCTCTGTATATATGAAGTAACAAAATGTTCCCTATTACAAATTCCTAAAGCAATAGATATTAGGCAATATTCACATCACATAATAGTTAGAAACTTCTTTTATTTCTTCATTCGTGTAAATTATAAACATTCTTCTTAACTCATGACCTCATGAATTCATATTTTTTGAGCCTGATGTCTGTAAAATGAAAAAAATCCAAAACATTCAAAATTTCCCGACAAAGCTTTGCCATTTACGTGGTTAACAAATAACGTTTCCATGTATAAAGACTTTCAACAAAAGTTTTCATTTCCATCACAATCATGCACTTCCACGTTTTCATTATTTCATCCTGTTCCAATTCCTATTCAACATTTAGTTGTTCATTGTCATAAAAAAATCTCAATGAAAAAGTACCCAGTTGTTTTGGATTTATTCAATGAATGCAAAATTCATTAAATTAGTCGCATTACCTAAAAGTCCCGTTACCTAAATGAATAAATTTTATAATATTTATAAATTTAAATGAGAAATTGGGGAATCAACCGTTTGAAAAGGGTTGATGTAACGGACAACCTTTCGAGTTACGGGGCATTTCATGCAAATGTCTCCTATAAAATGTTTGAACGTTTACTCGGAAGCAGAAGAGCCAAAAAGCTTGGAGAGATTTTCACTTTTTTAAATGGCTTTCTTCTAATTTTGTGAATTCAATTATTCTTTTAATAGTTACATATATTGGATACGAGAGTTTTTGGTTACTTTGTAGGTACCTATATGTAGGTACTTATAGATACTTTTCAGTTGATTCATAAAGAATAGGGTTAAATTGATTATCACGAATAAAGGTAAAATATCAAATGAATCAATATTGATTATTAAACAAAAGTCTTCAAATTACAATTTAATATAGCTTGTGATTCAATTTCTAAACCTTATTCGGAAACCTATATTTCATTACCAATTGGTTAACTATTTGAGTTGTAATAGTCCTTTATATTAATAATAATAGGTACCACCTACATTGAATAATAAATTAAAATATTTATTATGAAGGAGCTACTGCACTTTTGAACAAACGTTATACGGCAGATTTAAAAGACAAAAATGTTAAATTAAAAATTAAAATAATTTCATTTCAAATAAAAAAAATTGAAAATTTTATTAAAATAAGTTTACATTGTACAAAATAAATTTGATAGGTATTTATCTACAAAGGAACAAAGTACAACCGTACTCAAAAGTCTCCCAATAATGCCGATAAACTGTGATTACTCGGTATTTCTGGATCTCATCCAATAAATAAGTATAGGAAAATAAGCTATTTGATAACTAGAGGCAGATTTGAGTAGTTTTAGTATAGAATAAATAAAATTTACGGTATTTTTCTGCACATCCACACCTACACGGACGACGCCGACGCCGGCGCCGGTTTTCTACCGACGGATTAGAGTTTCGTCAATACATTTGCTCCGGAATATCAGGACTCTTAAAGGCTGTTTTTAGGAAAATATAGAATATTTTGTAATTAGTATTTGATCTTTTAATAAAGATCAATTTTCCATCAGTTAGAAATAAATCATTGAATTTTCATTAATCTTTACAATACTAAACTCAAGATATTAAAATCTGATTGCACAGTGGATAAAACGTGTAAAACAAACAATAAAATTGCACAATTTTGGAATATGTTTGAAACTAATTTCAACTTTGAACTAAACCGATAGGACGAATATAAAGAAATACACCCGGCGCATCTGATAAAGGAGATCATTAGCAAATATTTCAGAATATAGATATGATAAATACTGCATACATACATAATTTTCTCTGATCTCACTGGGGTGGCTAGCTCATACATAAAAGGAAAAGAAACAATGGAATTGAAGTGAGAGAGTGAGTTATTGAATATTCTCAATAGGGTGCAATTTGTCATCCCCTATTCAATTGTAGCCGGTGAACATCTATTCAACGCGACAAGTGTATTAAAACAAATGTCCTATAAAATACTTATTATTTTGGTTGTTAGTGATGATTTTTACTTAAAAGTCAATATATTGATTTCATTGATTTTACTTATATGAAGAAAAGTTGTTTGGAAAAGCTGCCCTGTAAAAAAATAAAGTACCTTCGACGTAATTTAAATAGCGTCACTTTCCTTTCCAGTGAGCCAAGACACTGTTAATCTGAATTACTGATGCAGTCTCCGTTGAAAGGCTTTAAGGAAGTAATAAAAGAGAGAAATTTTTAATGGAAATTTTAATGAACAATTAAATAATGTATAGAGTTAATTTTCAAACTGAAATCGGTAAAACGGTTTCGTTAATGCAAATGAAACGAAAAGCGCCGTTTAATAACGCTCTGTTATTAAACGATCAGAGGCGTAATTTCAATCTATATTTTTGAAAAAAAAAGGAAATAATACGAAACAAGTGGATGAATTATAGCACGAATTATTTCTAATAGTTTCTATTCCTATTGTTTCAGGAGAACAGCAGTGTTACAAAATTTACGGGAAGATAGTGCAGTGAATTTTCTCGATCGCGACCTATAAAATATCATAAACAATCAAAATTTCCAGTTTCAATTCAACTGTAGTGTCGACCACCAATTTCTCCAATTAAGTCGATAGCAGCTTCAAGTTGGATTTCAAGGGCGTCTCTTCTTGTCTGGGGGCCTTGGGATCATCCCCTGCCCCCTCGGTCCATACCACTCCAGAGGAGCTCTCTCACCAGCAGTTTAACATATTCCCCGCCATATTCAGTAGACAATTAAACTTTAACACGTGCCCCCAATCCAAAACGATGATGGATGAACTGAGACCGAACCTCGTCGGGAACTTATTAGGAGTTAGCGGACTGCTCGACGACCACCACGGACACCTGACTAGCTCTAGTACCAATATAGATAAGACGAGTAGTTCTAGAAAGTGCAATAGTACCAGTGGCTCATCGGCGGAGGATTTCAACGCTCTCTACGGCAGCTTGCCTCATTCGCACGAGCACCACGGCCACACTCCGGCGCATACGCCTCCATCGGGAAGGATTATCGCTGACCACAGTGGTATGTATTTTAATTAACTGTTTTTAATAACTTTATTCGATCAAAAAATATATAATTTCAAGGTAGAAAAATTGAATAAATAGATACTTAACAGATATAGTTTTTAACAAAAAATAATGGATTTAAATAGAGGAGAACATCAGATTTTTAATGAGCATCGTAATCCGAATAATCGACTCGAGTACTTAGCCCAGAATGTGTACATATGTGCTTCCTAACCTCGCCGAGGGTGTCTTAATCAAGTGTCAATTTACTAGTATTTCTGGTGCTTGGCCCTATCGAACATATGCATCCGCACAAAGGGCTCAAATGCTCTTGTTCTGGTTAACACTCAATTTGACATATTGTGCTCTTATCCTGTGACATGTGCGAACGGGGAAATACTTACCAGCGCTTGTATCTCTGAATATAGCCCTATAATTATCGGTTAATTTGAATGCCTTCCGAATCCAAACAGAGAAGAAAGTGTAAGGGAGCGGGAGTGTTAGATTCAATTCACGAATGGTACATTGTAATTATTTCCTTTTAGTTTATAGGCGAGTTTTGCGTCAACAATAAGAATAATAAAAATTTTGATTGGGCTTATTGAGAACTTTAACTAAGGTTTGTCCGATTTTTTTATACAAATCAATAAGTTAATTTGAATTGGGTATTTTTGTTATATGATTCAAACAATAAAATCTAATGTGAGAATGTTTTATTTAATATGATTTAAATAAAAGCAACGGATATTAATAAAATTAATTAAACAAAAATAAAATTGTTTGAATTAAATATTTAATAAATTCATAAAAAAAACTCTTAATGTACTCACAGGATTCACCACTGAGTTTAATATTATTTAATCGATTGAGAAGATGAAATTATTTTAACTTAATCGTGGTTTTGTCTCGTTTTTTGTTAATCAAGGCATCTATTCTTCAATAAATATATGAACCATTTTCTATATTTAAAAATAGTTGATATAGCCATAGATACTCCAAACATTTTTACAAAAAAAAACTTTCAGAAATTTCAGACTATTGGAATAAGTTTTACTTATTGCATCGAATCGAAAATAGAAAAAATAAAAAAATTAAAAGAAATTCCAGATTTATATGAGGTTGTATCTGGTTGAATAATTTTAGCACAGGTATGTCTTGTTTCAAATATAGTGCAGATAGTTTATTTAGGTAGATTATTGGGTAATAGTGTAAAAAGTATATAGATATACTAGGCAAAATAGAATAATACAGGGTGTCCCAATGAAAAGTAGCCCCTTTAATGAGCTAATAATTTTTAAACGCCTAATCATAAAAACATGCGGTTTTCGTAGATATATCTTATTTTGCTATAACTTTTTGTTACAGTGACACAAAAATTTTGTATCGTCTGTACAGGATGTTTCAAAAATCCCCCTCTTTTAAATTTACATTAACTAAATTTTATGATATAGGACATCTTCTTTTGTACAATAACATGTACAAATAATACATTTTTAAAAAGTAGAAGAGTATATCTTTCAAAATATCTCTACATATATGGGGTATTCCTTTTAAAAAAAAATGGTTACTGTGTATTTAAAACAGGAGATTTTGATAAAACACCCTGTGTTGGTAATGCATAATTTCTGTATCACTGTAAAAAAATTATAATAAAATAAAACATATATGAGAAAACCGCATGTTTTTACGATTATTCATTTACAAATTACAAGCTCATTAAAGAGGCTACTTTTCATTGGGAACACCCTGTATATGAAGTATTGTAGTTTACCAGTCCTTCTAAATTGTTGTTTCTCAAGAAGTACAAACCGGAATTTCTAAAATTCTGCCTCTTAAACTGCATCATCCCTTATAAATAGTGTACCTACAACGTCCGTTTTATTTCGGTTGCAGACGGCGCCTTCAAAAAATTAAAACCGGAACCGCAATCGGCGCCCAGCGGGACGAACATCGGAACCGTCTCGCCCAACAGTGGCCCCCAGCACGCCGGCCACACGCCGACGACGGCGTCCTGCCCGACGCCGGCGCGACGGCGGCATCGTACGACCTTCACTCAGGAGCAGCTGGCGGAATTGGAGGCGGCCTTCGCCAAAAGCCACTACCCCGACATTTATTGCCGGGAAGAGCTGGCTAGAAGTACAAAACTGAACGAAGCTAGAATTCAGGTATGAATATTTTTGTTATAAGCACTTCTTTATGGTATATCTAAGTCTATTTATTCAATAATTGGTACTAAAGATGGTACTATTTCCCTGGGTAGATCATTGAATGTTATCTGAGTTTGTATAAAGGAATAACAATATGATCAAGTCCCAGTTGACTATACAAATTTTCAGGGCGCACTAATGGAACTTCGCAATGAATTTACCCGACATTTATAGTTTCTATAGGCTAAAATTATAGTCAAAAGATATTTTTAACTGTTTTACTACCACGGGCGATTAAAGTAAAAAAAATCCGATTTTCAAGTCGCTAATCCTTTTATTATCGTATTAAGTGTGACATATCGTTGAAACGCTCGTCTTGATGATTCTAAAAATATCAAAATATATCTACGAGGTGCTTCATTTAAAATTACAAAGTTTTTATAGGCATCCGCATTTTGTATATATTCAAAAATTTATTTTCCTACAACATCGACATTCCTACGATATTCTCAAATTCTAATTCAACATTTAAACATTAAAATGGTCATGAAAGTAGAGAGAAAAAAATTTAGTTCATGAAAGTAGAGAGAAAATTTGGTGCATAAAAGTAGAGGGAAAATGTTGTTCATGAAAGTAGAGAGAAAATTTTGTGCATAAAAGAAGAAGGAAAATGTTGCTCATGAAAATATAGAGAGAAAATTTTGTGCATAAAAGTAGAGGGAAAATTTTGTGCATAAAAGTAGAGAGAACATTTTGTGCATAACTGTAGAGAAAAAATGTTGTTCACAAAAGTAGAGAGAAAATTTTGTGCATAAAAGTACTGGGAAAATTTTGTGCATAAAAGTATAGAGAGAACATTTTGTGCATAACTGTAGAGAGAAAATGTTGTTCATGAAAGTAGAGAGAAAATTTTGTTGTTTCGTGAGGTTTTGTTTAAAATATTTGGAAAAAAATATTTTCTGGGACCCACTGAACTCTAGCCCTAAGGGCTTACCTAATGTAGGTACGAACCAAGAAGGGATTATTATTTTGGGACTGAATACAGTTACGCCTTATAATACTTTTTTCTAATTGAGGAAAATTGTATCAGCGGAATAACAGGAAACATTTCCGATCGATTTAGTTAGGTATGTTCGAAAGACATGCTTTCTGCATTTTTAGCTTGTATTCATCTGAAATATTTGAATGCAACCAATTCGTAAACAAATAATGCTACATCGGCTGGAGCTCGAGCGTTTTCAATAGGAAAAGCACGGGATACATCTCTTCGCCGCGTATTCCCTCAAATGGATACATAATTGAGTTAGTTCGCCCCAAAATATACAGGCTCCCTTCCTCTATTTTTTGGTCTCCCTCACAGTCGTCTTTAAGATAGACTAACGTATATAAGGGACCTTATCGTTTCTTTGGTTTATATTCCTTTATCGTCCGCTTTTAACCGAGAAGGAGATTGTCTATTGTCTTTCTTTGACAATGTTGAATTCGATGAGGGAGGATGTATTAAATTAAGGCATTTCTAATGACGAGCCTTGAATGCGTTTTTAATTTTATTTATTCCTTCATTCTGTATACTTTTTATTATTATTATTTAGAATGTATACGTTTTGTAATTTCATTTACTTGAAACTTGTAGTTTGTATGAATTTTCTCCTTGCTGTGAAACTATTTTTTTTTTATTTTTAATGTCATTCGCAAGTTTCATTCAATTTTTGAGCCTACAACTTTTTTGATGAGAAAGGGATTTCATTGCATAGTAAATCGCATTTCCCAAATTCTGAGGAAACTACTGAATATTTCCAAATTCAGTTTTCGAATTTAACAGATTTTTACCGAGCATTTTAAGTTGAAACGATAATGTTTAGGCTACACAAAAAAACGTTAGTGTATTAGTAAATGTATGAGCTTTATAAGATTTGATTTGTTTTTGTTAAACGAACTAAAATAACCCCCTTTTCCTATAATCGCTTTCCTAAATTTAGCGGAAACGATGCAATAAGAAAAATCAATACACTCCCCGTTTACTTCAAACAAAACCATCAAGCAGGAAGCAGAAATTTTCAGCCATTTTGCGATTTCTTGTATCGTAGGTATGGTTTCAAAATCGACGAGCGAAATACCGAAAACAGGAAAAGCAGCTCCAGAAAGCATTGGCTCCGAGTGTGTTGCCCGGTTGCAATGGCGCCATGATGCGGAACATTTATCCGGGGGCGGCGCGAGGTTATCAGCCCTATCCGCACCCTACAGCCATCAACAGATATCCCCAGGTTAGTGTTCGCCCTTTTCTTATTACGTTTCTTAACGGCGTCGCGAATTTCTACTCTTTTTTTTTATTTCGTCGCAATCGTCGCGATTTATGAATTTTCATCTTCATTTCGCTGTTTAAGTTGAAATTTTACATCAAAAACTTGTTAGAAAATATACCGCAAGAGATTTTTTTAATTTATTATTAAAGCTGAGGAAGAAGTAGAAAATAAATATTACTAAATCCAAGCAGTGCTTATAATTTCGCACGAGATCAAGGCGTTTGGATATTCAATAAAAGGACATGAACATCTTTTGATTAAAGGTAATTAATAAGGGATTCTTTGTTTTAATAAATGATGGTTTTGACACGCATCGGATACTTAATACAATTCCTTCAATCACTAGAAGGGGATCGAGCTTTCTATTCTAAATCCATTAGCATCAAGAGATTATACGTGGATCCATTTATGTTCCTCCGCCCCACAGAACATCCATCTCCACCCCAAACTTTTCGCCCTCTAATGACAATCAGTGGAAACACCGTGAAAATATAGGATCCAGGGATTGGCTTATTAAAAGTTATTTTCCAGAAGTAGATGGCAATAACAAGTCGTAATTTTTTCATCATGTATCCTTCCCTCGTACTTTGCAATAGAAAGTGATGCAGATATCACTTTTATAGAAAAAAAAATTAAACAAACCTGGAATATTTTTAGGCCTATCTACCTAATTATGCGAATATTCATCGGAAACCGAAAACTGCGCACTTAAGTGAACGGAATTAGAACCACGACGAATTTCATTGATTAGCATAATTTCTTGGTGGCTACGGTGGGTGTGGAAACGCCGACGCCGAAACCGACGCCGCCGTCGTCTGGATCCCGACGGCAAACAGCCAAAGCCAGATTTGAACTTCTCCGTCCAACGGTAACCATTCAGGAAATGCGGCTAAGGGAAACTAATTACTCAATCTGTTTGACCTCACTTAATTCGTTTACCTGGGACGATGTCATAACCATATTCGACTAAAAACTTTCCGATGGTTCTATGTCAAGGCCGGCTTAATAAATTAACATGCATTTTGCACGCATCTCACTCATCTTGTATTATACCTATATTATCACTTATTAATTCGATTAATGCTAACAATACTAAATTAATCTGGATACTAGTGCTACTACTACTACTAGTGCTACTGCTACTACTAGCAATTGAAAATATTGTATTTGGGTATAATAGGTACACTAACAATACTACTCAAGTATCTGGAAAATTAAATTAATATTATTCATGCTACATTTTTATAAACTTTAAATTTAATTTTCCAAATTTTGTCATATATTATGCTCTCTTCGGGCTTGTGTATTGCTTCCTCTATTAACTACTAATATTAATAATTTCCTCGCTCAAATCAGCTTCTACATGCTTCATATCGTGAATTGTTATAAAAATAAACGAATGATTTTTTGAAATTCTTACAGATGGGAACGACGCCATATCCAACAATGGCTCAATCCTTCTCAATGTCTCATGGCACAAATATGACGTCCGTTGCTGGTATGAGGCAAGACTCAATGAGTGAGTATTATTTGTTTGATGAATTTTTAGTATAAGCGTGCTGTGGAGGAGGAATCTTATTCCTAAATTTACGGGGTGCTCGGGAAATCTGATATTGCAGGTAATTAGGATCAGTAATTGAGGAGATTGGGTTCATTGAGCAATCAATGAGGTAATTGATTAGCTAATATCTGTCGATGAGCCCCTTTTGTATTACCTAATGAGGCAAATTTGTGGCATGACAGGATTAATTAATAATATGTAGGCATTTTATTTTACAATTTTAATACAAATACCTACTACAATAGTATTTCTACAGATCTCTACTTGGAGGTATTATTAGAATTTATATTACAAAATATTTAGTATTTCAAGTTACTTGGAAATGCAATCTTGCTGTTTTTGAGTCGGGTCAATTATAAATTAATTTTTCCCTAATAGACCTAATAGGAATTTGATATTTGATAAATACATCGAACCCATGGCCAATACGTGAATTGCCAAGCGGAAATAGAACATCTTCGAAGGCGGTCTCCTTAATCGTCAGTCGACTTTAAGGAAACTAGTTCACTGATAGACACCTAAATGGAGTTCCTCCGATCGACGAATAATTTCAACAACCGAACGATTTTAAATATTTACAGGCATTAGCGCGGAAGACGAATGGTACAACAAAAGCATAACCGCCCTGCGAATGAACTCCACTCACCATCCGAACGTCGGGGCTCCCATGCTGCAATATCAAACATAATGAAAGAATTAGGACGAGGTTTTCGTTAGCAGAGAGTTGTAAGAATTTGATTACAAACAAGAACCAGAGAGAATTTTAGTTAACTACTTGTATGTGTACAATGAATTTTGTAGATACTTCTTGGTGAAAGCGACGGAACAGTAACCGCTCTGTTTATCTAGGCGATCTACGAAATCAAATTTACTTAAGGGAGCTATAGATATATTTATTGAACTTCGAAAATGTAAGTAACGTCCAAGCAATGTACGTGGTGGCATGTATTTGTAATTGCTCATGTATATTAACGAGATGTTAAGAATTGTTATAATTGAAAAAAAATTGAAAAAAATCAACGTAGACTAAAAATTAGCATTTGAAATAACAAGCGTGTAAACTTTTCTTTTTAAAACGCGTTATTTTTTTTTAATTTCTCGTCATGTTACTTATTGTTTTTTTATATAAATAAGAAACATTATTTATTGTTTCTACGTCTTATTTATTATTTTTCTACTGTGATTATATTATGCCCATTGTCTTTGGCATATTGGTATATTAGGTATTATTAATAATATTTCAAATATTAAATCGAATGGTGTAAATATCCTTATCATACATATAACACAATGGGTCGATAAAAATAGCTACCTATTTACCTATTAAATTTTATGTACGAGAATGAAAATCAATAAAGGATTCAAAAATAAGGTTATTAAAAAATTGAGGGAAAATGATTGGTTATTTCCACAGGAATTCTTAAAAATTTATTTAAAAATTATTTTTCAAAAACGTTTTATGTGTAAAAAATTTTGGCTCTTTTCATAATAAAATTATGGTTATAAATTGAAAAATAAAATACAACTGGCTATTTTAGGTATTCTTTCCGTACTCGTACTCTTTAACCATTTTAATAATGTGTAGCAAAACAGTCCGACTAAAAATTATAATTTTACCATTAAAATCAATATTTTCATAGAATCATCATTCATCTTCATATTGTAAATAACAATCGTTGTAAATAACCATGTCACCAACTCGATTATACTTTAAACATATGAAAGGAAATTAAGTTATTTAAGAGTGAATGTGTAAATTTATGTTCCTTTAGATTTTTATTGAATAAAATGCTATTTCTCAAATCATATGGTCTCTTCTTGAATCTATACAATTTGCATAAGTACAGTTCATATTCTACTTATTCACGAAATATTGATGCAAGTAAGTTTTATGGATTATAGTATGATTGTGCAATAGAAAAAATTTAAAACTGAAACGATGTAACTCAATTATTAATAAAGAATTTTCTATTTTCAATCCCACTGTTAATTGATTATTTTTCCCCGCTTCAACTTCACAGGCAAATGCTAAATCGGGTTCGATGTAAATTAAATGACTGACTCAAGGGACTATAGGTATTTTTATTTATTAAAACTGATAATTACAACTTAATCGTTATCTTCTTAATCACTTCATACAATCGACTTCTTTTTCTTTTCCTTTTTCACCATCTTCACTACTATCTTCAGAAGTACCTCCAGAATCCGATTGTTCTAATGAAGTAATGTCCGCTAACATTTTATTGTATTGCTCGTCGTATTGATATTTGTAACCTGTGGCCGGACTAGCTGAAACCACTCTCCCAATATAACTGTAATAATTTAACAGTTAAATATTTTAATGGAAGTATATTATAGGGGAATTCCTTTTCTTGCCTAACTCTCCTTCTATCATTCATGCTTCTTAAAATGGTTCTAAGTCGAGGATCGACGTGATCCCAAAAGCCCTGGTTCTTGTGCTCTTCTTGCAAAAAATGAACAGTAGCTTGTTTATATTTTTCGAGTTCTTTCTTCGCCAAATCGAAAGGAAACGGAGCAATCTGAAACGCAGTTCTAAATTACCAGGAATTTACGATTTCTAAACAAATTACTTGTTCGATGCGACTGACTGCTATTTCCGCTTCCATTTTCTTCGCCTTGACCGCTTTGGCGGCGTCATAATACACCTTACCTATACAAAATATCAATTTCTTCACCTCGCCTGCGTTGCTGCTCGCCGGTCCCGCGTCTGGGATTAACCTCTGAAACTCGGTACCTGCAAACGAAAAAATTCCAAATTCCCCCAATGGCACTCTTCCCTAATCATTAAGCAACCTTCTAGTATATGATCGAAGGAACTGCGCGCCTCGGGCAGCCGCAAAATGCCCTTCGGAGTCAGCATGATCAGCGGCTTCCTAAACGGCAGGGCCACCTGCCTCCTCAACGCGTGAAAGTGGTTCGACGGCACCGAGCAGTTCACCACGATCCAGTTGATGTTCCTCAGCTGATCGAGAACGTAGTTCGGCGCGTCCTCCTTGGGCATCACCTCCGCATCCTCGCAGGTCATGTCGCCGAACCGCTCGGGCCGCACGCTCGAGTGCTCCGGCCCCTGGCCCTCCATTCCGTGCGGCATGAGGCACACCATGCCGCACTGCCGGCCCCACTTCGATTCGCCCGACGACAGAAATTGATCGATGATCGGCTGGGCCGTGTTGGAGAAATCGCCGAATTGGGCCTCCCAAATGACCAAGGCGTGGGGATTGGTTAGCGAATAGCCGTGCTCGAAGCCCATGATGCTGTATTCCGACAGGCTGCTGTTGCAAATTGTGTAAACGGCTTGTTTGGGGTAGAGGTTTCTTATGGGGCTACAAACGGTTTTCGATAGATTCGTTAATAATGGGTTCGATGAGGTTACCAGTATTTTTCGTTTTCCACGTTTTGATGGTGGTAAATGTGATGCCTGTGATTGAACGTGCCTCTTTCAACGTCCTCGCCTGTTATTCTAACGGGAATGCCTTGTTTCAGAAGGGACCCGTAAGCGATGGCTTCCGCCATGGCGAAATCTATTTGGCGGTTTTTCGCCAAATCCGCACGACCTTTCAAAACTCTCTGGAGGACTACATTAAAAAACGCAAAATTAAACGATAGGAAAAGTTCGATTTAGTTAAATGAACCTTTGTGAATGACGAATTTCGTAGACTCAGGAGGTTCCAAAGAAACGGCTTTAGCTATATGCGCGGCGATGTCTTCTGTTACGCCCGTGGGAAACAACATTTTATTCGGATCTTTACCTTTGAAGAATTCATCCCAAGGAGCGTCGAGCCAATCCTTCATCCTGAAAGTTTTTTCGTCTTTTACCTTCTCGAAGTCCGCGTTGATGAGCTTCTCGTAATCGTCTTGGATTTGCTTCACTTCGGCCGCGGTTACGATCTTCTCGTTCACCAGCTTCTCGGCGTATTTCTCGTAGCACGGCTTCATCAGTTTGATCTTTTTGTTGTACAATACGGGTTGGGTGAACAGCGGATCGTCGACCTCCTGATGCCCGTGCTTTCGATACCCAACTATGTCGATGATAATGTCCCTTCGAAACTTCTGTCTCCAGTCGGAGGCTACTTCTGATACGTACACCACGGCATCTGGATCGTCGCCGTTCACGTGTATTATCGGGGAGTTGATAACACGACCCACATCTACATTAAAGGGCATGTATAAGATCGATATTTTCTGTATGCGGCGGTTAAAATAAAATTAATTACCAGTGCAGTATGGGGAAGAACCAGCGAGTATCCGGTCTGTTGTGAAACCGACTTGGTTATTGGTGACGATGTGAATAGTTCCGTGGGTGGTATAGCAAGGTAACGAGGCGATGTTAATTACTTCGAAATTCACGCCTTGTCCCGTAAAAGCGGCGTCTCCGTGTAATAAAATTGCCAGGCACTATACAATTGATTATAGTGTATAGGCCATACAAAGGAATCTACTTTTTACCTTTTTGCCTTCGAGATCCGCTCCGAAAAATTGTTCCGCCCTGACTCGCCCCACCGCGACCGGATTGACCGATTCCAGATGGGAAGGATTAGCTACCAGAATAACTTTGACATTTTTTTTCGTGACTTTGTTCAATTTCTGGGCGAACGCGCCCAAATGGTATTTGACATCACCGGTACCGGCTTCTTCAGGTTTTAAACCTTGAAACAGCGCCAACGTTTTGACCAACGGTTTGTCACAAATGTTCACCAAGACATTCAAACGACCTCTGTGAGCCATTCCAATGACGAACGTTTCCACGCCCAATTCCGATGACTTGTCTATTATGGATTTTATTGCCGGTATCGTCACTTCCAATCCTTCTATACCGAATCTCTTTATCGAGGCGTGCTTCCTGGCGCAGAAATTTTCAAATCTACAAAACACCAGTAGTGTGGTACCTCATTCATTCAAAAACCAATCATTTCTTGTTTTAGGTGTAAAGAATCAGGTGTAAAGAATACTGTAAAGGTGTAAAGAATGCTGTAAAGGCGTAATGAATCAGGAAGACAAAAGTTGCTATACGGGAAAGCTACTCGTCGTTTACTTACAAATGAGCACGAGCTAAACGAGACAAACATAATTTCTTTTTATCGTTGGATATACTAGTAATGCCGGGCGGTTCGAATCGATCCCTAATCCAGTTGCATTCGTCTATAGAATTAATGTACATGTACTCCAACCCGATGGAACGACAATACGCGTCTTCCAAACGTTTTATAATCTCTTTCAGCGGCAAAGACTTCTCTTTACCGCCTATACTCGTTGCATGGGGTAACTGAAATACTTTGTTAAGATCTCCGTCGTTTACTGTAAATTATTAATGATGTTAATTCAAGTATCTAAGTAAAGCAAGTTTTATAAATTGAATTCTTGTGGGTCCCAATCACGTTGAGATCTGGTAATGATGCAGCGATCTCATACCGATCATACCGATCTCAAGGTGAACGGGGTTCTTTAGTTACATACTTGAAGTAAATGGAAAAATAACTTTCGGAGCGACCCCGCTTTTAACGGGAAGGATACCATGCGCAGGAGGTCTGTCAAGCGGGTCGATTTTAGCGAAGAAATGACCTCTTACCTGGAAATTACTTCGATTATCCCTAACAAAAGCAGCGTTAATAGGCACGTACTTGAAAGCCTCGTATAAGTGAGAAAACGGCCAAATGCTTCTCGATATCAGTGTTAGTAGCTGCACCAGCAGAAGCTTGCGTAGCCGGTGCTGCGGCTGCAGCTGTGGAGGGCGCGGGAGCTGCAGCCGGTGGTTTGGCGGGATTTGTTTGAGGGCCGGGGTTGCCAGCTTTGGACAACGGCATGTCTTGCTTCGTGCGCCCCAATGTAGGAGGCGAAGTGTAGCCCGCTCCGCCTTTTTCACTTAAGCGAAAATACGCGTCCCAAGACTGGAAACAATTTATTGCAGGTCGTCTCATTTTGGTTCGTTAAGTTACTGAAACCTATCGTTAAATGATGGGAGCTTACCGGATGAACGCTGTTTGGATCTTTCAGCCATTGTTTGTACATTAACTCAACGTATTGGGCGCTGTTGCCGCTTAAAAACGAATCCAATTTAGCGTCGACTTTGAATTTCGTTACGCCCAATAGCTTTTTGAATGGAAAGGACTTGGGACATTTTAACAAAGACGTTACCAAACTTTGCACAGTCATGGTATATGATACGCAAAAAATTACACGGTATTACAAAAAACTTTAAGAGGAGTCGTTAAATGTGGTTTTGTTGTAAAAACCATTGTATTAGTGGTTTCGACTAGGAATTTGGAAAAGTGTGACAATTTGTCTCGTACTTCAAAATTTAAGATTCATCTGATCAGTGCATTTGTTTCAATCGAGAGTGTTTCTGGTGTTGCACTGGGCTATGGTCTATGCATAGAGGTGCAACAAAGACAACATCCAATAGTAGAGCTTGGAAAATGGGAACTAAAAACCTTCAAGATATGCACTCTTATAACCAGGTATAAAACAATTTTTGTTGAAGAAGAATGGAATAGTATCATTTAGAACTTTTTAGAACCATTTAGAACGCTCCAGAATCATTTGAAACTATTTAGAACCATTTAGTACGCTCCAGAAGCATTTAAAATTGTCTATAACCATTTAGAACGCCCTGGAAACATTTAAAAAGCTCCAAAATCATTTAGGACCTTCTAAAGTCTAAAATCATCACTATTTAGAACCATTTTAGAACGCTTCAGAATCATTTGGAAGTGTTTAGAACGCTCGAGAAGCATTTAAAACTGTCTAGCACCATTTAGAACGCCCCGGAAATATTTAGAATTATCTACAACCATTTAGAAAGCTCCAAAATCATATAGAACAGTCTAAAACGGCCGAGAATCCTTTAGAAGTGTCTATAATCTATTTTTATAAAATCATTTAGATATGGGTGCGATAAGGACAACTTCCATTAGACATTTATAAAGGAAAAAGAAAGAGTGATATTGTGTCATTGCAATTATTCACTCCAACAACTGTTTAATAATTTTTCTTTGTTCAACTCATAGAAATGACCATATTGGCCAAACTGAAATGCACCATAGGGTGTAAACACCCATATTCACTAACTGAACTATATTTATTCATTTCTTTTGTTATTTTGCAACTAATTTATTTATTGCCAAGAGGAACTCGAAATAAAACAGGTTTCAAGTATTATAATAATTTATATTAGCTTAAAAGCCTACATAAATATTGAAACATGACTAGAATAATCTTAATGTGTGCTAATGTCTGAAGCAATCATGAATAGAACTTTCTTATAGTAATGAGAACCATACATTAGGCTTACATTGCTTCATAATCAAATTCTTGATTCATTCTGAAAAATAATTTTCTCGGTAATCCCACGACAACCCGTATTTTGCTACTTACTCCATTTCATTACCGTCGAAGAAATTGCAGTCTAAATCTTTTTCGGGAATAATTTCGTTCTCGGTTCCTTCACTTAAATCTGTAAATATTCACAGGTAATATTTATTCCAATAGGAGAATAAATCGATAGCTTACTCGACAAAGTAGGTACAACTGCGGTGCTAAGATATTCAGTATTTAAATATGGGGGTAATTCATCTTCCTCTTCTTCTTCAGTATCCAATTGTTGAGTGTCTACCATCGTCAGCCATTGTTGGTTGTGGTTACGGAACTTTTCAATTCTAATTCTCTCCGCCCAAGTTTTATCATAGTCCGATATTATATTCAGGCAGGTGTTGCATAATTTTCTGATGAGTTTGTTGTTGTCTTGGAGAAGATCGATTAGATAAGCCGGAGCTTCTGTAAAATAAAATTAAAGAAATGCGTTAGTTAGAGAAATGATTTGTAAAAGCACACTTACCGGTTTTGTTAACAATATAATCGATATTTGAACCGTGAGATAACACGACAAAAAATACGTAAACAATTTGTAGGACAATTTCGTCATCTTCCTGGTGTGTTTTCAACAAATCGATCAAAAGTGCTAGAATGTTTGTATCGCAGAATAAATTAGAGCAACCTTCATCAGTAGCTGCTGTACTCAGTAAAACGGTTACCTAAAACGTATCAATATTAACATAATCACAAGAAAATTCACAATAACATGACATACATGCAAGACCAATTCGGCGTCACTGTTGTTACTGGTCAATATATTCTTCACCCATTTCACCATATCAAAATGCTTGAATATTTCAGCCCAATCGAGGTCCGGCAGGTATAGGTTACTCAAAATTCCCACGCATTCTCTGATGAAATCTTCATCCTTGGATTCTACAACTGCTTTCGCTATATCGCCCACAAACTCCTATAAAATACAATCGTCTATACAATTCTAATTAATTTTTTAACAGCATTTACATACAATAAATGCAACAGCTGAAGACGAGTTGTCCGAGATATTTCTCAACATTTTCATCAACATCGCATCTTGATAAGTAAAAGCTCTCATAATCAAAGCTTGCAATCTATTTTTTTTAATAATGTGCTGCACATTGGACATATCAGTGGATAAGTTTATGCATAAAGCGACCATTGTTTTATCTTGCTCGTTTTCAACGTTAAGCAGAAGCATATCGGTAATCTGAAATACATCCACTTTAATTAATATATTAATACAAATTCCTCCGCTATTACCAATCCAATGCAATCTACGAAATTGTGCTTTACATCTTCCTCATAGCTGAGATGATACAATATTTTAATAACGATTTCTTGATGTTTATCATCGCCTAAAATCATTTTAATATCAAAATAATAATTGAACAAATTATAACACTTACTAAGTAAACTCATGATTTTCGGTAAAAGTCCAACTTTGATCATTTTGGACCTGGCTTTGTGATCAAACGACAGGTTGAACAGCAACTTGAGAGTTAAATGCACCAAGTCCGCACTGTTGGAATTCAATATTCTAGGAAGTTTTTCGATTACACTCGAACTCCCAATGATCGTCTCCTTGTTGCAATGCATTATAGATAACTTTTTCAGGAATGTAACGACTAAAATCAGCAAGTCGTCGTTGTCTCTTTCCAAAGCTTTAGCCAAGAGACCGACTATATTTCTCTTGGCCATCTTTTCTTCCACAATTTCATCTTCAGAGATGTTCAGCAGGAGATAGAACGCCACACGAAGGAGATGCTCCTGCTTTTTGACGAGCGTGCGAAACCGTTTCAATTTCTGTTCGTCTGTGAGTTTTCTATCATCGATTCCTTCCATAGACGTAGTAAGATCGTCGTAAATGCTACCTAAACGTAGAATAGAGCATTTTAATAATACCGTTAAATTAATGATTAAGTACAGTACCTTCCATTATTTGACTGATGTTTGCATCGGTGAAATTTCCGGATTTTGGACGTACAGGTTCTGGAATGCGACTACGAGGTATATCGGACATACTGGCACTGCTCGGGCAAGGTTTACGGACTATCGGAATGTCCATCGGTGGTTCTGATCCTTCGAAATCCGCTTTCCATCTGTCGTACCGGCGTAATTCGTAATCGATTATATCCATGCATATGGAGCCTACCTTTAAATTTAGAAAAATTTAGAATGTAATTGTGATAGAGTAAAATGAAATTAACTACCTTGCATTTTAAAATAACATCATGGAAGCATGAGTACATCGAGAAGCAGAAAAATGTGAAAACTAAATGGGTACTAAGAGAAATGCTTCGTTTCCAATCCTCTCTTAAAACCCGCCCCAGAGCACTGATCAATGTTTCTGGAATAAAAATTATGTAAATTTATATTAGATGTATTGAAAATATTTACCATTTGTCGCAAGTGCTTCCAAGTTCTCGGGATCTCTGGCCAGAAACTGGATGAACTGGGCACCTTTGATTTTTTCCGACATTCCTTCATATAGAAGGTCAATGTAATCCGATAGACTATTGTAGTTTGCTTCTTGCAATCCATTGGAAACTTTGTCTGCTACAATTTTGTCACTGTCACTTAATACTGCAGAATTTCCTAGCAAAAAAGAATACAGATCAAAATCTTGTTGGTATAAGATCAAAGAGCTCCTAATACATTGACAAGGAATCATCGAGATTGAAAGGATACTTGAATAATTTTATCCTTTTCTATATAAACATCATTAATAATTAAAAATCAATTAATGCATACCTCGAGAACCGTTTTGCATCTTTCTCTTCTTCAAATAATAAATGATCTGTTCGACTTCAGGCAAACGGCTATGATGGATAAGTTCACATTGATTGACAACTTCCTTCGAAAGTGCATGGCAATCAGTTCTGCTGTTAATCATCGGTAATTCGATAATTTTTCTTAAACTCTAAAAACGTTAGAAACGAATCAAGTAAATAGATCATAAGGAAGGTAGGTATGTTTACCTTCTTTTCTCCATAGATTATGTTCTCCTTGGAAGCTAGAATTTGAATATCTAAATCGTAATTTAGACATATTGCATCTATATTTGGGTGAACGTCTACTGACCCTGGTTTGCGCTCACTAAATTAAAGACAAAATACGTAAAATAAAGCTAAGGCTGTCTTAAGGACATTAATGACTTAATCTATAGACTTACGTTCTCATAAATTTTGCTTCTTCGGGTTCCATTTGAAAAAATAACTTACAAAAGTAAATAATGCAGTGATATAAACCTTGAAAAGATATAAGTAAAAACACAATAAAAATATTGAAATATATAAATTCAATTACCATGCAAACTTCAAATTTTTTATTGACAGTGACAATGACAAAATAAAATACAAAAATATTTAAATGACGTTTTGACGTTTCTAGTCGAACAAAGTTTCGCTCCATTGAGCAATTCGGTGTTACACCGTGTCAACATTTTCATATGTGTGCTTTCCGATTACTACAAATTATCGAATTAATAGCTGCCATAACTGTCAAAAATGTCAATTTTCATTCGATCGTTGCATTGTTCGATTAATTTGTGAATTGTTTAGTGAAGAAAATTATATAAAAGGTAAGTTAATTTCTTCACATTGTTCAGCAAGAATAAATTAAGTTAAATTTCTTTTGTTAATATCGTAAATAAAAAATTAATTGTAAAATCGATTACATCAAGTGTGAATCGATTGCACATAAGTGACAGATCGTGAGATGGGAAGTAAGTTTTGGTTCTGAATTAACCGAAAACGAAAATATCGATATTGACGTTCTGTCTGTTCATCTCTAGTTCTTGTTCTTTCCCTAGTAAATAATGGCTTCTAGTTAAGGCGGTGGGCAGTAGTCAATTTTATAATTTTCCAGTTTTGTGATATATTTTCATATTTAAATTACCATTGCATTAAAATTTTATCCATAAGTGAGACATACATGTGGTTTTTCATGTTTACGTTAGTGCATTATAACGTTCCATCTACAAAATTTCTCACTTGTCATAAAGAATAATGATCAGCTCAAATAATTTCCAAAATGAGCTAGTATGCTCGAATTATATTAATTAATGACCCATCGTCAAGAATGCTGTGTTTTAGTGGCAAATAATTGGATTAGTGAATTGTAACACGTAAGTTTCTTCACGGTGTCTTTCTTACTACCTCAACAATTTTATTGTCGCTTTTCCAACTCCAACATCTATTATTTATGCACTTAAGTTTAGGTACTTTAAGGTCAACACCTAAATTTTTTTAATTAAATTATAAACAATTATTAACATTCATGTTCCTTTGTGTCGAAAATTACCCTATTAAGCATTCAGTTAGAGCATGAAAGATGGTATTTAGGAATTCTAAAAAAATGATCGAATATCTCAATTATTTCATATTATTTGTTTGTTACTGGAAACGTTTGGTAAATTTGAACTATTTGGTAATCACTCAGCAAAGAATGTTTTGTTTAATTCCTGCACTTTCATATTTAATTTTTGTATCTTTTATATGGAGTTTTGATTGATCTTCTGATCTTGAAAAAAACTGTTATTGTACAAAATGTCTTTCTCTGGGGAGATAACTGACCACACAATTCCAATTATAATTGCTTATTCGAGTAGGCTGGATTAAAATAGCCATTTGTAAGTGAACAATAAGTACGATTTGTTGCCCATTCAGCTGAAATTATTATTCTATAAATAATTTGAACTTAAACAGCTCTGTTAAATAATCTTTTGCCATACATAACAGCTTTTCACAAACATTTGCTAACTCTGAAAAATTATTTGATTTCAGTGACTTGAATATAATAGCATCATATTTCAAACACAAGATCCTCTAGCGAATTTTACTGATTACATCAGCTCATATCTACATATCAATTCCTTCTCTCCCTTGTCTCATTTTACGTCAGTTTCAGCTGGAAATTTCTCGAAAAAAAATGGCCAGGAAAGGGGAAACGATCAGAAGCATCAACGTGTCCGTGGTCGGCCTGTCTGGCGTCGAAAAGGACAAAGGCCATGCAGGCGTGGGGAAATCCTGCCTGTGCAACAGATTCATGCGACCTCACGCCGAAGACTACAACGTAGATCACATATCCGTGCTCAGCCAAACGGATTTCAGCGGGCGAGTCGTCAATAACGACCACTTCTTATACTGGGGCGAAGTTATCAAGACCTCCGACGAAGGTGTCGATTACCAGTTCAGTTTAATCGAGCAAACCGAGTTCATCGACGATGCTTCGTTTCAACCGTTCAAAGGAGGTAAGATGGAGCCGTACGTTAAGCGTTGTGGATCGACGAAAATCACGTCCGCTGAAAAATTAATGTATATTTGTAAGAATCAATTAGGTATAGAGAAAGAGTACGAGCAGAAGGTTTTGCCCGATGGTAAACTAAATGTTGATGGTTTTATATGTGTTTTTGATGTAAGCATTGTGCCAAGTAGGAGTATCGAAAAACAAATTGAATTTGTAGCCGCTATTCTCAATAATTTATTGAAAACTAAAAAGCCAATTGTATTTGTAACAACTAAAAATGACGATGCCAACGATATGTATATTAGGGAAGCACATAAATTAATTACGAGAAACGAATATAAGAGCGGCATACCGATTGTCGAGACTTCAGCGCACGATAATGTTAATATAGATGTTTGCTTTATGATATTAGCTCAGATGATTGACAAAACTAAGGTAAGATGTAAAATTCCATCGTATTCCGAGGCGTCGCTATCCAGAAAGGAATTAATGGACATCGCCAGTGAATCCTTCATGAGATTGATCAGAATCCACGTTACCGATTGCCATGCAATGTGGTCGCAAACCGTCAAAAAGTTGAATTCTCACAAGGAATGGATCCATTTCGTCCAATTATTTGGATTAGATGGCACTCAAAGGTTGTTCAGGAGGCACATTAAGAAGCTGAAAGACGAACAGTTGGCCAAGCAAATAGCGCATTATATGGAGATGCTTCCGGACGTGTTCCACGAACTGATTCCGGGATTTAATACGCTGTCTGACATGGATTGGCCGTCGATACAGCAATATTTGAAGTCGCACCCGAACTTCTCGCAATATTTCTTCGAAAGACCCGAAGATTTACCTTGGTCCGAATGCTTGGAGGACGGCGAAGAAACTCGCATACCTTTTGATGTTTTAGACACCAGTGAAGCCGAAACCGTATTCAAAAATTACGTAAACGTGCTGCAACAGGAACAGAAACGGCTGGAATGGAAAAAGCAGTTTAAGCAATTACTTGAAGACACCGGTTACGTTACGCCTGGAAAGCATTTGTCCGAAGTGAGAGTTCTATTCATGGGTAGAGAATGTTTCGAGGCTTTGAGCGAGCACGACTGTCAGAAGATATACGAGGCCCATCAGAGAGAGATTATTGAAAACGCCAAACACAATTTTCAAGAACTCTTACTCGAGCACGCAGATCTGTTTTACCACTTCAAAAGTATCGCGCCGACAGGTACCATTACGCAAGACGACATTAAGGAAATAACCGACGTTTTACAGGAAGATTTTCGCTATAAAATCTTAGATAGACTCGATCAAGATAGAAAACTCACGCTATTCCAACATCTGGGCTTCATACACTACCCTATAAGGGAACATTGTCCAGCTTTTCCAAATTGTCAAGACGCTTTGATCGAGAGAATTTTAGCGACCAAAGCTCATCGACCTACCTCCTGGAATAATAGCAATCAATGGTTGATAAGTTCGGAAAACAACCAGTTAAACTTACTTATATTAGGATTAAACAACCTGGCAGAAAATTTGGCTATTAAAATCAGGAAGCAATGCGATGACGATGAATACGAAATAGACTGTCAGTTTTACAATTTAGACTATAGAATTATTAGCGGAGATGTGAGTTTGCCTCACAATTCGTTTAGGACATCGGATTTTATACCTCACGGTAGCTTTTGCGTGTATAATAACGCGCAGTCGTTCGAATACATTCGAGAGAGCTTAGAGAAAAAGTTGCTCTCTAACCTCGAACAGGACGATAAACTTCCGTTCCAAGGATTACCTATTGTTCTGATGTTTCTACACGACTCATCCGTTGATGAAAAAGAAATAATAAGACTGAAAGAAGACGGGCAGAATTTAGCTGATAACTTGCAGTGTCCTTTTATGGACATATCTTTAGAACAAACGGCGGAAGAACAGTTAGTCCACGACGCTCTCCACCAATTAATGCAAAGCATCCACCACAGAGCCGGATTTTTAAATATCAACCAATCGATTATCGAATGCGTCGAGCCTGACATTAGGATTATCATGTGCATGTTTTGCGGAGATCCGTATTCTATAGAGAACATTTTGGGTCCTTTGCTCTCTCATCAAGTCTGCTTCCTTTCCTCCTCCCACAGTATTATTCTGGAAACGTTTCTGGGGGATTCGAAGCGGAAAGTCGAAGTCATCATTTCATCTTTTCACGGCGCTAATGCGTTTAGAGATGAACTCGTTCACGGCTTCATTTTAGTGTTTTCCACCAAAAGAAAAGCTTCATTGTCTACTCTCAACGCGTTTTCTATGAACATTCCGAACCTTCCTATTCAGATATTGGCTGTAACCGATGACGGTGGCGCTACGGCATTTTTTAACGACGATCTAAGCCAGCTTTTAATAACCGAAGGAAATGCAACGGCTGATAGACTTCACGCTCATTTCATGACCTCGTCCTCGTCGATGCAGCACAAGACTGCTTTTTTCACTCCGTTTTTTAAGGAAGTGTGGGAGAAGAAGCCGGAAATCGAGCAGGCTTTCCACATGGAGGAACCGTCCGGCTTGGACAGCGGCGAAGGAACGTTGGAGAGATCGAAAAGTCACAGTCAAAGACACAGTCACCCGTTACCTCCTCCTCGCCTCGAAAGCTACTATTTAAAGCTAAACGACGGCAGCGAAAGCGAAAACTTCGAACTCAGCGGTCCCGAAGAACGGCTGAGTTCGAGCGATCACAGCGACAAATTTTCCAGTATTTACATGTACGGCAGCGAAGGAAGCGAGAAGAAGAAGAGTTTGCATTCGGGATTTCACGTGTACCCGCCTCCGGCCACGCCGCCCGAGCCCGCTCCGCCAGACAACATCTTAAATATCAGACATTCCAAGAAGCAGATCGTATCCACGTCCCAGACCAGTTTAGACGACGTTAACTACGGCGATCATCCGATATCCATTCCCGGCAGCGCGTGGAACAATTTCCACCAGCACGCGTTCACTACGGGCAGAAGACACGTTCCCGTATCCAAGGCCCGTTCGAAAGTAATATCGCAAACATTGAAGCAACCGGGAAAGCTGAATTTGAAAAATTACTCCGCCGTTACCGAAGCCATTGCGAGAATGAACGTAAGCGACATGTCGCCATCTAATTTCGGCAACGCTCCTTTGGCTACTCCGGAGGCGGTGGATTTGGGCTGCGAATACGCCCAGGTCAAAGACGTACTGCACAACATGTATCCCGGACAAAGTCCGGAGTACATGTACACGATGGTGCAAGACGCTATCAGCGGCAAAATCAAACTGAGGCAACGACGCGAAAAGGGCCAGCCCTCTTATTCCGATACGGACAGCGAATGGAGCAGTTTAGAGCGAAGGCAAAGAGCCAGCGAAGTGTATTCTAAAGTTAGCAGGAAAGGCGGTACTCACAAAAGGCAACGAAAGAAACGTACGGCTATTCCCGTGCAGCCGCCCAGAGTTCCGCAGCTGGGATCTTTCACTCTACCGTCGCTGCACACTCCCGTATCGGACGTGGATAACGATAAAATCAACGTGGGCTCCGAGTCCAATTCGGACTCGTCTGATATGAGCGAAACCGAGCAATTTCCACCGGCATCTAACTCCGCGGACCTACGGATGAGATTCTGTCAAAAGCGTTCGTTGAGCCTGAAGAAAAGAATGCCGGATGCGATAAATTCCCATCATTTCAACATGCAATCGATGAACTCCGCGGATTTCTACCAAAGCCAAGGGATCATACACGACGACGAATCCAGCTTGGACGTGTCGTCTCCGCGAGACAACAGCTCGCCGATGTTCGGCGTGCTGCCCAAAATGAAGGAATCCGACATCGAGAAGATGCTGCGCAAGCGCGAAAAGCAAAAGGCCAAGGACGACTCGAAGCTGGAAAAGCGCAGGCTGAAAGAGGAGAAATTGAGAAAAGTCGCCGAGGAACGGGACAAGAAGAAGCAGAAGATCAAGCAAAAGTCGTTGCCGGCTTGCGGGGCCCCATCCAAATTGGCCGATTTCATTCAATCGGACAAAAATTTCGTGCCGTGCTTCATGGAAAAATGCGTCAGGTTCATCGAAATCGACGGTTTGGACTCGGAGGGGATTTACCGCGTACCCGGCAACAGAGCGCACGTCGATTTGCTGTTTTCCAAGTTCGAGGAGGACTCGAACATCGACATCACCGATCTGGACATTCCCGTGAACGCCGTCGCCACGGCCTTGAAGGATTTCGTGTCTAAAAGACTGCCGCCGATATTCGAGCCGGACGTCATGAATGAAATGGAGGAAATCGCCGGCACCAGATTGAAACCGATGGTAACGACGTCGGGCAACTTGGAGGTGAAGAACGACCGCAGCTGCAGACTGCTGGCGTTGAGAAGCATGCTGGACAAATTGCCGCCGATAAATTTCCAGATTTTGAAATTTATTTTCCAACATTTCGTCAGAGTGACGGAAAACTCCAAGTTGAACAGCATGGATAGCAAGAATCTGGCGATTTGCTGGTGGCCTACTTTGTTGCCCATCGAATTCAGCGATATGGGGAAGTTCGAGCAGATGCGACCTTACTTGGAGGATATTGTTCAGACCATGATCGATCAATATCCGTTTCTGTTTTGCGGCAAAGAAGCTTTTGTCATGGTTTAGAAAGCTTACAAGCATAAAAATAACGCACAACTTGCTATGAGTAGCCTCTATTTTTAGTGTTTGTCATCCAACGTTGTTAATACTCGAAGAGGCCTTTTATGTTAAAAAGAATAGACGGTTGCAAAAAAAAACAAAGAAAGAATGTTCGTTGTAGTTATTTATTGTGTGATGACCCAGTGGTAATTTGTATTTTTACATTATTCTAGATGGAGTATTTCAAATTGCTGTATGATACTTTTATAAATGAAATGTATGAACAATGTTCAGTATATACATTGACTGGGTTGTTGTCTTAGGATAGTAAATGTAACTTTTTCAAATATCAACGAGATTGTAGCTACGCTACTTGTCCATTGTTGAAATATTATTTTACTATATTTCTTTTCGTAGTATTGGAACTTTCCTTACAATTAGTTCAATGTGCATTTAAGCGGGTTTTTTTCTCAATTACGAATTAACTCCTGGAGACGTATTAGTTAATTTATATGTGCATAAAAGATTGCAATATGGTCAATTCTATGAGTTGAACGAAGAAAGATGAAGAGATGAAAGTAAAATCTTGCAATCCCACAATGTCACCTTTTCTTTTTCCTTTATAAGTGTCTAATGATAGTTGTCTTTGTCGTACTCATAGCCTATATTGCAAACTTAGATGCATCCACCAGTATATGGGTAACTGCAAGCTGGTTTGTAATATGGGCATTTCTATGAGTTGAACAAAGAAACGCTATTAAAATAACAGTGGTTAGAGTGGGAAAGTTATCACTCTTTCTTATTCCTTTATATGATACTAATTGGAAGTTGGCTTTGTTGTAAGCTTAGTCTATATTGCAAACAATTTTCCATCTGTAGACATTTACATTACATCAAATTTTCTTCATATAATGTCCTCAAAATTTGATGTTTTTGTTATCATTTCATCGTTATCATATCTTAAATAAATTAATTAGCCTAATTTTATATGCGAATTTGTAATGGTGAACGAATTTAAAAGTATTGTTTGCAATATCTTAATTTGTGTAGAGTAGAAAACGGTTAAATGCACATGTGAAACTACTCTTAAAATATATTCTTCTTAAAAGTATGACGCTGTGTGATAGGAATCAGAATTCGCAATTTACACAACATAAATGTCCTTTAATATGAATGACAATAATATTTCTAATGTTTCCGTTGATATTTCGAGTCTCCTTTTGAATTCTAACAATAAGTCACAAAGCTGTAATAATGAGAAATTCTAAGGTTGTATCGACTTTGCTTTCAAAAATCGCATTGTATTAATCGCATGTATTAATTACGGGGCCTTAATTTTTATAAAAAAAACTAATGAGTAAAATTCGTCAATTATATCTGTTTATAAAGTAGAATCCCGATTGTTTGTTTGGTCGGTTCTTTTTTCTACTTGTTACGTCTGAAATTCTTGTAGGGAACGTGAAATTCGGGCTCGACTTCGACCCGTTTTCATCTAGAGTAAAACGAAAGGAAAAAGTAAAATTTAGAATGTGCAATGCGAATTTTTAAATCTATCACACAGCTGCATACTGAAAAAGAAAGCTTGTCAATGTTACTTTGAGGTATGGTCCTCGAAAAATTGTCCAAAATAATCTAAAAGCGAGACTGAGCCATTTTTGAATGGCTTGGAGTGCCAATTTGTATTTCTAGTCTGCACTATTTGGCAATTTATTTATCAAGCTAATAAATTTCACCCCTACATTTTTGATCTGGTCTGGTCGGAGGGTTGAATTTATTTTTATTAAATATTAAGATATTACTTGCGAGTCTCTCTAATTCTTAGTTTTAATTTGGTGACGGTCTATTTTACCTATCACGCAAAAATCAAATATTATTTTTTCATATCTACTTATTTACTCCTGCAAAAATTAATTGCAATTTAGCTTTGAGGCAGTATTTTTTCTTTAGTAATAAGAAGTGATTTTTAGCAACAACTATGATTTTAATGTATTATTACAATCAAGTGTATGTATATATTTTACTCAATATCACTCTAAACAAGTTTATTATTTTATTAGTGATAAATGCTGTGATATATTTCGTTTAAATTTTTGATGCATTATCTCAAAAGGCGCAAATTAAGTTGAATAATTTCTGCTTTAATTTCCACTTGTAATATTTCGAGGACCTGCTAAGGATATGAAAATAGTATATCCAGAAATTTGTAATTGTATCCACATGTTTTTCACTGGCCAGAGAATGTGGATTGAATTTATTGCTAGAAAATGCATCATTTCATGCTAAGAGAAAGAACATCATTCACGAACATCGATTGTTTAGTCAATAATTATTAAAGATGTTAATATTTTATTTTAACTACTTACATAAGATATACTTAACATCATGTCTAATTTGTTTTAAATCGTAAAATTTTTAATGGACCAAATTTTTGTACGTTTTTTAATCTAATTTTGAAACTAATATGTTTATAATTTTATTCTATGTACTGCTAATTCTTTTATTTAACACCCATTTATTTCTTCACAATAGATTTAGTTCTAGGTTTAATGCCTTAACGGTTTCTGATTAAATGCTCTCATGCTTTTTTTTAAATAACATATCATTAAATTATTTTTATTTAAAATTAAAATTTTATTTAGTAATATTTTACACAAGTATTTAGGTTTTTAATCCGTGAACTCAGTGTATAATATGTGGATATTTTGTAGATCTCTTTAATAGAAATTAAGATTTCTCAATGCTAGGATGTATATATGTAAACAGAAAAGATGTTTTATTTATGCTTTATATTTATTCAACATTATATATACCAGCTTGCTGTACTTTCAATGTTGTTGGATTCATTTTGTAAGATTTCATTTATAAATTTGTAATTCTGTTTTAATAAATGATTATTCATACGATTCTTTCTGTTAAATAAAATACCAAGATATTAATAACAAATAAAAGTCGTTAATATTCTGTAAAATAATTTAATTTTATGTTTTCATAAAATTCATACATCTTGAACAATTAATACACCTTTGAACATTTACAAAACATAGATTACATTAAAGGGTTTTCTGAGCTCTCTGCATAACTTTTAACACGTGAAAAAATCAGAGGTGGATATTGGGGTCCCCGCAACTCGAAGTTAGTAACTGTTTCCTCTCCTTTTTTAGGTTTAGTAACAATCGAATAGTGATCCCACTGCAATTGATCGTGCTTTCTCCTTTTACTTCTTATCTGAAATTCCTGTAAAAGTAAAAACTAAGTGATAGACGAAAAACTCCTCATCGAAGCTTACCATGTTATATATGAATTCGGTTTTCTTTAGCATGTCTTGTTTCTTTGATTTCTTGTTATCTTGAAGAGAACTTTTCGTTTGCCTTTGAATTATCAGTATAACTTTATCGTCTTTAAGCCTGTAGTAACCAGTCAACACAGGATATCTAGCGTTTCTGTGTTTTAATAAATTTATGCATTGCACTGGTTCTTCAGCAGAAGTAAGCATTAACACGGTGCCATCAGGATAAAACCTACAGAAGGCATAAAATAATTCGAAAGGAAAAGTTAATAAGTACCAAACAAGTACCTTAAATATCTGTAATAAGCTACAAGGTACCAAGGACGGTAGAACTGATCTTGAAAACTATTTTCGCCATTTCTTATGTAAGTCGTCTTACTGATATAACAACCATTGAAATTGACACGTGATCTTTCGATGAACATGCTTCTCCAGGATTTATAATTGCCCGGAGACGAACCGCAGTTAACACCCCACATTCTTAAACAACATTAAATGTTTACGTAAATCTCTATAATATTAGCTGTGTACCTTAAACAAGCCATTCGCCAGATTTCTGGGTCCCTAGCGCACAGATAAAATCCCCTACAGACTTGCGAGAACATCTCCATTGATCTCAAATCGAGCTGATCCGAGACGAGCCATTTAAGTATATACAATATTATTTCCAAAGGTAGTTCACCTACATGCACTCCCTAAAAATATTGCATTGAGTACATTGAATTAAAATTGTGTGCAACATTTACATTTTTAGGGAGTTTCGGAAGGCACAGTGTCAATTTCTTGGATGCTTTTCTTTGTATTCTAGATAGAAGGTCTTCATCGTCTTTACCTTCGTCTTCATCCGATGATGTTCCCACGTTAACAGTTTCTGATGTTTCTGAAGATTAAGTAATAAGATTTAAAGACTAAAGGTGTAATTTATACCTTCAATTTCGTCTTCGACGTATTCTTCATGTACTGCTTTCGGTTTAATTTTTCTGTTAATTATAAGTTCGATATCGGGTACAATTTGTACAGCTTGTCGATAGTACTGAATAGCTTCATAGAATTTTCCAGAATTTTCCATTTCAGAGCCGGCGAGGAATAAATTCGTGGCTCGTTCTTTAATATCTTCATCATTATTTGATTCTTTCGAACTATCTTCCTTCGAAGTCGAATCAGTTGATTTTTGACGTAATTCATTTACATCGCTTTTTTTCGTAGATCGGAGTTCCTTTTGCCACTGCTGTCGGAAACTCCACAGGGCATCTTGGTCCTAAAAATAGAAGAATTATATGTCCCGTTTTCTTGAAAATAATCTACGCTTAACATGCAAATTGCATAACATATGTAACTTAAGATTTGTCCTTACCGTGCTGGAATCAACATTGTCAGCAGATGTTTGAAACTGATCCCGGTTTGTAGTACTCAAATCATCTTCCATAATAAATAAATTATTTCTAGATGTGATGTTGAACCAGTTATTCCATTTTCCAAATTAGAAAAATATTTTTGAATCTGAGTATCCAAATTGCCTTACTTTTACGCTCTCGTTAAAAATAAATATTTAAGCTTATTTTTTGTTAAATTATTGATTATAGATGAAAGAATTTTTGTTTAAATAAAGCTTTTAAACACCTTTAAAATTAAATACATTTTTTAAATCTGTTAACCTCAAAACCAAATTCGTCTTATTTATTTTCTTTTTTTTTTAATGTCCTCTGACATCGGTGGTTAAAAGCCAATAAAATGAAAACGAAAAAAGTAATTTATTTTTTAGTACTCGTCTAAAAAATTAACTCAATTATTTTTATTAGCTGTATAATATTTATTAATAAATGAAATTCTGTAGTTTTTGTTTCATAAATGAAGTCATTTACTAAGTTTAAGTAACTGAAGAAACACAATGAACAAGTCACAACGATATTGTCAAAAAAAAAGGTTATGTAATGACTAACTTCATTCTGTATGTAATTTTGAATTGAACCAAACTGTTTTTCTTACCCTCTGAAAATTGACCGTTAGAAACGATTTATTTTACTATTTTTATTTATTAACCGTACTTAACAATGAAAACATACTCTTATTTAATCGCCTATTTATTAATCTTCATCAACATAAACCTAGTTCTTTGTAATATATTTCAAACTGTTGGAAACTATTTGGGATTCAAAACGCAAGACAATGAAGTCGAAACAGATTTATTCGAGCTCAAAGTGCCTTACGAAGTCTCCACCATAGATGAAAACTTTATAAAAGAAGCAGCAAAACTTACAGGCCTTGCATTATCCGAATTGGATTCTTGTCAACATAGGGTAAATATATTTACGTTATCTTATTATTCGTAGAATGTTACTTGATTTGCGATGAATATGTATCAACATCAACTTTATTTATTTATAATTGCTTTACAGGTTGTTCTCAAACTGAAAACAGACTGTGATAAGCTGAACGATGAACAATTGGCAAAAATGGCAGTTCACCTATTGAATTGCCAATCGTGGGTAGAAGGCAGGCCTATTTTTCCATGCACCGATGAGATGTCCATTAAGGATTGCACGATTAACATGGACTCTGATACATGGACAAGCTACCATTTGATGAGCAACAGGGCAAGAGCAGTATGTTATACAATCAGGCAAAGCCAATTCCGTGGCTTAGCGGAACACACCATAAATAGGTATACTCACCTTGTTCTTCTTCTTCTTCCTTATCCTGTATTTATCCATTTCTGGATTTAGGCCTCTTCCAGTTGCTTCCATTTCGTTCCATCTCTTGCAGTTCTCATCCATTGTTTTCCATCGATCTGTTTGATGTTATGAATAATTAATAATTTCCATTGTAGATTGATGGATACAGCTAGATCTCAACTAAAGAATCTGGGTGAAATATCGAGCACCCAGCTGGATTTGAAGGACCTCACTGAAAAAACGTATCTAAGCGTCAAGCAAGGGCAGCGTGAATTATTCGAGCAGCAAGACGACATTAAAAAAGCCCAGTTTTACGGGCAACTATCGATCGAAGATAATATCCAGAGACTGGCGAATGAGAAAAGGTTAATTGCGGAGACCCACAACAATTTAATAGTGATGACTAGAAATATACAACAGAAACTGGACGCTTCCTTGGACCAGCTTCAAGAGCAATCTGATGAGAGTAAAGTTAATCATAGGGAACTGATTAATGACTTGTTAGTTATTCAAGAGAAAACCAAAGATATTTTTGATAGAATAGGTATGATCTTGGTCCAATAAGTCTACTTTATTCATGACATTTTTTAATTTTAGAAAAATCCTCTTCATTACTCATAAAACAAAGCGAAGATTTTAATGCTCAGTACAAATCGACTTTTCGTAGTTTACAAGAAATGAATAAGACAGTTAGCGAGCTAATTGCTTTGATCGAGGGTACTTGGATGTCATTAGAAGAAAAGATAACGTGGATAATTACTGCTCTAGGAGGAACAGATTTAGCATTAGACAGAATTTATCTCATATTTTGGCATGTTTCCTTTGTTCTAATGGCTATGTTGATTTGTTCATTTTTAGCAGCCAGACCCAGTACTAGACTAGTGGTGACGTTATTACCCCTTATTAATCTTATTTTAGGTTTATTTAGCGATTTTAAACACCTGGAATTGCTACATGTCCTTGGCATGTCCGGTCTTATCATTATCAGTAAGTATTTCATTTATTATTTCGTTATCTTATTAAAAATGATTTTTTTTTCTAGCTCAGTCAATAATTCTCTGGGGTACATCTGCAAAACCTAAGATAGCGGGTGCTATAAAGTGGAATAGCGAGTCTTCAAAGAATTGTACACATGTTACAAGTGAGCAGAAATTTCAAGTACCTAGTTCAAGTAAAGATGACAAGGAAGATGAATGCGATGATGAAAGTAGGGATACTTTTCAAGATTTTAATATAACCCCTCCTGCATCGAGAAACGGTCATTACTTTGGATCACGAAGCAGAAGTAGGACGCCTTTATCAAATTCAATAAAAAATAATTGTCATGCTACAACTAGAATGGGTACTCCATGTAAATTAAGTTCATTGCCCGGCCGAGATTTTTGTTATCGGCATCAAAATGGTAGCTCTGTAATGGGGTAATTAGTCCTAGGTGAATAATTAATAGCATAAATCGATTGAACAAGACTGAAATAATATTATTACACTACTATACCCTATGGTGCATTTCAGTTTGCAATATAGTCATTTCTAAGAGTTTAACAAAGAAAGATTAATAAAATAACAGTTGTCAGAATGAAAAGTTGCAATGACACAATATCACACTTTCTTTTTCCTTTATTAGTGTCTAATGGAAATTGTCTTTATCGCACCCCTAACTTATATTGCAAACTAAAATGAATTAACCTGTATATAATGGCGTACTAACAATACTTACTTGAACTTGTGTAAGTCATTTAAAGGCCAAGGTTGCTTTGAATATTTTTTTAAATCTATGAAATTAATTTTATTTTTTATTTATAAACTTTTTGAGGAATATCCCTTATAAGTGAAACTATTTTTTTAGTTCTAACGATGTTTTACCTATTTATTTATTTATGTTAGAAAACACTGATATTTCATTTAAATGAATATATATACAATTGGCTTTTGAAGGACTGTCAGTTCTAGGATAATTTTCCAATGCACAAAATGCAACTATTCTACAATTAATTACACTATACAATACACATGTAATAATCAATTTAAATGAACTTATCAATTAAAATTTAAATGAAAGTCTAATGGATTACATTATTTAAATTACGCTATCTTCATGTAAATATAGTGGGTTCCAGAAAATACGGTAAAATTGGTAATTATTGAAAAAATACATTGTTTTGTTTGATCAAAAAAACATTCTTCTGCGATTGTGTGCGCAAAAGAATATTTTTTGGATCCTTTATTAAATCAAACAAATGCTACATAAAGTAAAATGATATAGTAAAATCCTTTACATAAAAAAAAAAGTATTCAAACAAAATCGTAATTCTATTTTATCATATTAAAAAGCATGTTAGTCATACGACCAGGTATAATAAAATTATACAAAAAACATGGGCTTTTCTTTGCGAATAACATCCAATATCTGACGATTGTTATATTCAGCTTGTAAATTATCCAAATCTATATCGTCGTTCTCTATGTAAGTTTTAGCTCTGGCTGCAGCCAAATGGGCATAGTAAGTAGGCGCTGGGTAGCTAACGGATCTGGTGCATCTAGTAAACATGTGACATAAGAAATATGTCAACTGTTCAATATCATCATTCGACAGATTATTTTCATCCCACAAAGTGCAATACTTTGTCGGCTTTGCTGTTCCTTGGATGCTGGCATGGGAGACGAGATAGAAGTCTTGCATAAAGGGATGTGTAATTTGCGTGTCAACACATGTACCTTAACAAAAAAAAAGATAATAACTATAGTGATTCGAAGATAAATAAGTTAGATAAAATACCTGCTGGTACGTTGTTGTTTCTGTCCTCTGAATCCTTTGGATTGAGAGGGAAAAGACGGGTATGATGTCTCTTTTGAACGACCAAGAACGTAAGGCTGGGCTGATAGTCCTGTTGAAGTTTCTTGCAAGCCGCACGAATCGCTAATATCTCCTCCCTGCGAACTTGTTCAAATTGCCCTTCCGATACTCCATCTCTGAAGAATATAATCCTCTCCGGTTTCAGGCTAAAAAAGTTTCAATTCGTCGAATCGTTTCCGACTAATGTTCTTTTGGAACTTACCCATTGTTTTGTTTGAAGAAATACATCAAGTGTTCCACGGTGATATTTGTAAGATCGCTAATAATTTCGACTTTCGGTTGTTGCAAACGCCAGCAAATGTTGTATTTGAAGGCTTTCGGATCGTGCGAAGCCGTAACAGCGACCACGCTCGGAACGCCGGTGGAGTCCGGGCTGGGATGCGTCACATCAGCGCCCATAATCATCGTCGGTCTGTTCATAATCAGAGGCCTCGTCAACAAGAAGTGGTTCGTGCCGTTCAATTTAGCATTCACTTTTAACCAAATGTTGGTGGCTGTTTGAGGATTCATTTTGAACAGAGTCTTCGCTTTCAAACACTGGGTTAGAAATCCTACAGAAAATGTGAATGTCAATTAATCGCGCTACTTAATATCATTTTTAAGTGTGTAAATGCTTACCAACTTTAATTTCGGCAGCGGTTTTGACGTATGAATAATGAGGACCACTATTGGGCACAACTACGAATATAACATTGTATCTGTAATCTTTAACTTTTTGTAGATTCGACTTAATTTGGTCTAATCTATCGCCCAAGTACAGATACGGCTTCGAAGCTTTGTTTGATAGGGTTATTCCAACTTGGTTGGCGCAGCTGTAAAGCTGAAAAACAAAAGATCGTTTTTACAATTATTTGAGAATTATGGATTTTATTGTTAAAATACTCGATATTAAAAACAAATGAAAAATAAAGCAAAGCATACGTACTGTATTTTCTAAATTACTCAAATCGTTTGGTCTGGGGTTTGTACCAGCATGGGCTATAGTCCAATTGTCTATCGTTACGCCATTGAAGAATCTATCACCTCGCCACACGCCCTTGAAAGGTCTCACTTCTTTGCTGCAAAAGCAAAATAATTATTAGAACAGTAATAATTAGGGTTACTATTACTTACCTGTTTTGATATCCCAGTTTTGGAGGCGGCAATACTCTACCATTCAATTGGCAAAATTGATTCGAAACAGAAAAACCAAACTCCTTAACGGTGTTATCTGCATTATAGTTAGCCTCAGACAGGCCCTTCATGATCTTTTGTTTTCTAATTGTAGTGCTAGTAGCGGAACTTTTAATCATAGTAGATGTTTGATTTTCCGTCATTTTTCTGTTGACCACTTGACTTTCCTCCAACGTACAAAATTCCATCGGCAACAGTATAGGATTTTTCCTGTTAAAACAAACATTAATTCGATTTGACGTTGATCGAGTTACACCAGCACGTACCTCTGTTTATCTCCCACCCAGACGGTCGGCAACTTCGGAAATCTCAGCGTGTAACTCTTGTATTTTCGAAAATATTCCGTAATCGTCATGGCTTCGCCCTTATCCGAGGTGAACGTTTTTCTATCGGCGCAATCTTGCAAACCGTTCACCCTGTAGGTCCTTTTGGAGCCGGCATTACGAGGGATTTCGTAAACGATCCTCAGAGTTTTCAGAAATTTCTCGACGGTCTTTACGTTCAAAGCGGTCAGCGGCTTGTTCAGGTCGTCCCGCGGAAACGGCCTGTTGTACGAGGACAACAGGTCTATTATAAGGTCCGGCAATCTCATTCCTTTGGGGAAAGCTTTGTGAGCAACGTCTACGTTCAAAAACGGCTTCCAACCTCTAATTGCCGACTGGTAAAAACCGTGATACATCTCCATACCTGATTTAAAAACATTTAATTACCACTATCATCAGAAATAACCAAAATGTACGATTACCTTCACCCAAATCGATGATTTCCTGCGGTTTAATGAAGAAACTTCGCGCAGCTGGAATAAGCCGTGAAGCGACACCGTGACGCAAGACGATGTCGATAACTTGCAAAGCGTCTCGCGGGGTTTCCAACGACAGCGTCAGATCTTTCATCGCTCTCATATCAACCATGTTCGCGAATTTAATTTCGACGGCGTATTTTTTCTCTTTGCCGTCGGGATCGCATATAACGATTTCGGTTTTGATCGCCTCGCCGAACGGCAGTAAAGTCGTGCTGTACAAATTCTTTCTGCCGTCGAAGGCCGGATACCTCTTGGGGTATAGCTTCTTCCGGCACAGTTCCATGACCTCGCGCAGGAATCGTTTCGGAGTGTCCGGCACCAGATTGACATCGTAATGAACCACCGAATCTACTTTCCCCAAATTCAAGGCCAGGTGATTGGATTCCAAAGGTATAATTCTGCCGACAGTTCCGGGCTTGGCTTTTACATATTCCATTGGTTTCAGGTCTTCTTGAATGGACGTAGTAGACACGGCTTTCGCTACAATTGAAAAGTTTAACTGTTTAGAAAAGAATTCGATTCTCTCAAATATGTTTCGAAAACTCGACAAGGAGAAAATAAAAATAAAACGAAACTATACTGACTAATGGTAGATGTGGACGGTACTGATTCCGGTTGTTTTTTAGTTTTCGGTCCCCCATCTTTTTTTTGAGCACCAGCTTGTTTTCCTCCTTGAGGGCGTTTATCACCGTCTGGTTTTCCTTGCTGAAGGGGTTGTTGCTGAGGAGGAAAACCTTGTTGAGGTTGTTGCTGAGGAGGAAAACCTTGTTGAGGTTGTTGCTGAGGAGGAAAACCTTGTTGAGGTTGTTGCTGAGGAGGAAAACCCTGTTGAGGTTGTTGCTGAGGAAAACCCTGTTGAGGCTGTTGCTGAGGAGGAAAACCCTGTTGAGGTCGTTGCTGTGGTGGATAACCCTGTTGAGGTTGTTGTTGCTGGGGTGGATAACCTTGTTGAGGTCGTTGCTGCGGTGGATAACCCTGTTGAGGTTGTTGTTGCTGGGGTGGATAACCTTGTTGAGGTTGTGTTGGTTGCGTACGCCAAGCACCTTGTGGAGGTTGTGGTCCAGTTTGTTGAGGTTGTGTTGGTTGCGTACGCCAAGCACCTTGTGGGGGTTGTGGTCCAGTTTGTTGGAATTGCGGGGGTTGCTGAGGTGGCTTTTGTGTCTGCTGTTGACGTTGCTGTGGTTGATGTTGTTGTGGTTGAGGTTGTTGAGGCTGTGACGGTTGAGTTTGTTGTTTCTGTTGACCTTTCGATTTCGGCCCACTTGTCATTTTCATTTGACCCAACTGCTCTGCTTTTATTGGAAAATCTTTAAGTAAGGGCTGCGGCAAATGTTGTGTATAATCATGTCGCTTACCTGGTATCACATCACCTGATTGAGAAGAGCTTGTCGAAGCCACATCTCCTTGTCCTTGTTTGGTTTGTCCTTTACCTTCGATTTAAAAACATCAAATTTAAAAGCAACCCAAAAATATTTGCATGCAATGGATATACTTACTAAAAAAGATTCTCTTACATGCTCATAACAAAATACCAAAGCAAATAACACCAGTGAACAAATGACTAACCTTTTTTTTTCGGATTTTTAAATTGCTCCGATTCATCTTGTCCAACATCCCGTGCAGGCGCCTGTTGTGGCTTGTTAGCGTCAGAAGGAGTACCCTCAGGTCTTGATGTACTGGCTGATACTCCTGACGCTGAAGAACCATCTCCTGCTTCGGTTGGAGTCTCTTCTTTATTTTTCTTCCCTTTTTTACCTCCTACAGAGTAAACAGTAACAGAGGAATTTAGTCTCTTCCTCATACCTAAATACTTTTAGACAAGTCTATTGAACATGAACAAGTCTATTGAACACGGACAAGTCTATTGAATACGGACAAGTCTATTGAAGGTCCCGTGAAAGTCACAAGATAGTGATAACTAAAACATAAGGTATATTTAATTGTTTTGTTCATGTGGACTATTTCAATATTTTATGGAAAATGAGCTCTAATTTATTGTATAACTACAATTGATGTTTCCTAAAATTGGTGATACTTAATTTAATTTCTTATTAAAGTAAAAGCCAACGCCCTGAATAATATAAAAAATATGTGCATTTCGGGGATACCCCGCAACAAAAATGACGTAGTATCATTATTTAGAATAAAGGAATAATTACCTTTTTTAGTCATTGTTTACACTCACTTATGGCTTTACTACTAAAAGAACCAACTTTTCTTCTAAATAATTAGCACAAAACTGATTAATATTATATTTTGACTGAGAAATGATTTAATAATTGCGTGTACTACAAGTAGCTGATACCATTTGTGAAAAACACGAATTGACAATTGACTTTTAATTTTGACAAAATATATGTCAACGTCATAGAACACTCAAAATTGCCGAACAAGTAACAGGACTGAAAACGTAATAATTGTAAATAGTTTAGACTTCTTCTTTTCCTGTTTTAATACCTCAGCTGCTACGGTTATTCGGTTACTGATAGATCAAAGTTGATACAGGACATCATATACAAATCATGGACAAATCTTTCTTTCTCTATGCAGGACATCATAATACATAGAAAGACTTTGAAGATATCATCTTCGACTCTTCGTATACAAAGGAGGGATTCAAAATTTGCTTTTGCAGTCAGAATTGTACGTATGATTAAAGATAATTCACCAAGGAAGTAATAAATACAGCTCAATTTAAAAAGTAACACAACCTACATTATATTTAATTAACTTACAATATTTAAAATAAAAATAATACAAAATCCCATCCCAACTATCACCGTATTTGAATCTATTTAGATTTGTTTTTGGCTTGTTGCTGCCTCCTTTTATTTGCCAAAAATATAGTCCAAAAGAAGCCCATCAAATTCGTTATGAATACCCGCAACTGAAAGAAAGAACAATAAAAATTGTAAAATAATCTTAATCGTAAAAAGCAGCCAATTAAATTAAACATTTTTTTCCCTCTATTTCAATGATGAATGAATGCAGAATATTCCGTTGTAAATGTGCGATCGATGATTCAATAGATTTCTCTTCTTTCGAAGACTTAAAAAATTTACTTACGGGCTTATTGTCGTCATAAAGGAGTCATAAGAAATTTACTAAAGAAAATCGATTTTGAGCCTAAAGGAACGTATCTCAAAATTGTACGATGCATTTCAATGAAAGTGTACGGCTAAAAGATATTTAATTTTTTTCACTATGAATAATTCCTTCATCGGATAATTGTAATAACCATATTGAAAAGTAATATTAGTTGACTTATCATTAAGAATTCGACTGTATAATGAAATTAATAAAAATAAAATGTGATTTTTTTTACAACCATCCAATAAAATTATCCATAACATTTCAGTTATAAACGGTAAAAATATTTAGAAACAAAATCGATCAAATATACACAAGCAAGTTTTTTCTAGTAAACAAAATGCAAACGGTTAACTCGGTAACCTCCAGCGGTTTTTACGAAGAGTATCTTAGTAAACAATTAATAATTTCTTACCACAGGCGGAACGACGCTTAAATTAATCAAATGTATAATCGTCAAATATTTCCAGCTGCTGCTCAACACCAGCCAATACAAATCTTCGAGTTGCTTCATGGCCGATTTGTGAGTTTTCCCTTCTAATCGAGCGAGTACGTACAACGTAAACGCTTGATAAAGCGGCGAATAAATCAGTCTTTCGATAATGAGCTTTTTAATCACTGCAAACGACGCATCTTCCGAAACGACTCGCTCTAACATGTTGTAGAAATAATGTGGAATGGTGCCACCGAATAGCAATCTAAAATTATGAAAAATAAACTCAATAATTCCAAATTTGAGTAAATTCAATGCTTTGAATCGTTCACCCTTAGGTGTACTACAACTTGATAGTATCTATAGAAATTGCTTATTGTATCCTACAGGATAACATTCGGTTGAAAACCAATAGGTTATAAAAATCTAAAGTAATACATTGTAAGGGGTCATAGCACACGATTCACTCTCAATGGGATATTCCGAGGAACTTAATAAAGTATACACGAACCCGTATAAACTGTAGGCTAGAAGATTAGGAACATTGAGCACTTTCTCGCCACCAACTTTTTGAGACACATAGTTTCCTGCTGTTGCAATTACACAACTGAAAAACGATATTACAATAATTAATAACCCTAACTAATACAAATTTGTACTTACCAAGTAACAGCTTTGGTTCTCAATGGATGCTCAAACAATTGGCCGAAATAGAAGCTCAAAACGTTGATAACAGGCTTCGAAAGAGACATTTTGAAAATACTAAACTGTGTATCAAATAACAGTATGTAGCTCGCTAGCTTCTGCTCTCTGCAACAAAGGTTGAAGGTTAGTAATTTTAATGGATATAACAATTTTCTTATCAACAAGTACGCAATTTTAAATAGGTGAGATTTGGTAACCACGAGTGTTTTATTGTTTTTATCGGCGTGAACTATGGTACTTACTGTGGTACAATTCAATTTGCTTTGCTCAATATTTTGTTATCATTATTTATTTGCATAGACACTAGCAACTTCGACAGACGCAAATCCAGCAAAGAATAGGTTTCAAGTACCGTAATATTACATACGTGTACGCCGACGAATGACAGAATATGAATAAAGATAAACTACTAACAGCACCAACAAGTTCTAGTCCATAGTTCAATGATAAAAAATATTGAAATTTCAGTATTTAAATTTTTTTAAGGAACTTGGTTGGAATTGTTTACTTGCGTTTCACGCTATATGAAATGGGAAAAAATTTTACGACCTATTGTTTTTATTACTACTACTTTTTATGGATTCAATACTAGTAATATTGCTAGCATAAGTATTAAATTAAAGTAAATAAATTAAAACATTTAATTTTTTTTATTGTTAGAACCATAGACAAAATAAAAGAGACTGTTTAAAGCATAGGACACAGCCAATAACACGATTAGTTCTGAGACACGGTACCAGAGGCGCTACTATCGAAAAATTAAATGAATTTCGATTGATTTGATTGGCTAATTTAACATGAGACGAGTCCCGCATAAGACGAGACCCGCAAACGACAGACGGCCGGTCTTTTTAAAGTGAGTTTCGTGAGTGATGGAGACGCCATTATAGTGCTTAACCTAAATTGTGAGTATTTTTATTTTAATAATAATAAGTTTTTTTAATAATAAATTTTAATAATTTATAAATAGAAATTTAGTAATATTTGTAGCAAAAATTTACGATATTATATATAAGGTATTACCTCTTGTAGGGCATATAAATGATATCGTGAATAAATTTGTAATGTATATTCATGAACTTGTTGATTTTGAATGGTTTTCTTGCAAAGATCATAAATCAGATGTCTTTTGTCAACTTGTTGGAGTCATTGTACCAATGATAATTAAAAAATTTTATCGGGAAATGGCTGCAACTAAGTAATTCTCACTATTTTTATTATTTTCCTGAATTCGATGCTGCTCATATTTTTTCTGTTTTAGTTAGCTCTACAAGAATTAGAAGCTGTAGACCCTGCGAGCTGAGGGATCTGACACTTCGTACTTCCTACTCCCTAGTCTTTCTACTTCGTACTCCGTAGTCTTCGTACTTCATAATTTATATTAGCTTCTGTGATATTACTGTGATTTTTGATTTTTATGTAGTAGTAGTTATTTTCAATGTAAAATTTATTTATTTCCTCGTAGTTATCAACAGAGTAAGTAGATATAAAGTAGTATGTAGTAATATAGACTCTGTTAATTGAAACATATTCTGTGATATAACTGTAATATTTGGTTTTTAGAATTGTTAATTCACTTTTACTTTGGTGCCATAAAAGCTTTAATAATATTAGTAATCAAGTAAGTAAATACGTACTGAATCAATGCATATTCTATCTTCTAGTCTTCTTCGTACTTTAGTTTTTATTGTGATATTAGTATAATGTAGTAATTAATGTACATATAGTAGATAAACTTTAAATTTATAGTTGAATTGGTTGTATTAAGAAGCTAACATAACTTATATACGCGCATTGTAGTTTTTTGTAATGTTTCAATAAATTTTTGCAGGCTGAATTTTGTATGGAAGAAAAGATATAATTATTTTTAATGTGGAATGTAACGTAATTCGGTAATTCATTTATTTAGGTTATATGTATGTATTTAATTTTTTATATCTGTCAATAAATACATTTCTAATTATCAAAAGTTGTTCTTATTTTATAATTGCAATGGGTAATATTAAATTATAAAAATAAAATTTGAATATACCGCCCATTTTTAATTTTGAAATATAGAAGAAATCTACTCGATATTTCTCTAGTTCGTGGGACACCATACTAGCAGCAGCACCATCGACGCGTTTCCAATTTTTAGTAAGAGATCGAACTCTCTCATCTTTCTTTCTCTATGGTTAGAACATTTTTTCAATGATTTTTCTTCTTTTTCCTTTGAAATCATGAAATCATTCATCTCATCTGTCACATGTCAAACTTGAGTTTGTGCTGCTTTTCAGTAAATAAATAGGCAACTCTTTTCACATCTTGTTAGTCGGGTTGTAGAAATACTAGACCTATTCTATGTTATCTAGGTAACTATAATAAACAAAATAAAGAGTTACCCAGTTATTGATAAAAACAAAAATCTAAAATTCAATCAGTAAACTTTAAAAACGAAGTAAGCTTGAAACAAATGACTGGGATAGGTTGGTTGCTATGATGATATGTTAAAAATTTATAATTAGTTCTGGTAACTTCTGTATGTTATTAGTATAAAAATAATTTCGTACGGTTATGTACACCTTTTATTTCTCTGCAGATACCAAGCCATCAAATAAAATTGCCGATTTAAAATCAAAACCTTATAAACACACATTTAGTGAAACATTTGATGAAATAACAATTTTATTGAAATATTTCAATTTTTAACAGCTTTAAAGATGTCATTATGAAAATCTAGTAACCTGCTAAAGGTACACCTAACAATATTTCAAGCAAATTTAACGAATATAAAGCCGTCTTGTCACATAATTTCAAAGTGCAGCCGCCCGATATGTAGATTCAAATATCAAAATGGTAAATTATTGTCGAATTAATTAAATCAGAAAAGCGTGTAGAAATATGTAATCTGATGATAGTTATTTTTTTACATTCAGGTGGAGTGACTGAAGACGTATCTTTTGTGATAGCCGACTAAAGCAGGACGCGCACTGAATCGACTCAGAACGGTCGGATCGGAACAGAGCGTTCGGAACGGAAGCGTATGCCGCGCACCGATTCAGAGACTTCGGAATGCATCGGAATATTTTAATTATTTTATACATTATTGTACATTGTATAATCGCTCGCTGACCCACACACTAGGTGGATGCTTTATTTCCTCCCCTTTTTTTCAAAATCGCTATTACCAAAATCTGCATCGTCAAATATCCTAACGTAAATAATGATGGTTCAGGAATATGCACATATTTTCATAAAAAAGTACCTACATTACTCATTAAATAGTTCATTATAAAAAGGTAATACGAATTTATTTAAATTTAATCTGTGAAAAATTAATAGTTTGGGGACGATATTCCAAGTAAATTTAGTATCGACAAAGATAGCATTACATAAAAAAAGATAGACCTTCGGAACGTTCGGAAAAGTTGCCCCTTCGAGAATACTCTGACGATTCCGATCCGATCCGACCGTTCCGATCCGATCGTTCCGATTGAGTGCGCGGTACTGCATTTATTTTCGTATGTACCAAATTCTTCCGAACGCTCTTTTCCGATCCGACCGTTCCGAGTCGATTCAGTGCGCGGCCTGCTTTAACGTGAACCTTCCTCCATATAGGAAGCCATAGTCGCAGGTAAGAATTCTTAAATTAATCACATTTTTATAGAAATCCTTTGATACCCAATTCGGTTATTTCGGAAATATTGCGGGATTACTTATTAAACGAGATAAGCGAATGAGAAATTCAAAATTTTTTCAGCAATATAGTAATATGTATTTTACAACTCTCTACATCAATGATTGATTAAGCCAATTAAAGTATTAACTACGCCTATGGTTGTGATCTTATATGATCAATCATGTGCATTTATTAGGTAAAATGTACATGCGTAGATTATGGTTTGGGATCAGTTTGTTCCCGATATTTTACGCAACAGGTGATACCGATACATTGTCAATTAATTCTGAAATTACTCTTCGGTAATTAGTCACTTGGAAATTACATCTACGTGCTAAATCAAGTAACGTTTATACTGCTTGACTTGGATTAATTAATACATATCATGAATAAAGATTGGGATGCCCCTCTTATTGGATTCAAGCATTAGATTCAAAATACTTATAAAGCCAGGTACATTTTTCGTTGTTGATTTTTTACATATTTGAATTGTAAATTATTATTTTAATATATTTTTTCTAAACATTATGCCAGTCTGCGTGAAGGGCCTGTGTCCATTATGATTAGACGTTAGATAACCGGTAAACCGGTAATCATACTTATACATATTAAAAAAATTAAATCGGGCGAACTTTAAATTGCCTGTCCGTAATTTTCTATGATAAAAACGAAGAATTTTCGGATCCAGGTAGCAAATCTACGAACAAAACAACTCCAATAAAATTGACTTTACCCGTAGAGAACTGAATCGTGATTACTACTGATATGTTAGAGCATAGGCGCAGGAGCAATACGCATTGTTTAACAATGATTATTATTTATATTTTATTGTTGTATATTCTGCATAAAATTCCTATATTAATTGTTAAAGAATATGTAGGTAAATACAATTTTTATCACCAAATTAACTAGGTACTTAATACCTATAATATGTATACGATTATAATATAAACAAAATACAAAATATTACATTTTCAACATTAAATACTAGAAACATATATGTTCCGCCAATGCATTGCATCACTAATTTCGCTTAGATTCTACTTAATGCATTATAAATTGTCAGAAAATCATGGTTGATCACGGGATCGAAAATTACTGCAGTCTCCGCAGTCTAGTTCTAATGGTTAGAAACTAAACTAAGGAGCCACAAAATTACATTCCATCGGATCGAAATTATGCCCTTTCGATGACAATTAATTTGGGCTAATACGCGGTTTCGGGTTCCACTTATGTGCCTTACGGTGCTCCGGCATATTTTTCTTTGAACACTAAAAAATATAATTTGTTATATCAATGAATATTTTATAAAATACTTAATACTTGTCTAGGTGACTGTAATGAATAGGTTTGAAATTATTTTTAGAAATCTATTATAGTGAACGGTACTCCAGAAATTTTAATTATCGGAAAATCGAAATTGAAATTGTACGGCCATTAGAGAATTGGTTATTATGTCGCTGCGGTGGCCGAGCTTTGCATTAATGAGATGTTGTTCCCATAGTCTTGCTATCTCCGATCTGAATCTCATCAGCTGTCTTGTCTTAGGGAAGAGAATTAATCTCTC